ATTAAAATAAATATTTTTAACTCATAATTTTTATATATTATAAAATAATCTATAACACTAACATTAAAAAAATATTTTTAACTCATACTTTTATTTAAATAAATCCAAATGTACTGCATAAATCTTAATCGCATTCATTAGTTATAATTTCTATTTAATGATACATAATATTGTGATTTATTACATTGATAAACATATTATTATTGGCTATCTAAGCCCTCAAAGAGCACCGGTCTAATAAGACCAGAGGTTAGGCCACCGAGTTTATAAATAAAGCTATAACTCAATTACGAAAACAAATAATAAACTGAGTAAATACTATAACAGGTATACCTATTTAAGAGTTAAATTTCTTACTATTTTGTTTAAAATTGTAAGTATGATCATGTACAAAGTTTTACAATTCACTTAAATTTGCCTTATTCCTGTAAACACTGAGAAAACAAATTTCCCAGTAAGAAATAATATTAGGTACAGGTAAATCACAATTATATTTGCTCGTTATCTTTACCAGTACACAATACCAGAATACTATAATAAAAAAATGAGTTAACAAACCGACCGACCGAATCGTTCTTCCGTCATTGTGTATAAAATAAATTTCTTTTCCATCTCGAAATATCTCCAACTGAATAAGTAACTACGAGGAATTCATTATTTATTTCTTAAGAGAAATATATGTAAAACACAAAGAGAATAAATAGAATCACTTCTTGAGACCAGCACTTCGCCATTTTATATATACCGCAGAAAAGTTCCACGCCGTTGTCGATAGGTATCAAAAAAGAGTATAAAAATATTATTTTTAAATGGTGACGGTATGAATCGGCTCCGTTTGCAAAACGATGCAAAAAGTAAAGTCTGTCCGCACTGCATAGGGACGCCCAGATAACCCTACTTTTATTCAACTCAGTCGCAGAAACTCCTCTTTTTTTGCCATTATGCAAATCTGCCACCCGCTTTGATTCAAACAGAAGTACAAACGCTTAAAAATAAGTAACTAGTTGTTCCGCGACTTTGTTTGTGTTATTCGTTGATCGACTTTACATAATTATCAATTTAGGAAATATACCTAATTGTAAAGAGAATAAAAATAAAAACTTTTAATTGCAAAAAGAATCATCAAAATCGATTATGGGGGAAATACACTTTGACGCATATACATAAAAAGTATCATTAAATTGAGAATCTCCTTCTATTAATGAATTGATAATTACGAAAAAAAATTACATCGCTCAAATCATATGCTTCAATGTGATTTTCAGCCAAATTTTGGATTGGAAATTTTGAATTTCATACAAAATAGTGTATCCGATAGAGTTGATGTACGTAATCTGAATTAAAATACCGCAGCTCGTTTTTAAAAACTCCAACACTTTTTATAACGACTACGGTCACATTATTCATTTTTCACGATATTATATTAAATTTAAAACTTCACATAATTCAACAATCATCAACTTATAATTAACAAATATTATCACGTAAAAAAGTACAGATAAACGGAAAAAACTTCGCTGTAAATGTAAAATGAAAATTCTCGTTCATTTTAAGTAATAATTCGCAGTTACTTACTCGTAAGTACATTTGGATACAGGTATTACGTAGGGCGGCAGCGAGAATACCATGCGACGGCACCCGGGCGAAAGTGCGGCTCGTTATTCACAACTTTGTCTCAAATTAACTTCATTAATTTTCTCATGTTGCGTGAATAAAAGAACAAAATTGTAACAAAAATATTTACTTCTCACTCTGTATGTTCCCAAATTATTTTCAAATTATTTAAAAAAGGTTTTACCATTCGACGTGTGTGTTACATGATAGCTTCACGAATTGTGAATCGTTTTTGGTGATTTTATTCGTAATCATATATTTACAAATTCATTATAATTTCATCATTCTTATATCAATTATATAGGATTTTCTACTAAACAGATACTTGAATTTTTACAAGCTTCTTATTTAGCATTGTTGAGACAGGTAATACTTTGTAGTACCTATATGTACTTCTTCTTACAGAATTTATTATTTTTTTATTTGCAATTACATAAACCTAATAATGATGTATCTAGGAGAAATTGTGAGCTGTTTTTTGTATAGTTTCGTTTTATTAAATCGTTACACAATTTTATTCTATTTCATTGTTTCGAAATTCAGAGAATTGGTGTCAGGTTCGGAAAAATATTTTGTATACCATATAATTGTAAATCACTCGTTTTATGGAAGCTGACGGTCAACAGAAAATCCAATAATATATGTCTTTCATAAATTTTCTTGTATATGTAGAGATCAACTAATTGGTTTAATAAATAAGTGTTCCTTTAATGAAAATTGACGTATTTGTTAACCGGAAGGTAATATATAAAATTATGCAATTGTAGTAAAGGTCTTTGAAATTTTCTCAATAGATATTTATAAAATAATATATATATATTATACGTTACGCGTTTTGCAAGGTAGGCACAGAAAATAAAATCAATGATCTATCTATGCTCACATATTTATATATGGTATTGTAGAGACATTAGTATTATTCGGTTACTTTCATGACATTCCCCTTACTGGTATATTATTTTACAATATATACCTATATTTAAAATATTCGTAATGTTTTCGTTACAATATTTTACACACTTTAATTACATTAGTCTCCGCTATACCTATAACACATTGCCTTTCTTCCGACGGTCGCGGGTTCGATTTCTCCCATAATGAAAATTTGTATTAATAAGTATGTCGATTGTTTGTATTAGTCTGTGATTTTTTATATAATAAATACATTATGTAAGTATTTATATAAAAAATGTATTCAGTATATATCATTTAACTAATGGCCATAGCACAGGTTATGCTTAACATGGGACTAGATGTTCATATATGAATTGTCCAGGCATATTAATAAATAAATAAATAACAGTGGACAATTAACACAGCGCCATCTAGTCACATGTTATTCGGAGCTTGAGTTATGGTTACTAGACAACTGATATAAATACTAAGAAACATTTTTTTTTGTAAATATATTCATAATATACATAGAAAACACCCAGACAGATACAAACAATCATATTCATGAATACAAATATTTGCGCCGTACGAAATTGAATCCGCGATCATTACAAGTAAAGCGGTGTGCTAAACCGCTAGACCACCGAGGACGTCATATTATTCATATTTATTAATAAAATAATGTAATAATATTATAAAATGAATGAAAACTTTAATACAATTGTCAAGATATTATTTAGTTACATACGAAATATAATTTTAATAATAATTCATGTTTAAAAACAATCATTTGTTTAGAATTCAGGTGCGGATGCTTTTGTAAGCATAGTTGGGTAGGCCTAATAGTATAGCGTAGAAAACATCCTTACAACCAAAAGATCTCAACGTCGCGTAACTTTCTAGAATAAAGTATACGAACTATTTAAGATATAAAGACATTGAATTGAAATATATTAATTATTAATGAACTAATTATATATAAAGTACTGCAGATATAGCAGGCACTTATTAATTTTGTAGCGGCTATAAATGCACCTTAAATAATTTTGCATGAAACTGTACTTGTAATCGATAAATTTTTAGAAATGTTTATTGTAGAGTTTTATAACTGGAATAATATATTTGTCGTTAAATTTTATATATTAATTATTAGTATCTACACTCTCTAAGTAAAGGAGATATATTTAACTTCTATACAATTGTAATCATTTTATAAATATATGTGTATGTAACTGTATATTCTGTGAGAGGAACAAATAAAGAGTTTCATTCATTCATAAAATTGTACTTACAAGTATTGGACTCAAATAGAATAAAATTAAATAGAACGTTAACAATTTGCGTTCAAAAAACATGTAACAATACTTAAATAATTTTTCATCATCTAGAGGAAGCTCTTAATCAAACAGATATAATTATTTTTTAACTCCTAGCGTCTACTAAACAAACAATTTATATAGACCTATTCTGACTCTACATTTAAATGTTTCAACCACATTTTAATATATCAAATAATGTTGTTTTTAAATACCGTATACAGTAGCGACTTGCATATTAAAATAAAGTAACGCAAAAGTTGTGAGAATATTATTACCAAAAAACGAATGGCAGTTACAGATAAATATTCGTATTACTAATATAAATATAAAGGAATAGCTACCTATGACTATAAAATTTAAATTAATAGGAAGGTAAATAACTATATATTTAAATTACTATGCTACAATATAATACCGCAATATTAACAAACGATTATGCCAACGTAATTAATGATATAGCTTACATAATATACATAAATGTTTGTCGCTAATATTGATTTAATTTTGGGTCCTATTTGTAAATTACTCTAGAGAAGTTTCAAACTAAATATTTAATGTTAATAATATCTATTTATTAATTTGAACTCACATTATATGTTTATTATAAATGTATTCCATACTACTACGCCGCTATTTACACTTATGATCGTACATGTACAATAAATATATTAAAATAATATTATTTATCTAATATTTTAAAAACTAATTATAATAAATACTAAATATAAAATATTTATAAATTAGATGTTATTGAACTTATTCTATCAAAATGTATTAATGATTGATATTGACGGATATATAAAAATAATTATAATAAATAATGAATATTAAATACAAATAAATATTACTTGAAATCATTGTATAGAAATACATATATGGGTGATTAATTATAGACGGATACATAATATATACTAATAAATTTTAAAAAAATTATAAAGTACACATTGCACAAACGAAGTTGTATACTTATAATGAAAAAAAAAATATTACCATAATTTAAAACATGATATATTTATATAAAAAAAATATTGTAATTTTCCACTAATAATATAAACAAATATATAATAATACACAAACACGACTGTGTATGGTCCACATACAAACATAGTTGGGTAAACACTCAAATAGGGTCAAACAATTTTATATGATATTTTAACAATTAACAAAACTCACCCAGTGCATCGCCCCCCTCTCCTCGTACACTCCCATCTGGGGGTCAATTTTTCCGTTTTCTATTTTCGAACGAGCGGGCCTATGCCCCACACACACATTCACACGCGTACCATGTCAGAGTGACAAGCGCGCTGCTTCGGGAGCGACGGCTGACTGCGTGTGTACACTGCCGTGGCGGCGTAGCGGGTGCTTTAGAGGCGGACTGTGGCACACGCCCACGGCACGCCCCAACTTCTGATGGTGGGCCGCTAACTTTTTTATAAATTCTGTTTAGCTTTACCGTTTTTTTATATCTTACAGAATTTTCAGTGTCACAACTCGCAAAGTGACGGCGCGCGGAAATGAAATGTGTGCGCGACGAGCTGAAACAAGTTCGCCGTTCGTTTTGCACTGTTTTTACTTTGCGGGTTCTGTACACGTATTTCATGTATGTTATTTTTATTGAGTAGAAATATCATTGAATATACTGTACACTACATATTCTATGTTGAATATCTATTGCATTATTTAGAATAGTTTATTCATTTTAAACATTTTGGTAAATGTAATTATTTGTTTTTAGTATATAATATAATTACGTCAAAATCTAAAATACTTAATAAATAAATTGAATATTTAAAAAATATAACACTTTATAATTGAAAATAGTTACAGATTTATTTCGTATATTTATTTCAGTTATATATTTATTAGATCAATATTTTTATTATTAATATTATTAATATACGAATTATGTAGGATGACAAGGACGACTGCATACAGTGTAACCTGAAATGAAAAATAAGATTTCATAAATAGCGCAAGTTATTTTGTACAGCTATATTTTTTTACTGAATTACCTACAGTAAGTAATAAATAAATTGGGTATTTAATTCGTAATTTACTACTCCGAGTTTGAAACAGGTCGACACCAAAAACGTGGTCTCTATCTATATTACCAACTGACTCTCTGGTAATGGAATTATCGATAACAAACCAAACTAATAAGCATAACCGTCATTCCTAATTTGTTCCTTTGTGGAGTAGTCCTAAGGTAGAATTTTGTGTAACTTGTTTGTGCAACTTACAAAACTCTACATTACTACTACCAAAAAACTTTCCTAAAAGTGGACAATATGTTGTCCCTCTATTTTATAACACTTCAAAAATGTATTCACACGTACGTATAAAGTTACGTAACTATATTTTATTCAAACTAAGTACCTACTTTCCTAATTTGATAGACAAAGACATGTAATATTTCAAAATGGTTAGAATAGACAGATAATGTTAATGTTATATATAAAAAAAAATTGCTCTGTAACTATACGTACTATATCGTAAATGCAATATTGCACATTTGCCAAAGCAACGTTACTTTACGTTACAGCTCTCTGAGCTCCATAGGTTATTCCACATTTATTGTTTTCCTTTGTATTATTTATATGAATTCCAAAATAATATTTAAAAAAAAATTCGTAACTACCATTAAATTTGAACACATAAGAAAACGACAATCCATTTATAATAATAATAATAATAATAATATTTATTCATGATACACATTTACATTTTAATTGACTGTAGTTCTACACTAGGCTCGCAGGTCTGTATTGTAGAGATTAGATTATTAGATTATTATTTAGATATAAAGTGTTCCTAATATACATCTCGAAATGATAGTAAAAACCGTACCAAAATCCGCCTAATGATCTAGTAGTAAATAAAGCTATGAGACAAAAATAGCTAAATTACTAGTATAATAGTTATATTTAGATGACTAGCAGTGCCTGCGGATTCACCCACTTGAAAGTTATAGAATATGCATTATTCTGATGTATAGCTTACATTATTGTAAAATTGCATTAAAATCCATTTAGTAGTTTTTGCGTGAAAAAGTAACAAGCATCTATCCACACTCACAAAGTTACGCTGTATAATATTAGTCACATGGTACATGAGTCGTACTCCGAGATAAGTATAAGCATATTTCTGTTGAAGTTGAAGGAGATATTTCCTATCAATCATCTCACTAAGTCCATAAAAAATTGAATCCGTCTTGTTTACATTTTTGTGTGTGCTAAAATAAACAAATAAAATTTTAAAAAATAATCTAGAAGTAATAATAACTTTAATATCTATTTATGTATAAATATGCATAAAAACTAAATATGCATAAATAGAAAATATTTTTATTGTGACTTTGAAGTCACCGTTAATAGTATAATGAAACGAACACAAGAAAAAAATGATCGCGTCAAATTTAAAACAATATACTGCTTTAAGAACAAGACTTAAATATATTATTTGTTTAAACTTCTTTCACAATCGTTTAGAATTATATAACTTTACATAGTATAAAATGAAGTCGCATGCGCTGTTGCTGTTCTCTTAGAGTTCGCTGTTACACTACGCATCGGATTTTAATGCAGTATTTAGCAATAGATAGAGTGATTGAAGAGGAAGGTTTATATTTATAATACCTGTTTTGTACACCAATGCGAAGCCGGGGCGGGTAGGTATTATTATATAAATGGAATATTTACCGTAACATCGCGAGCTCATAAACAATATTATGATGCTAAAGAAAATATAACAATAACAATTTGTATTTACAATAGACCTGTTTACAAAATATATTTAATATTTTTTAGCCAGTTGTTTAAAAATAATAGAATTCAGTATCGTTTTTTATTTTTTACCCGTTTTTTATCAGTTGTTTGCATAAAAAAATATTGGACTTGTAAATTTCGACTCTTACGATTTTGTTGCCATAGGGACTTATCTACATATATTATAGAATATACGTATTTATCTATAAACCTTTGCAAATGTACATTTGTAAAATTTATTAATTGATTATGCATATTTATTACTAAACCAATATCATCCGTACCTACTAGATAGATAATTAACGACCTCGGTGGTCTAGCGGTCTACCACACCGCTTTACGTCCGATGGTCGCGGGTTCGATTCCTCGCACGTCACAAACATTTGTATTCATGAATATGATTGTTTGTATCGGTCTAGGTATTTTCTATGTATAATATTATCTATGCATTTGTATCAGTTGCTTAGTACCCATAACACAAGTTTTTGCTAGCTTAACTTTGGTCTAGATGACGCTGTGTGAATTGTTTTGAGATTATTATTATTATTGAAAAAAAAAGATTAGTAATATTTAACAAAAAAAAAATAACAGTGCCCACCAAGCTAGATGTAAGAGATAGATAAAAATATATCCAAGTATATATACTGTTTCGTTATTTTTAGAGCAATTATACTACTACTACTTATTATTTTGACGACTGAAAAATAATCAGTGTATACTGATAGGTAAGTACTTAATGAAATAGAAATATCACATCACACGAAAGGTGCAGGACGCGACAACATTTAAAATAAATAGAGCTCGCAACACCAAATATAATTTTTGGTAAACAGGCACACTAGTAGATACCTATTTATCAAAAATGATAATACATATAATGTGAATCTTCAAACTTAATAATTATTTTTTAATTAGGCACACTTGTATTTATAAAGATATTACACTATGTGGCAGGGTGGTCAGTAATATACCTATCAACAACTATGTTCCAAATACCTATCCTATTTTTTAAAGTCATTAAAATGTTGTAAACAGGCAACAAATCAAACAGATTGCTTGTACTTCACCTCAAAAGTCACCGGTTGCATTGATAAGAGAAATTTAATCTATTGCTTTATTTTATAAAAATTAATGATGCGATATTATTTGCAACATTGTATACTTAATTACAATAATATATTTAATTTGATAATGCACATAGGTATGTAGATATAATTTTTGTCCTCTAAAATAACATTGATCATTCTTCACGGATACAATTTGATTAGTGCATACCTACGTACCTACATTCGTAACATATACCATATAGCGTAACATATAACATATACTATATGTTATTCTAATGTAAAAGCTATATTACTGTAAAGTTTTATCAAATTCCATTCAGTAAATTTGACATGAAAGAATAACAAACATCCATCCATACATACAAACATGCGCGTTTATAATGTTATTAATAAGATATGTAATACAACTGGTACCTGACCTACATCTACATATTAAAAATATTCAATAAAAAAAATAAACATTTGTGAAACAGAAGCCCGAACAACAGCTATTAGATTGTCTCTTTATGGTTTTGTACACGCTTTACGTAAAAACTATAATATTCATTTTAGTTAATATTTAGTTACCTACATTTCGTGAAAATTAGCCATCAATCAGTATTTCGAAATGTATTTCTAGGTATAAGTACAAAATGTGCTTTATTTTACTTTTATATATGTTATTCCGTGCGAAGTAAGGTCAAGTCGCTAGTCTGTGCTCGTACATATTTTTTTATGCCTATACCGATTTTATTACAGTTTCCATACAAGCAATATATACTAAAATAAAATCAAATAAATATCACCATAAAGTGTACAGTTCTACACCCACTTGCATGTATGCAAGCAATTACAAGAGTAATATGAACAATAATAATTTATAATGAACAAACATAATAATAACATACTACTAGCAAAGAAACAATTATTTTGTAAGAGACGTTCGCGTTCCCACTATAATTAATCAGTGAAATACATAAATGTTCATAATACCACCCTCAACGGACTTTATCATTATATTAATTAACCAAAATCCCGCTCCGTTGATTACGACCTTATAACGAATATATTGGGTCAGTCGAGCTAAACAATGTACAGCATAGTAGGTACCAGCAACGCCATCTAGCGGACGCAGCGTTTGAAGAACGGTCGATAACAGGGAGTATTTGTTAATTTGCCAATAAAACTATCAAGGAGACAAATATTTTGTAGGAACCGATCGCATTTCCACTAAAATTAATCAGTGAAATACATAATTATTAATAATACCCGGACTTTATCATTATATTAATTAACCAAACCCGCTCCGTTGAATACGACCTTACCTACAATGAAAAATATTGGGTCAGTCGAACCAAACAATTTACAGTAGATACAAGTAACGCCATCTAGCGGACGTAGAATTTGAAATGCGGGTGGTAACACGATGTATTTGTTTATATGCCAATAGATTACACATTATTTGTGGTTATCAAAAAAATATAGGAATAACTTAGTATGTTACTGTTAATTCTTTTTTTTTTAATGAAGATGAATTCATCTTCGTGCCTACGTAATACACGCTGTTAGGGCAACTGCGAAAGAACGGCTGAACGGAGAAGAAACGGCTAAAGAATGATTTGAAATCAAAGCTTTTGTGAAAATCGACCTAATAATGTAATTAATAAACACTTTAATAATTATAAATCCAGTAGCTCTTATACAACATTATGTATATTCCGTATTCAAACGAAGATTCGCACATTCCTATTCCTAAATGCAAATAAAAACTGTACATAAATTACATAGAACAAATTAATATATATATAGAGTTGAATGAATATATATTAATGTATTGGAATGTAAATATACTTAACTAAACGCAGTATACGTAACTAAAAAGTTTGACATATTCAATTTTATGTATTTTTATTTTTATACTTAATGACTTTAGGGTCACGTAATTCCATAATTAGCACTACATTGAAATTCTTTCCTGTAGAAAGAAATACAAATAATTTCAATCAAAACAGCTACGTATGGAGGAAGGGGATTGCATTGTAATGTGGACTATTGACCCTATTATTAGCAATGTACCATGTCAGTTAACCTCCACGCGTTTTCCCCTGGAAACCAATATGATGGATTCCAGGTGAATTTTGTCATGATGGGCCTGACCTTACCATCATCCACTAGTGCCCCATAATCATAAACCGTTAGCACAGATGGGAGCATCATTCTATTATTATCCATTAAGAAAAAAGAAAACTACGTACCATCCCATGCATGAATATGAGGTTTCACAGTACTGTAGGGGAAGTAAGCCTCTGATGTACCAGACATATTTTCAGAATGCGGCAAGAGCCAACGGTGACACCAGGAGCAACAGTAGAGGCAGTATTTGGCGCAGTCCTCGCCCGGTAGACGGTCAGTCTTGTAATGGAGCCAGCCGAACCACTCTGGAGTAACCTGTGGAAAACGGAAATTACTGTTACCATTATTAATGACAAACAATCTGACGACATATTTGTTGAACTATTGTACTATACCATGTGCGCTGCAGCTTGGTGCGGTTTCATTAACGTTTCGTTTTACTCTTAAAAGTTGCTGTTATAAATTATGACTTAGTATTTGAGCTGTACCGCATTCGTAATATATTAAATCATTGATAACTATACTGACTTAAATGTAGCAATTGTTAAATAAACACTTACACCAACAGTACCACAAATATCATATCTTCATGTGACACCCGTGGTACGTCATATGCTGTCATTCTGAGGAACTAAGATGTCACGCCTCCGTGCCTACTCTGTCCTACTTTATATCACCTATTAAATAAATCATAGTCTACAAAGCAAGTTGCTTGACGGCTAATAGAGGATCCCACGCCACAACTTTGTACTTACTGCATTAAATGCCACTACTTTAGTTTCAGAACAATAATAAGTAGCAGCAATGTTAACGCAAAACCTACACCATATAATAATTATTATAAAAGGCAGTTACTAACATATATAATGTATCTGAATCTATTTAGTCAAATCTAACTATTACATTGAAATCGTTCGTTTACTGTTTTCATATGGACCCTTTTGGAAGTTGTAGTCGCATACAAGCTAAGTTAATGTAATGAGAATTGTTAGGAACATGGCTACATACTAAAGTAGCATTTATTACGCTTATATTTGCAAAAATTGTCGAAATTTTATTAAAAATTAGCAATTAGCTAAATACCTAATAAGTATAGGTACTTACAGTCTACATATAAAATTATATAGTCGAATTGAGAAGTTTAGTTACTTGCTTATTGGTGTTTAATAACATGTATTGTTATTAAACACCAATAAGCAAGTATCTGAACTATTTAGACGTTTTACCACTTATTATAAAATTAATGGGGTTTATATTAAACTAGCTACTTGCCCCGGCTTCGCAGGGGTGTACATGTATTATATATATATACCTGGCTCTTGATTCACTCAATCTATTAAAAAAAAACCGCATCAAAATCCTTAAAGATTGAAGCATACATAGGGACTGAGAGCGACTTTGTTTTATACTATGTAACTAGCTACTCGCCCCGGCGTCGCTCCAGTGTACATGTATTATAATATAAACCTTCCCCTTGAATGACTATCTATTAAATAACCGCTTCAAAATTCGTTGCGTAGTTTTAAAGATGAAGAAAGGAAAGGCTACAGCAGAATCAAATAACCAATTGAGCACGTTCAGTTTCATTATAGATAAATGTTTGCGCAGTAACTCACCTGACTGGCGTCGTATTCCCACTTAACATTGGGCGCATATTCAACCCATCGACTGCGTCCTAGCATATAATTCTGATTTTCGTAGTATTTGTTGCCGGAACAATCCACGCCCATTAGTTTTCCTTCCTACATACAAATATTAGATACAGTGGCAGTACCTATCTATTTATGTATGACAGCCTCGGTGGTATAGCGGAATAGCACACCGATTTACTTCCGATGTTCGCTGGTTCGATTCCTTGCACGGTGCAAACTATTGTATTCATGAATATGATTGTATCCGTCTAAGTGGTTTCTATGTATGTATTAAAATATAAGTATTTATATCAGTTGTCTAGTACCCATAACACAAGCTACTTACCGTCGGACTAGATGGCGCTGTATTAATTGTTCAGGGTTATTTATTTGTCACTATTGTATTTATTAATAGATTGTAATTGTAATTATTAGTTATTGTATAAGACCATGTGCCCATGATTTCGAATGCATGATATTCGGAATAACAATAAAATAAAAATAATATCTTTATTATACTGATCACAATGAACGTTATAAAGTAAAATACAGTGGAATTCACATTTAATCCAAAACACAAAATACAACCCAAAATTCCTTTGATATTTTGCAATACTTAGGTAAGTGGAACCGTTTTTATATTCCCATACCTAATTGACTATTTTATATACAATAATATTATACATGTAGGTACTATTGTGGAATCTTACAAATATTATAATCGCGAAAGTTTGTAAGTATGGATGGATGTTTGTTATTATTTCACGCGAAACCTACTGAATGAGTTTTGATGAAACTTTACAGCAATATAGCTTATATATCAGTAATAGGCTATGATACAAATAGATATTATGTAAATTGATCGAAATATAACGTTAAATGTCAAGTGTCATGCAGACGAAGTTGCGTGGGTCAGCTAGTAGAGATTATATACAAAACTCGAGTACACAGTAAGAGTCACAATTTACAATAAAACAAAATGTAATCAACATCAGGCTTTTCTATCTACGGTACACACCTTTAGATCATCCATTCTCCAAAGCTTGTAAAATGATTTCGTTAGCCCACCATTCTGTGATATGATACGAATAAGTCGAGCCCACTTGTCGAATGGTATTATAGACATAATTATATAAAATTACGATAATTATTTTAGAATATTGATAAATCACTGCGTTTTATTTAAAGTACAAAGCTATCTACTCGTGGAATTTATGCAATCATGTCAAAAAAATCAGGAGACTGTCAATGTGATGTTTACAAAACATTGCCTTTCCTCTAAGGATAAAAAAAAAACAATAAAAATATTTAAGGAAATGATTAAATACTAGAAGTGCCCGCGGTTTAACCCGCGTTAAATTTCTATATAAAATATAGCCCAGGTGTGTGTTATTCTGACGCATAAGCTATATTCTTATAGTCTCATCAAAATCCGTTCAGTAGTGTCTGCGTGAAAGATTAACAAACATCCATACTAAGAAACTTTCGCATTTATATTATTAAGATTTGTTTAGGTAGCCAATGTACTAGGGTAAGCTAAGGCTAACCAGATAGCGAAGACAGCTTCTTATACATATTATCATAATTATCTTTCTTTACTAAGCTACTAATAAAGTGTATTTAATTTCATATTTTATTATTTGTATAGAGCATTAATTACCGATATATGTATTCTAACATCTCTTGCTTCAATCACTTTTAAACTGTAGTAGTCTCTTTCTTATACCTCCCATACCTCAGTATTCCCTAATCTCCTCCATATGATAAATGTAATATTTACGATAACCTTTATTTAATAATAACAATAATATCTAGTACAATTCACAAAGCGCTCTCTAGTTCCAAGCTAAGCAGAGCTTGTGATGTGTACAACCAATATTAATACATAAATAGTATTTTTGGTATACATAGAAAACACGCAGACCATACAATACTCATGAATACAAATGTTCGCAGCTTGCGAGGAATCGAACCCGCGGTCATCGGAAGTAAGACGTTACCCTAAACCGCTAGACCACCGAGGCCGTCACATTCCAATTTTCAGTTACAGTCATAATTAGGAAAGGATCTGGGACATATATATAAATATTGTATATTAAGTAATAAAAGATCATAATCGGAAATACAACGTAATAATTTATTATTAACAATCAAACAAACCACATGCAGATCGTTCACAGCCTGTTCCAAAACAAACTTTAAATTATACATAACATATAATTATACATCTTAAGGAAACTCAACACGTTTAATGCTGAAATTTAAACTTGCAGAGACATTTCTAAGTCTGATTATAACCTCACTGCCATAAAGTAAGGCACGCATTACACGATCAGTAATAACTGCAGAATTATCAGTAATAAACAGAGTTGTCTAAAAAAAGAAATCCTTACAGAATGGACTTGTTACAGTCCAATATGTAACAAAATGTGAGGTTTTCTAATGTAAACAATAACACTTATCATATTTAAACAATACTTTTGCGAGACTTTTGACTAACTATTCAGTTATTTCTGGTCAGATCAATTACAGCAAACCATAGACTATACACTTGCAGATCATAGAAAACCATAAAAACTTTCATTCAAAATTATATCGTATAAGTACTTACATTAAGTTTACTTTTCTATAGTCTTTAACATTTAGGTATGTATAGTTAATCTTTTCTTTTGGTCATATATGACTTGATGGATAGTTGAAGTCTCAAATTATTATTAATCAGCAATGAACGTGAAGAGATTCAATTTAAATACTATTAAGGAAGTACACGTGATAATTTTGTGAGGTTGACACCAATTGCGAAATAACAAATGTTAACATAGACTAGATACATTACACATATACCTATATATGTAAATAATAATACCTCGATTCATGCAAACAGGTATCAAATTCGGAACCTTCTCTCGTTACTGAGTATGACCTTAATTATATATATGATTATTGCACCTAAAACTCTACTATAGTATATATATACATTCAAATGTCATAAGGAAAATAAATCACACTTAATCTGAATATGGGTAATGGGTATGTCTTGATTATGTAAAATAATTCTTACTTGAAAAAAAGTGATAGTACTGCGACAAAGTACGTGACAGTTTATTTAAAAGAAGTGAAGGGCAAGAAGAATAAATAATGTTTGTAAAATTACTATAAAAAACTTATCTTTATATAATTAAAACAAGTAGATATACCAGAACAATATTAGAATAAAGAATTTATATTATTATTATAGTCCAGTATTTTCTCCGGATTGGTTTTTTTGAATAGCAATAAAAATTGAACGAATTTATTAGACATGATCACGTTATATGATATACCATACCAGAATTGTAGGTGCGAAAGGTACAATATGCTTTGTATTGTATTATATTGCATAGGAACTGATTTACATTATCAAGCTCCAATATATATTGGAGGTCAGTGCTCAGATAAAGTAATATATTAGACCTAAGTTTGTGTATACAATAGACAGGTATAATAAAATTAAAGCGCACAATTCATACTGTACTATTATACTAAATTTAGCCAAATATGTCAATATTTCTCACCAAAATAATTAAAGTATTACTTCGTTATTTATAAGTAATATCGACTTTAAACCAGTATATCTTATATATATTCATAAATAATGATGGCTGTTAAACATTTGTTATTTTGCATTTACCCTTTACTTTACCCAGCCAATAAAGAACTATAATTAATACCAATATTCATAATATATCTACTAGACTAAGGTAATATACTTACATTATAAGTATACTTATATGTAAACATAAATTATGAAGTTAACTTACTATATAATTATTAAGAAATACAACCATAACGCAGACTAAAAATTAAATCGAAAAATTATTATTAGAAAATATATAGCACAGATACAAATGGCAATAACCAATCAAAAGGAATATTTAAGATCTATTATTTTTCAATTAAGATCGTTTTTATCCAATAAACAATATGGCTTCATAAAGTTTTCGCCTAAATTTCACAACTAATTATAATAAAAAAATATATATATTACATACCAGACACTACATGCCATAAAATTGCGTAGTTTAATTGGAAATATATTATCATCAATAATAATACTCTGCTAATATGATTTTTTGTTGCAAATAACATGGAACGATAAAATGGTTAAACAAAAATTATTTATACAAATTTATCTGTCTAGATTCTGTCCCTAACATAGGATAGATAGCAGCACATCTCAAAGATTTAGATTTATTTTATCATATCTATGGTATGTAACCAATTTTAAATTAACAAAAGAATTGTAACTTGCTTAATTACTACTAATTTAAATATTCAAAGCTTAATATATTTAAAAATAAAGATATACAACTGAGTGGAGGTAGCGAGTATAAGTTAAAATAAATTTTAATGTTACACAGGTAAAGAATAGAATATTTTGACGATGAATTGTGCCTATAATCTATTCTCTACTTGTTATAAAATACAATTACTCAGAAATATGATTACGACCTAAAAGGGGAATAACATATTGTTGGTAGGGTTTATGTAATTATATTTAAGTTGCTAAATGAAAGTACATAATATTGTGTAATGAAGCTGTAAAGGCCCGCTGCGACCAACAGCATTAGGGTAGTCTGAAAAAAATACTCTTCAGATAGCCAATGAGCTGTTAGTACGCTTCTATGGAATACCTACAACATTTACGATTGACATATAAAAACAATGTCGTATTATTAACTCTTCAGTCTTATTAAACACAAGATATATTGGAAAAGCTGAGGATTCTATAGCATGAATATACAGAATCATAGTATATTAAATATTTACTATAGAAGTGTCGGTATATTAATAAGTACCATCAAGAAAGGAATTGCTTCTATTCTATGTTACCTCTCAGTGTCGGTATTATAACACATAACGCGTGCAACAACAGTCACAATTCGAACTGAAAATCATTTCTATGCTAAGAATGTACTATAGGAGTATTTTTTTTTCATTACACAATGAATACATAAAAAAATCATTCCACAAAAACAAAAGCATAACAGGATATTTTTTTCTCTAATTATTAGTACTAATAATTACATATATGTGAACGCTAAAGCTGACTTCAATACTATACAATGTATTCATTACAAATTTGCTTTGTATTCTATCATCATGAACAAATTAAAATACATAACTGAATTATATATGAAATAATTTTGATATTTTTAAATATACTCGTTAACAAGTAATAACTTAACTAGTGAAACAATATTTATTTATTCAGATATTTTCTAATTTAAAAGTCGGACTCTGTTGTCAGCTAAGGAATTTCCATTTAAAACGCAGACAGGGATACAGTGACGTATAACAATATGTTAACATATAGTAAAAATAAAAGTTTTTAATGTCTATATATTTCCCATCTAGGTTATTATATTACAATATAATTTACATTTATACATTTAATTCGTATTTGGAAAGAGTGTATTACAGCGTTTATAATTTATTATTTTGTCAATACTGAAACTGCGAGAAAAAAAACTACTACTAATCGAAACGACAAAACTATTTCAATAGTCGCTTAATTAGCCTACACAAGATATTAAAACTAGGGGGAATATCGTAGCAGTAGTTATGTGGGCAAAATCGGTTCCGCGCGCTTTCTATGGAAAATCGGTTCCGATCTTTCTAGCAAGCCACCCACGTTACTCCCCTGATACTACTTCGGTATTGACCCTATGAAGATATACCCTGAGAAGGCCGTATTAGTAAAACTTCCCCGACATAAGCGTATAGATTTCTTTAAGTACCTACCGCATTCAATTAAATTTCCATGGCCTAATCAACTAACACCAGTTTAATTAGTTTTGGTATACGCACAAATACACCACAGTCCATAAATACTACAAGACAAATTAGGTACAATTGGTGCATAATTACTTTAATATTCAATACAATATAAAGTTACACTACATATTGTAATTTTAAAACGATACTATTCCACATTTATTATACTTGTCTATGCCCAGTTTAAAGGACAATGCCGTTTATATTGTAAATTTTCAAAAGACTAGTATAATATGACGAAGAAAATGATGTTCACTCGACATATGTCTTTATTTGATTTACTTATTATACAGCATTATACAACATTGTATTACGTATTTACTTAATTTTTGATTTGTATCTAAACTAATACATCACCTATATATGATATAATATAATAATATATCGTACGGAATAAGATGTACTTTATATTTTCATTATTATGTATTTTGTATACCAACATCGATCAATAGATTAATCTCTGATTTGTTAACGTCAACTACGTTAAGAGTTCTATATAATGCATGAAATGATATATAATTTAAATAAATTATTCTTACAATATGTAAGTATATAAAAAAATATATATGGTTATCTAATGACCTCTTATTTGTAAATATGTAACATTTTCTACAATTTATTATTTTCTCTGTGACAGCACCCTAAGGATGTAGTAAATAAAATCTTGACTTAGACATTCATTATTTATATAAAATATAATTGAAAACAAAATAATTTATGATATCAGTTATAAATTATTTTATTATTATTTACCAATATAATAAGAAAATGGGTATATCGTAGGTAATCATTATGTTAAAATTATAATTAAGCATTTCTTTGGTAAAATAAAGATGCAATATGAAAGGTACTGTCCTATAATTATTCTTTTATAGTTTCTATAAATAAGTACATGGTTATAAAATTTCTATGTATGTAATATGAATGTATATATTTTACTATTATCCATATAATATCTCAGTTCGGAACATTTTTGGCACTTTTATACGGCGAGTGTCAAGGTGGATCTTTTATTCTCGACACATTTATGGGTAAAGGCAATTGAGAAAAAGGCCACTCTATCAGTAGTCTAGATATTGCGAAGGTTTTTGATCGGGTTTGGCACATAGCATGGTAGTTCTGAAAGAAGAGTCCTTCAAAACTACCATCCTTTGAGTTGCCTATGAAATTAAGCAGATGGATTGCCAGCTTTCTCGGAATACGGAGCATCAAGTCGTCGATAATGGTACTTGCTCCGACCTACATTCTAGAGAAAGAATACTGGAGTTCCATAAAACTATATGCTGTCTCCGAGTGACATATTGATATTATGTTAAGCAGAAACATTGCTGAATCACATACTTTTTATCAACTGTCAGTAACATATATAGTCTCGGCATCAATAACAATCCAATAGAAACAAATATCTATTCAGTGGAAATTAACTTTTTATGGCAACGTCGAATGTTACATATAGTTTATGTACAATTGTATTCTTGAATATCTTAACAAATATTCTATTTCGAATTGCATATACGAAAAATATTTAATCTATTTGATTTGCAAGGCACCCTACAAATTACGTGTTCGTTTTCAAACTTGTACCTATATAATAAAAATTTGTGCAGTGAAACAACTCATACCAGTCCAACATAGTCCTACTGATATACTTGTAGTAATTTATGTATGTTGAAAGCATATATGTAAACCCCTTTGATTACATAATAACTAACAAAATATCTAAATTAATGAAGATACAGCGTCATAACTGTACCTGTTATTTGTTAACGTTTATATGTTAGACAATGCCTAGATTTATAAGTGAATATGAGTTGTCAGGCTAAATCCTGGGTCCAAAGTGTTAAAATAGTAGATACCTAAAAATTTCTTTTTTATTGTCTTCCCTTCTTTGTAATTCTTGAAGATCAAATCATATGTCAAAAGAAATTTATGAAATATACAACAATTAATGAAGACTTACGTAATTTATAGGTTATAAAAAAATTCGCCAAACAAATTATTTATCGATGACCCAGCATTGGAAATCTATATTAACATCTCTAAATATTAGAAGCGCCTACTTGTGTGTCGGAACATGAACTAGTGAATAGTACTATACTAAAACATCTGAAGTCATAATTTTCAAACGGAACAATTGAGTTTACTGCGTACGTATATTAACTATCTGTAACTTTTAGTTGGCATCGTTTTTACATTACTTCATAGATCTTTACACAATAAATTATGAGTACGTGTTGGCGATAGTGCTGTGCTTACTTCCCTGTTTTGTATTTTAACACTTTAGATCCAGGATATAACTCGTCAATATATATTATCTATATATATCCTGCACGGCCTCGACTAAGGTCAAATGCAAGACGCTGATGGGTATTTTATAAAACAATTTTATTAATATTATTAAATAGTAATAAGTCAATTATCATTGATAATAATTTCAGATCGAACATGTAATAGGGCAATTAATCAGTTACTTTAAAAATAATTAATAGAACTATTAAAAAGCCTTACGATATATATCCGAGTTGTCTACCCCAGCTATCCATATAAACTGCAGTGCTACAGCATAGATTTCCTAATACATAACAAACATTCGTCGAAAACACTACACCTAATTATTTATGTGCAAAAGGATATCTATTTAAATTTTAGACAATAGTTAATACTTCTTTTAAATACTTCATATATTTCTTGGCATCTTACATTGGAAGAGTCCGGTATACTTTTTGTATTTACGATTAAGCTATATACTGTGCAACATTTCTAGTTATTATAGGTTCATATACTTAAATGGTATGTCCGTCCATTTGGTATTAATATTTAAAAAAATAATGTACCATAGTCATTGTCTACAAGAATCATGACAGAACACGGCATAAACATATTTTTAAGTATTATTATTCTCTAATTCCTGAGAAAATCTCTAAACTACCCCTAAGGAATATAAGAAAATACCTAAATAGGGAAGATGATGAGAACGTGCGAGCGAAACTGCAGCAAATACCGAGTGTTAAAATGTCAGTAATAATAACTGTTGATTTTCCGATCAAATAGTATTACAAAGTATATCAAAGGAACTGTCTCTTTAGCGATTGTTTGGCTTTCACAACTTTAATATACATATGGTGGATAAACGCCATTCTTATAATTAATATATTTTATTATGTATTCCATGTAATAATTGGCACATCACTACAACATTCTATTTCATTCAATCCAATTAACATATTCAAAGTACATATAGTAAAGTACTTATGACTAGTAGTTTAAGCAGACTAATAAAGTATTTTTGACCAGTTCGGAATTTTTCAATGTACTCGTAAAAACATATACTACAGAATACCTTTGAATATTCATCATATTTCAAATCCACTGAGAAAACCGATTAAAATTGTTCTATACTGCATTATATTTTTTATTGAAATGGAATACCAAATCAGAAAAAACCTTGAAAGTCTATAAATTCTGCCTAAGTCTCTCGCCTAAGTCACTGTATCTTTATCATTTAGATACTATGAAACATTGTATGTATAAATATAATAACATATCTTATACCTGTACAAAAAAGTTATAATAATATGTAGCAATGTACAGCCAACAATATTTTAGCATATTGTTAACGGTAAAAAAATTATTCAACCACAATTAATTGGCATATATTGTAAAATATCTAGTAATCTACTATATGATGTTGACTGTACATTGATTTTTGATTGTGTAAGGCTATTTCACAGCAATCTTTGCAGTTATACCCAAATTCTTACGTCGTCATCATTACTAATAAGATATGAAAAAATTGTCTATCACCTTTCAGAGCGCCTACACCAAAGTCTGACGATGTCTACTATGAGTGACAGTAGTAGGTAGTAGACTAAATATAAAAGTATGTATGTATATTTCTATATGTGTATACTTCTTAATATTCATAGAAATCATCTCACATATACTTATCCGAAAGAAAGTGGTAGACACCACTATTCAAAGATTAAAATATATTTTCAAAGCGAAAAGTAAAAACGATACCTCAGAAAACCAAGCTATAATCTAGCATAATGCGTTTTAACGCCACTCCTGTACCTACCAACGGTGGACCAACTCTTGAAAGAAATAATCAAAAAGCAATTTGAGATGCTACATTACGCAAATGCTATAGTCATGATCAAAGTACTCCATAACAACCATATCAGACCGCATCAAAAAGCGTACTTAACAACGTAGTTTAATTATGTTAAGAAAACGAACAATCAGTTTACCCTGAAGCAGTCATTATTCCATTTACAAAATAAAAAAATATATATTTATCATGCCTAAAAAGTAGAAAAAATAATGGAGTAAAAGACTTTACAAGGGCGTAACTACGGGAGGTAATGTAAAATAGGATATATATGTCGTGTACACATCGTAGTTTTCATTTATTATATTAAGTAAATAAGACAACCACTACACGCTACTGTCACGTTTAGCCGGCTAGAAATTTTCATGATCAACTTTTGTCAATTTCTTTATAGAGATTTGCCCATGTGTAATAACTTCATGAAACGCTACTATCTCACAAAATGGCTAACTACTTTATTATTATAACATGGCCAGTTTAGCGACAATATAAACATGGCCAGCCTTAGGGGTAAAGCGCTCTTTAACATATCCGTATATACACAGTAATTACTGATATGTTAGAATAGAAAAGAAGACATACTGAGTAGCTCACGAAGAATGAAGGCAAACAACGTAAGTATCATGTAGTACTACAACTTCTAGCACAGCGATTCCTAAAGTTAATGCAATGACTACTTCTACTAGTCAGTCAATTATTTATATGTCCAAAAACCTCTTAATCATGCTGACGAGCAAGAGATAGCTTACTTCTAAACTCTTATGGCTGGTGTACAGCTTGTATACTCAACTTCAAAGTCCAATATTATTATTTGATATGAAGTTTTGGAAATATTAACCCTGAAAATAATAGAAACCGCTGTTCTAGGATCTACACTTTATACATCTACTATATATTTATTGCTGCGTATATTACAATTAAATACTCGGCACTATTAATTGCGGTATAAATTTGTTCCAGAAAATATTATTAAAATATAAAAATCACATTTATATATTTTTTGTATGTAGCGTACTAATGCAGTACTGACGATATTACAAAAGCTATGCAAGCCAATCCTGCGTTTCGATTTATTTAATCACATAAAAATTGTTACAAATTGTTATTATTTTCTTCTATAATATACAGTGTGTCAGTAAGTAGAACTTTACGATATAGATATACATGGCATAGAATGTAAATACTTAAGTCTGTGAAGAACCGTAGGTGCCGGCCGGCGGTCGGTAGTCCGGGGGCAGACCCATCACCTGTTTTTTGGTGAAGGCATACTTCCTCACTCCGATGTTTTTATTGGTATTCTCTCGGCGACAACCATCACTGAAAGCGCACATTATCATAACCAAGTTTAGTGACACGGTCATACTTCATTTTAGTAAAAAAGATATTTAAATATATATAACTCAAAGGTGACTGACATAGTGATCTATCAATGCACAGCAAAGATATCTAAATATATATAACTCAAAGGTGACTGACATAGTGATCTATCAATGCACAGCCCAAACCACTGGACGGATCGGGCTGAAATTTGGCATGCAGGTAGATGTTATGACATAGGCATCATTCCACCCCTAGGAGGATAAATTAACGCGTGCGAAGCCGCGGGCAAAAGCTAGTTATTATTATATAATACAAACCTCCGCATAATACTGAGAGCTTTCTGCATTTCATGTTCAGCGAGGTGATACTCAGTAGCTAAGATAGAACACTGTTCCAACGTCACCGACATTCCTGTACGGTCTTTGGCACTCTTGCACGACGTGAACCTTATACCTGGGAAATCAATGGAAAATACCACATTTGAAATAGTTATTTTAATGTTTTCTTATGTTGTAACCAAGAAAACTTTTGAATACATATTGTACGCGGGGAAAAGAGGATTGTTAGTAATGTGGGCTGAAGACCCCATTGGTAGTGATGTACCATGTCAGATCTTCCCAAAATTCCTGGTAAATTTGTCACACTAGACTAACTGATCCGCCCTGCGATTTATGTGCGAATACTATACCAAGCAGTTTATTCCCGGCTTCGATTCCTTATAGCCTATAGTGTATCATTTTGAAATATACACTGCATATTCTGTTTTACATAAAATCATAAACAAAAATATATTCTGAAAGTATTATATGGTACATCTAAGTATAAAACTTATTTATAATTAATTAAACTTTTGAAACATGACACAATAACAAACTTATTTCACATTGTAAGACACACATTTCTTATGTCACATATTATAAAAAGATGTCATACCATTCATAAGCCTGGTCGCCAGTGCTGATAAATGTAATACTTCTATATTTTTGGGCACTTTCTTGTGTACAGCTATCCTTAAATTTTCTATAACCTCTTCGAGTGGCTTTGTTCTTGGAGAAGCTGCAGACAACCAAAATATACAGTCAGTATCAATTCGTTATCTCTACCAATCAGCAACTCGGTACAAGAACGAGAATACACTTGTATAGGCCAAAGTAATAACAGTGTAGCAATTTGAAATAGATATATAAAAATAGCTGGAAACATTTTTATACAAAATACATATACAATGGTATATAATATAACATGTATGGTAATGGTATTAATATTATTCAGCTTAAACTTATCTTATTAATATTATAAACGCGCAAGTTTATGAGTATATATGTTTCGTTACTCTTTCACGCAAAAATTACTGAGCGGATTTTGATGAAACTTTACAGTAATATAGCTTATACATCAGAATAAGACATAGCCCATAAATTTCATGTAGGTGAAACCGCTGGCATAGCTAGTATAAATATAATTGGTAACATAGGAAATGCATGGATATAACAAAATACCGTGTAATCTGGAATTCGTGTGTTAATTGTATTTTAAATAAGCAATTGGAATTGCAATCAAGCTTATCAGTTTGATTACCGCGATACGGTTACCGCTTACCGCCCAATTTTTTTTTTCGGACTACTCTAATGGTGTTGGCTGCAGCTGGCCTATACAGCTTCACCGGACGTTAGGGGGCGAGTGCAGATGGCACTCCAAACCCGCGGAAGGACTTATGAAGCGGCTGAAGGCCAACTCCTGTCTGACGGATACGAGTTTAGTCTGAGGACGCCATTTGGGGTTCGAACCTCGGCTCAGGCCGTCGTAATATCGATCCCCGTTTGAATTGGACGGGGGATCGATCGGAGGGGCCTTACGATCAAGTGCAAAAAGTAAGCGGCAACCGTCGCCTACTTAAATTAAGAGCACTACGGCCATCACGTTATGTGACCTGTGATACCGCTCAACCGTTACAATTCCGGATGATGAAGATATCATGCGTCTTATCCTTTAAATACACTGCCTGATCGCACCCTAAAACGAAACACAACTTACAAATAAAGCTGGTTGGTGGTGAAATAAGTAAAATTGAGGTACCCGTGAACGCAAGTTTTGATATTCTCTGGGGAATAAAGTATTATAATTGAAGCATTGCCGAAGCTACAAAATTTGCTGTGACACCCACTGTACAGCAGTTGAAAGACAAGCAAAAGGTAGTGGAAATGCGGTTTATTAAAAAATCAACAATAACTTTGAACAATTCACAGAGCGCGTCCCAAGCTAATCAGTGGGCTAATTATGTAACACGATATGAAATTGTTTCTGTTGAAGTTGTGATGCAATATGAAATCATTTCAATTTAAAAAATGCGATCAAGTAAGGTCGAATGACCGCAACATAAATCATTTCTATCGATAAAACACTACTATGAAGTTGCAGCGGAATATTGTTAATCCGACCAATTTAAAAAGTCAGTACATTAGATAGCTTATACCTTTAGAGGGATACATTTTAATTTATTGGGTTGTTACACTAGTTGGTTGATTTGAAACAATTTTTATTGCGTTCAAAAATTACAAAATATACTGCAGCGTTCACTTGTTCTTTTATTTTAATTTTATTAATAGACATTTAATAAAATAAAATAAAGAAAGTCTATTCTATTCTAATGAAAAAATAAGGTTAATAATTTTGAATATAAAAGCATATTTTATACAAACTATTTATAATCATTAATAATATTAATCTAACCTACAAATTAAATTTTCTTTTCTGCTATAGATACCTAGGTAAGTACGTAGGTATCCATATAAATTAAAAATGATATGGGCACATCTTTTTAAATTTGTACATAATTGTAAAAACTTTAAACAAATAAATTTATTTACTTTAAACAAATCACAGAGCATCATAAACGTTGTATTCCGTTCAGAGAGCACCGTATTCATTGAAATAGTTTTTTAATTATATTAATATCATAATCAACCCTAATTTTATATTAAACATTTACTCTAGTTAATACAACATTCTATGTGATTTGGGACGAAAATAAAATATCGAATTGGCAACACTGATGTCGTGTTGTGAGTCGTAAAAAACCGTTTCAATTCCACGCTGTCATTTCGGCAAAATAGCGATTACGTGACGTTGCAACGAGGTTACTAAATCGACATTCGATAGAAATAATTTTTATCGATATGTAAAGTTGCGTTTACGTTGCAATGCTATTTGACAGCGTCAAATGGCGTCTATATGATCGCATTATTGACAGATGACGTCATTTTCACTACGTTACATACGAAAATCGTTGCGAACGAAGTTACATAATTAGCCCACAGAGCTTGTGTTATGGGTAGTAAATAAGTAACATAAATACTTAAAATACATTTTTTTTGTAAATACATGATATTTATACAGAATACATTGGAACTTATGTGTAAAAATGTTTTCATTGTACGAGGAATTGAAAACGCGACCATTTGAAGTATGGTAGTGTCTTAAGTCGCTAGACTGCCGTGAACATATAATTAATTTGTTAATATATGAACAATGATTCACCTCTAGCAGCATGATCAGGTGGGAACAATTTGCTGTACTTATGGTAGTACTTGTTCAGCCTATCGAAGTTGTCACTGTTGGAGTGGTACTGCGGCGTAGTCTCGCCGAGCGCTTCTGCCAGCGTCGCCTTTTCATTAATACCGATGTTGAAGAAAACGGCCGTTATGGTGAATGACAGATGCTGGAATCATTGAACATTTACATTATGTTTTAATTTATTACAGCAGAATGTTAGTATCCTAAGCTACCTACAGCCATGAGCACTCGCAACACCGGTGGCATTGCTAGTGGGTTGTTTTAAGCCTTTTAAGAAGGAATAAGTTCTTTCCTAACGTTTTATCGTATCGGTTCGGAAATATCATTGCTGAAGGTTACTACACCATCGTTACTGAATCCGTTATTGTAACTTAATTTTGTCATTTTGCTGACATAACTGCGCATCTATTACGTACTATTCAATCCTAAAATATATTTTTTACTTTTAGACAATTAACGAGTAGCATCTCTTCAGTTTCAATGTAAAATCGTTGTAAACATTGGGATTTGATAAATTTTATATAGAGATAACAACTGACCTCTTTAGATATAAATTTAGAGTATAGCGAATCCGACACGGGGAGATGAACTGTTAGCGCTCCTCTGGTGCCGCTCACTTGAGGTATCGCAGTACTACTGTAAAATATTATTACAATTACATTATTTACATTTATTAAAAAACTTCAGGTGATAAGCGTAAGATATTTTATTTGTATAGCGAAAGAAAGAAAGTGTGTTCCTGTATCAAAGCGTCAAAATACCTAGACAATAAGAAAATCAAATGTAATAAAGAATATTTATGAGACTATATCCAATAAATTTCGTAGGGCAGGAGGGAATTGTTAGCCATTGCCCGCAATGTACTATGTGAGGACTCCACGTTCTTCTTGTCAAAGGTCATCCTTGACAATAATCGTGATTAATTTCAAGTGAACTCGTACGACCGGCGAACTGACTTGACTACCTCATTCTCATATCAATTTCCACTATATTCTTAACTAATAAATGATTATTAATTTAATTTGATTAGAATATTAATAAATAATTAATAAAATAGTAGTAATAAAATCAATTGCATAAGGAATCGCCAAAATAGTTCAATTTAGCGAAACTATTTTACAACATAATCATAAATAGACAAATTGACAATCTTCATTTATTTGGACATAAACAAAACTAACCGATTGTATAACTCACCTATGCCCAACTTTAGTTAGCGTAAACACGACAGTCTGTAAATCCTCCACAGCCACTACCATGTCACCCCACATGGCCTTCTCAGTTGAATACAGGCTGAGTAGGCCCTCGAACCCACACAAAGGGCCCAGCCCCGTGCTGAGCAGCTTGACTATCACGTCACCTGGTACTGAACACAACCAGCATAGCAGGCCAGTAGTTGCCGTTGTTAACTAAATTAATAAAACAAATAACAAAAACTTAGAACATGTCATACAGCGACATAAAGTGCTGAACGTAGCAGAGTTTATATTATCTGTACCGAACAATTAATTAAAACATTTAAATACATGTTTTTAACGTAATATTTAACATTGGTCTAGGCATTTAATATATTAAATACCTAGAAATTATTACGTTTAATAGAAATGCTTGAATAGTGCGCGAAGCGACTTCTGAGAATCGGAAGTAAAACAGTGTTGTAAATTATTAGACCAACGAGGTCATCAAAACATTACGTGAATTTAGTAATTAGGTGTAATATTTCAGTAACACAGGTATAGTAATACTCGTTGGGTAAGCACTATAGATATAGTAAGCATAACTGGGCACCGTTAATCAAATAGTTACTTCGTTAATCCGCTAAAAAAAAAGTTAGCTTCGTTAAACGTTAAAGCGTTACATTCCAGAAGAATTAACGCAAGTTAACGTTAATCATTAATCCCTTAATAAGTGTAAAATTGCATTTTTATATCGCTACGTTAGTGAATTTATAAAAACTGCTGGTTTAGGTCCTGGAAGTTAAAAAGTTAGAAACAAAACAAAATACATGTATAACTCAAATGAGTAAATTAATCATCGGGCTTAAGGTGCATATTCTCCATTATTTGCTTTCAGACGAGAACTTCAACATGTTAATGTTCAAATGTTGAAGTTTTTTTTAATGGATAACAATGGAATGGTGTTCCCGCCTGCGCTAGCTTTACGCTGTCGGGGGGCACCAGTGGAGGATGATAAGATGAACATGAAGTCAGATCAGTTAGCCCAAATTCACCGGGAATTTATCACGATGGTTTAAAAGTTAATCTGTTACTCAAAATGTTAACTTCGTTAATTAACGGATTAACGAGTTAATGCCCAGCTATGGTAGTAAGTAATTATAACATATTTGATCTTATGAAAGCAGTAAGATTAGAATAAATCTTTTGAATAGTAATCAATTATATTTTAAGCTTCCGCTGATTCCGAAAGCTGTCTCATAAGAAGAACGAGCAGGATATTACGTGTTGCTCTTTTATATAATTGTTGTCACTACATATTATTTAGTCGAAATGTGTACGAAATACGAAGTACTAACTACCACTAATTTTATTAGGGTCAAAATATAAAACAAGAAAATATTTAAACAATATTTTTCATTCATTCATAACAAAGTACTTTACACCGTAAACGTATGTTTTTGTCTATAATAATAAACTTGTTTTAATAGACAATACTGTCGGATTTATTTTCCAAAATATATTTATTTATTATTTTTTATACCACAATAGTGGCAAACAAACATACGACTTGTCTAATGATAAACGGTAACCCTAGTTATAGACGCCTGAAACACCAAGGGTGTGGAGGTGCGATTTGTCGACACGTAAGAAACGGAACCCTCCTTGAATATCCCCTAATCAATTGTTTAAATTCATAAAATATATTTACCGCTTGCGAAAAGCACGTATCTCTTCTAGTCTGCAATGCTGCACGCTCCTTCGCCCAGCTAGGCGCCTCATATCTAAATTATAATGAAACGTTTTTTAAATAACACACAACACCATACGATTAATTATACTAGTTAATATGATATATGTACATATTTATAAGTAAAACTAAATAGAGACTTATCTCTGCCTCTCTTAAAACCTCAATTATAAGTTTTAAACGGAGACATTATCTTTTTTTTATTGTATTATATCTGCCTTCTAGACTAGCTATCTAGCGCGATATTATTTTATACTAGATGAAAACGCGGCTTCGCTCGGGTGAAATGTGGGTAGATATTTCTGTAGTCATCGGTTCTCAAAGAATATTAAAGGTAAGCAGAGCATATATTCGCAAAGCTTCGCTCATTTTGTTTAATAAATATAGTAAATAAAAAGAACAAAAGTTTACGCGGGGCGACAGGGACACTAAGTAGCTTAGGAATGTTTGTAAGTGCCATACTTGGTTATAGTTTGTTTTTTAATCCCGGAGACTAAATTGACAGATTTAAATATAAAATTTTCAAATAATGTTACCACCTGTAGCGGGGTAGTGGTGTACCTGCGATACCGATTTGTTTAATCAGAAACTTTTATTTTAACAAATTAGTTTAAAGTTTAAAATGACGTTTTCATAACAAAATTTTATAATTTACGTACAGCATAAAAATATATGTTTGTCGTTTCCGTACAAATAGTAATTACAATATTAATCTACAAACCAAAATTTTTTTTCTTACAATCAGCTAAATAATTTAAATAGGTGTTCCTTTCATAATATATGACACTATGAAAAGGTCATTTGTTTTATAAAAAAGGCAGTTAGTCCTTATTTTTGTGTAAAATAAGAAAATCTATATTGATACAAAATATTTATTAATACCTGTACTTTATTAATTTTGTGTTAATGCTTTTTCAATAAACACCCACTCATTATTTCTGTATAACCTATAAAAATGGGTAAATAATATTAATTTCCGATAGTGACACAACCTTATTTAAAAAATGCAAATACCTGGCAACACATGTGTAATAATAAAATATGAAGAAATTTTGATTGTTACTATATTTTTTTTAATAAGTTCGTCAGAACAGAGAAATAACATTTGACATTTATTATTATTTGACATTGGACATTGACTTTAATTTTTGTAATTTATATTGTAAATCTTTAAGTTGGGCTAAAATGGACTTGTATCCAGAGCCGTAAAACAAATTAATAAAAAAAAATACAAATATGCCTCGCAATCGGCTAATTTAATGAAAAAACACATAACTATGTACTCTTTTGTCATACAAAAGTGTCAAAAACAATATTTTCGCGAAACGTCAACGACTGAAGGAAAGTTATTAATTTTGTTATGATTCACTCAATGTTTCCGACAAGACGTTAGTCCGGCAGTCACATGAAAAGATGGCGAATGCGGTTTGTTTGTCAGTATCATTAGAATTTAACGAAATACTCCATAATCCGAATTTTGCGGATATATGTTGTCGACTCGAAATCAATATTTTTTTATGTTTTGTTATTCATATAAGGTTTCGATAGAGTCTACCGTACCCCTTGACGAAATTATTAATATAGATTATTTTTAACAGTAAATAGTCCAAAAACTCTTTAATTTTATTAGCAACAATAACTTTGAAATTATTGATATACTTTTGGCAAATTATTGGGAAAGGTCCTTCGTTTAAAAATATGTACAGAAAGTCCACTTAAAAGACTTGGCTCAAAGTTATTTATGTGGAGTTTGAGTTGAATGGTCATATGTGTGCGGACATCGCCGTCTTCTGCCGCTAAGTAACTTGTTTTATAAGTTATTATATCTATAATGAAAAATAACAAAATGACAAGGTGCGGAATGACACCTTATCATACCCGTGCAGTAATGGATGTAGGATACCGTGGACCTGTACATGTGGATGCGACGATGACTACTAATCAGCAGGTGGGCTATTAGCTTGTTTGCCAGTTACGTAATAATTTATTTTTAATCTCCATGTACCTGAGCCGAAGCGCCGCGTGCGATACCCGTAGCCACCTAACAACCTCGCCCGTACTACATTTCAATGACTCCATGTGAGACTTCAATTGTTCTAGAAAGTCTTCTGATATAGGTGCTGTGAAATATAATTGTCACATTTTTAAACAAATACTATCCTGCATAGTGTAATTTAAGGCGAAATAGTTAATTAAATGAAATTAATTACAATCTTAGTAATATAGATATAAATTTAATTAATACATTTAAAATTTTAAGCATTGCTCATACATTGGTATATGAGTAGTACTTATAAATTTACATTTAAATGCAATCATGCACGATTATCCACCAAAAGAGGATCCAAGGAGAATGTAAGATTAAATTATGATAATTAATTAATTAAATTTAAATTAAGTTTCTGATGTTGTCAAAGACTAATCAATTAAACTTTATAATCACGGATTTCGCCAATAATACACTGTAATCTACTCTCAATTTGACCACAGACTTTAACAATAAACAATAGAGTATACATCCGCGTGTAATATTGTTTAAATGATTTAATGTATTTTTAATCATAATTAACAAACAAATATTAGGATTCTCCACTCTTCACCTCCATTCCTCCTGCTCTATATAGATTACAAGTGTGCGAAATATGTATCAAACTCCTCCGTCCACGCAATTTACGTAAAAATTGGTACAAAGTTTTTGCTTCAAGTATATATATATTAATATATAGTTAATATTGTAAATAATATATAGTTAAATATTGTAATTAGTTAGATATAAAAGCCATCTACTAGCCATCGTATTTATAGACCGAACTAAGATGTACGTGGCGCAATTGCATTTGTTTCTCACATCTATTACCAGATGGCGTTAATTACAAAATATTATAGAAACACTTGTCTCACTTTCGCTATACTTGGAGTGGTGTAATAATAGGTCTAGGGGATTCTTACTTCTATCTATTTAGAATAGTCTAGAAGTTTGTAAATGGATTTTATATAATTGTCTAACCAACACATAAAATAGCATCTTCATACTGTATTTAACAAATTTATATAGTACTTTAACATGTCTATTTAGTAAAACTTCCCACGGGACGTGTCTGGAAGTATTGTTGATTGATTTATAATGACCCCTTGCTCTTTTCCGATTATATATGAACTTTATGATTACCCCTGTAGAATTTAAATTGCTATGCATTATGCAATAGAATTACCATCTCGATCACAAAGAGCGGTGGCGACCCCCGTAGCCACATATGTGAGTGCCTCCTCCACGTTGCTGCCCACACCACGTAAATATGCCAAGTGATTCTCCCGAACCGCCGGGTCCAACGCCGTGAACGGAATAGATTCTCTTCTATGCTCTACGCCCTGGAAATAATAAAGTAATAAACTTTACTACCCCAATTAAGCTAAGACTGATATAAATAGCCGTCCTCTAATAATTGGGGGTAAAGAAGTCTTTTTTTTAATTGATGATAATGGAATGTTGCACCTGACTGCGTTAACGGTTTACACTGGCAAGGCACCATTGAAGGATAATAAGATGAGCATGAGGTCAGGTCAGTTCGCCCATCGTGACAAATTACAAGGAACTTATCACGATGGTTTCCAGGGGGAACCATCTGAATCGGGGAACCCTCTGGAAATCTGATTTATTCTTGCTGAATCCGTCAAAATGGCTTGTCTGACAGAACCCTATTCTCAACAGTTTCCTCGCCAGCATATACCATTAGCGTAGAAGGGTGCACCATTCCATTATCTTTTTTTTTTTACGTAACTGGAATGGCACAAAACCTGACTGCCCAGATTACTGGTAACCGTTGTCTGACTGACTGACCACTTATGTGTTGCCATTTCAAAGACACTACTTAGGCTTTCCTAATCTGCACCAAACAACCAAAACACAGTTTACAAAGCAAACAGCGTGCCGGCTGAAATAGGTAAGACTGAGGTTTATTACACAAGTTTGGTAAGACTTCATACAATCATATAAATCATTCAGTAATTGAAGCAACTACTAGACCTGGAGCTCATCACTTAACGTTTCAGTAACAGTGGGTGGAAATAATCAAAAATGTACATTTCAAAAAACAGTTCTCATGTATATACTGTAATATTACATACTTTAAAAATATATAGATAACAAAATAAACTAAGGAGTTTGTGGTATTATAAAAAGTTAGATTATCTTTAATAATTCTTAAAATTTTGTTATTAAAGTATTTACTTTAATAACAAAATTTTATTTATATTTAAATTTCAAAATTATATTTAAATTTTAACATTAAGCGTCTACAAAAAAACCTTTAATTTTATATAAATCAAAAGTTTGTAAATAATATAATATTATTTTTATAAAACAACACAAACAGTGTATAGTCAGATTTACATGTTTTTTATGTATGATAATGGAATGGTGCACCCGCCTGCGCTAACAGTTTACGCTAGCGGGGCACCAGAGGAGAATGATAAGATGAGCATGAGGTCAGGTCAGTTAGCCCATTGTGACAAATTCACCAAGAATTTATTACAATGGTTTCCAGGGGGAATCACGTGGAGGTCAACCTGACAAGGTACATTGCTAGCAATAAGATTATCAATCCACATTGTTAACAATCCCCCTTCCCCCCCAGATTTACATGTTAATATCGTCCGTATACGACCATTATCACACAATGTGAAATCGAATAAGCTAACATGGCCTAAAAGAAATCATGTACATCGATATATTGAGCGTGCACTGCTATAACTAACATACGTACAACACAGTCACGAATATGCACTATTTATAAGTACGAATTTGCACTATTTATAATATCAAATCAAGCAAAAACATTAACCATATATTAGCAAATAATAAATAGTAGAAATATAATTGTATTCGGCTACGGCATGTTACAATAAAGGCAAGAAATGCAGGAAAGTCGCTAGAAGCAAACTTCGAATTGTGTTTATGTCTTTTAAAATAACTAAGACGCACAAGGGTTAGTGCTAGGCTCATTAGAGTAATTACAAAATAATATTTCATTGGAAAGTTTTATCACACTACGAAAAAGTGTGTGGTCGCTGATTTAAAGATTATAATGTTCGCAAAATACCTACTCACTTCGAAAACGCGCAATGCGATAATATTAAATATTTATATTTGATTTTAATTGCGACGCTTTTTATAATGAATTAATGCAAACTTTTAAGGAATGTTTATATAATAAAGACTGGAATTTCAAATTCATATTATTCTTAAGATGAAACGCGCAAGCGTAATTACATTTATAGTTCAGTGATTTTATTATGAGAACTAAATACAGGTGGTTATAAAAATAAGCACGCACGCACAGCATGTTAGAACAGAATCAATATTTGGAGCGAGGTGGACTTTATAAAGAGCGATAGGCGTAGATATCTCAGTTTAATCTATTTCGCCGTAGCTTGTAAGATGTTTCGGTTGAAAGGAGAGAGAAGGCAGTACAATAGCAGGATAAGAGGCATGACATCATAGCCAAGTAACAACGAATGAGTGGCACCATGGGCGTCACTTGATAACGTGATGTCCGTACTGTAGCTGTTCATAGCTGACGGTTACCACATCAGGTAGCCCGCTAGATTGTTAGACATTGAGATTTTTTATGTATATTTCAAAAGAAAAAGTCTTTTCATCGCAATTCACTTAAATAGTTAGTGACAATTATTAACAATTCGAAATGGTAAAGTAAAATATAACTTGAAGCATAATATAATAAAAATCTGCAATAGTGTAGCAGTCGCAATATACTTAAATACGACCAGCACTGAACTGTATCACGATTATAGTATAATACATCGTCGCTTGTCAAAATTAAGAATGAAGTAATTTTCTATTTTATATCAAAGATAGCACATGCATAAATGAAAAGGAAATAAATACAACTTATCAATAAATTATTACTAAAGTTTCGTAATATGTTAAAACAGTGAAAAGCAATAATTATAACAAAAATTGTACAATAAACTAACATAGAAGCATACTTCATGCGTGAAAAATATCATATACATATTAATAAAAATGCCAAAAATTCGTTTTTAAAATGCAAGTTATTTTAATCTCCCATTTTCAACACCTCCGCAAAGCTTCGACGTGTGAAAATAATTAATTAAGATGTAGTAGCAAGGAATGCGCTTTTTAACACCAATTAAACAGCTCTCATTAACCTGGATCGCGGTTGCAAAATAATCCTAAATAAAATGTAAGACAAGACACACATTTCAATAAAATGAGGACATGGCTATATTAAATATGTGATGACGTCCAATTAGTGTATTTATATAAACCTAGCTGATACCGACTTCGTCTCAATTTGAGATAAAAAATTGTCTACATTCTCTGATACAATATCTTCAAATTAAATTTCATTGAGATCTGTATAGCCGTCAAAAGATAACAAGATACACTTTAGAATTTATAACATTACTATGGATAATTATCAACTGTATGGAAGACTATAAAATAATTCACGTTTTAAAATCTCATGCATACCACATTAATATTTATAAAATAGTTGTCATAACTGAATATGTAACGACACACAGCCAAAACTACCAAATATAGAAAGCTCAACATATGCATGTTTGTCTTGTAATATAAGCAATAGGTAAGAAGTTTGTAAATTTTAACTAAACAACAAAGTACATGCAAAGCCGCTAGTATATGATATATAAATAAAGTTTATTCGCAGAAACATGGGTTTTACAGTCAACTGTAATATGTTTAAATAATCAAAGCTGTATGAGTCAAATATGTAATAAAAAACGCAATTGCTCCAATAGCAACAATGGTCACTGCAACACATAATTTAATATGTATTATTTAATATTACGAATTAATTTAGCGTACAACTAAAATTAATTGAAAAGCAATTTAAGGGCGCAACTCTCTTTAGGATAAATCATCAATTCACTCGCCAAGCCGCGCAGCTTGGTACAGCGTTTTCTTTCTCGTGCATTGGTATACTTTACCTTATTTCTATAGTCGCTTTTCTTAATGACTTTCCTGACTATAATAATAATAACTTTTTATTGCGCACAGACAAACAAAGAACAATAAAATATAATAATACAAATAAAATATAAATAAAATATACATATATATATAGTTATATATATTATTACTTAGTTATATATATAGTTATACAAAAGACGGTCTTATCGCTAACAGCAATTTCTTACAGACAACCTGGTATTGACAGATACTATTTACATAGAGAAGGTTGAAGGCACACAGTAGACAATATATTTCTAATACACATATAGATAAACATACATTTTATAAGTATAAATAAATAAACTTACACACTAATACATATTATATACATACATAGACTACATATGGGATGAGAACAAAAGGAAAATTTAATTATAATTCAGTTACAGAGAGAGATAATGAGATTTTAGTGAATAGTGAAATATAGTGATTGTGCTGATCGAATGGAAAATCGCAAGGAGTTCCAGAGGCAAATAATAGCTTGTACAGTGAAAGAATCGGTATAATAATTAGAAGAACGAAATGGGAAGGTTAAACAGAGGCTTCGTGTGCTACGCAATTCAGAACCCGGATTTTTGGTCTGGAACTGGAAGTTATTTTTCAAGTATTCAGGAGTATGACTATGTACAAAATCTGAAATGGTAGCAGAGTCCCACGGCTGCTACTAATTGTCAAATGACCTATAAAGTTAATTACCATACCAATAATATTTAAAAAAACTAAGAACACTATTTGAGGACTGTAAACGAAATCAAATTTTAATGGAACTAATTTCGATTCTGTATGTATTGTGTGGATGTTTATTTAAAAATTATATCGTTTTACGCATAAAGGTATTGTAGCCTGAGGAACAATAATAATAATAATACATGATATTCTCTTCATGCTGTATGAGGTTTTCATAAACCTATACATAAAATTTCAAATAATTTAAGTATCGAAAATACAAGAAATACCTTAATAATATAATAATTTATTTTGCGTTTGCAGTTTGTTAATAAATTTATTCAAATTTTGTTTTGTATTTTTGGACTCAAATATATAAAATAATTTACCATTACATTCCAATGTAACAAAAAACACTAAGTATTGTAAAGTTGATATTATTCTTTATAATTAATTCAAATGTTCTGGTAAATAATTTCGATCTTTGAAGCAAAGAGTTCATGAATCAAGAAGAAAAATTACATTATATTATGTGAAACATTTTATAACTATGTACAATTCGAATTTCGACGTTATTCAGAAGCCTTCTTCATGGTAAGAATAATTGTAGCAAATGTAAGTGTAAAATGAGCATAAGTTTTAAAAATAATATTATTGAAAATTTTGAAATATTTACCTTCTTTCTGTCAGTACCATTGAGACTGTTCATTAGACTTCTATAAGAAACTTGCTCCAAAGATGTTGAGCACTTGAAATCATTCCTTAGACTTCCATGCCTCACTTTGTTATTATCAAACGAGCGGCTCTGTGTATCATTGAGACGGGGCTTTGCTGGTGATCGCACTGATCTGAACGAGAGATTCAAACTGCTGCGCTCCTTCTTTTCGGTTTTAAAATAATTATTATGGAAATGTAGTTCGGTCACATCTATTCTAGGATCTCTGTGGGTACAATTAGGGCATATATTGGGTACGCTGGAAGAGAGGGTAGGGAAATCTACAGTGGGTGAAGTCTCTTTGGAGGATGAACTGGATGAGGCGTCGATGGTATCACAATCTGAACTCATTGCATCAAACATCGTTAGCTGTTCAGTCAAACGCAAAATCGTCGACAATGCCTGAAACAATGTGCACATAATCAATAATCAGTTGCTATATTCAGAGAAAATATCTAGTTAATGTTATAATATTCATATTTTTTACTCTGGGGAAATTTATGATACTCTCAAACTCACTCAAACGTGCGCATGTCCATCAATATATTCAAATACTTCTAAAAAGAAGAAGAAAAGAGTTGTGAGTTAGCTGCTTATTATTAGGCGTCCTATATGAATAATCTATATAAATAACTATGATCATGCGTACGCATCATATTAGTAACATTTACCTGATTATTATCAACGTCATCATTGTAGTTATTATCGGGCCATCCGATGAATGACAACGATTCCTCTACCGAAGTCGGCTCCCATAGCGCGAGCAAGCTCTTTACTTTACTCTTAACACCTTTATAAAGAAACTTAGATAAATAATTATGCTCACAAATAAATAAGTAACCCTAGACAATTAACACAGCGCCATCGAGTCCCATGGAAAGCAGAGCTCGTGTTATGGGTACTAGACAACAACAATATAAATACTTAAATATTTTTTTATAAATACATACCTAAAGCAATACATATATATATATCGATATAAATACATCGAAAACACCCAGACCCATACAAACAACCATACTTACGAATACAAATGTCTGTACCGTGCCAGGAATTGAACCCTCGACCATCGGAAGAAAAGCGGTGTACTAAACCACCGGGGTCGTAAAAATAAAACAATATTCTACATATTGTAGTACTAAAAGATATTATATAACAAATATGGTACGCAGTAAAGACGTAAAAGTATTTCACAAACTTCATATAACATTTGCATACTTTTTTATTCCAGTCCAGTTCCAGTTGTATACATATATGTAACTATCATATTCAAATACCAGCTCAGGTTATTTACCACAACAATACGTATATAATACGTATGCATCTTATCATATTCAGATAGGCAGTCGGGTTATTTAGAATTACAAGATATTTAAATATAACTCACCGTCAAGAACGGCATGTGCATCTGTTGGCTGCTTGGCCAGTAACAACATCACAATCCTGTCGAGATCGTTGTCCAACTGCTCACGGAGCCTCCTCACGGCTACCACGTTGTCATACTCCGCCTGTATCTTATTTGTGGCGGAGTTCCACTCAGCCTTCGTGCTATTCACGTCTTTCACTTGCTGTACTAATCTGATGATGAACAAATACGACCGTTCATGTTATCAGTATTAATATATTTGTTATTTAATTGCATGATTGATGCCCAGTGATTATTCCGGCTAATCTCTGAAATAGCTGGACCAATTTTGACGGGACTTTTACTTATGTAATAGCGCGAAATTTAGACTACTTTTATTTTAGAAAAATTGAGTTAAACTCTACGCGGACCAAGTCGCGGGTACAGCTAGGTAATAACATCGCTGGACAATTCACACAGTGCCATCTAATCTCACGGTAAGCAGAACTTGTTATGGGTACTAGACAACTCATTTAAATACATAGATTAGATAAATACATACAAAATATAAATAGAAAACACCCAGACTGATACAAATAATCACATTCATGAATACAGATGTTTGCATCTTTTTATAGTAATGCTTACGTTATTAAGCCTCGGCTCCTTTGAGCTTTGTGAGTATGGGCAGCGAACGCGCCAGCCGTGATGATGTCGTGGAAGCCAGTCTTGTTCAATGTATCATTATGCACCCACATCCGTTGAAGGTGTAAGTTTATTGGAGCAAATTCCAAACTCGCTTCATCTGTGATTGATAATTATATATAATCGTTAACAACATCATAATTCGAATCCATCCATTATATATGTACATCCCAGTAGTCCCAGATGTCGCTTATTTTCTGATGAATAAAATGTGCATGATTGACTAGTGCTATTACTATTATATTTTATCGAATTATGTTGGAAATTATAAACACCAAATGAATATGTGATACGTTTGAAAGTGACAGACTGCATATATGTCTGTACTATATACACAGTTTAGTCTTGTAATCTATGAAGTTGTCTCTGTAATTAATCTATACATTATAAAGGAGTTTTTGGTAATGCTAGAAATGGAAGTGTTGTCTATTACTTAAGTTCATATCTGGGTGATGTATTGTGTGTCTAATTGCAATGATAATCACTATAGTAAAATATAATTATTGTGTATATTAATTAACTATTAAAAATTTGGTTTTATTTTGCAGAAATACATTTTATTTCAGTGTGAGACCACAAATATTCAGAGCGAATACTGAACCACCGTTACTGGAATCGTTTTTTTTTAATGCATGATAAGGGAATGGTGCATCCGTTAAGGGATTATGCTGGCGAAACATCTGTGGAGGGTGATAAAAAGAGCATGTGGCCAGGTCAGTCAGCCCATTGTGACAATACACCAGAAATTTATCACGTGGGGAACCATCGTAAAGGTCACCCTGTTAATCCTCATTAATAACAATTCTCTTCCCCCTACTGGAAACGTTACGACCTTATATGACCGTATATTGGTGATAAAATTCTTAAATCTATTAAAATATAATTAATTAATTACCTTTCCTGCTACTGGGTTTGAAGTAGGCGCAGTCTACTTGCTGCATGCAAAGCTTGGAGTGACAGTAATGCTTGAGCAGCGCCATATGGACGCTGACCAGCTCCAGCTGCCGGGTCTGCCACTGTGCGCACATCTCGCCGACTGATAATAACTCCTCAAACAGTTCCTTTTCTCTTTGTATATATATGTCTCTGTATGATCATAAATATTATGTTTACAATGTCTTCAATCAAATATTACAACTTAGTATTCTTTATGTCTTAATAAAACCTTTTTAATTAATTGTATAATCAATTGTATTACACACTATTCCCATTTTCTCCGTGACAATTGACACCGCCATCTAGTCCCAAGCTAAGCAGAGCTTATGTTATCGGTACTAGACAACTGATATAAATATTCAAATGTATTTTTTAGTACATACATAATATATTCAGAAAACACAAAGACAAAAACTAACAGCATACTTATTGATACAAATGTTTGCACCATGTAAGAAATCGAACCCGCGACGAGTCAAAGCGGAGTACGAAATCGCTAGGCCACCGAGGCCTATAAATGCACTGATTAAATTATTAGTTCAAAATTTTCCATAGTTTCAATCAGTGGCACTCAATGAGGAAGTAGCCATTATTATTGCTAAAAGTTGCATATAGATGGCGTGATTGGTATCGATGGAATTCTTCATAGTTTTGCAAACGTTTTAAAAAACAAAACTGTGTTTTCAAAAATGTTTAATCAATTTTTAAAAAGTTATATATACATGTTAAAATGAAATAATGCGTTTAGAAAAGTAATTTTCATATATTTACTCATTTTGTTATTTTCCAGTACTTAATTACACTTTAATCAGTGCTAATATGGGGCTCAATGTTTTCAAAATGCTTTCATAGATGGCATTGTCGTCATTTGTATCGGCCTAATTAAATGTCTTTTTTATATTTTCCAATAATAAGCACTTAATATATTATTATTGTAAATTAAACATATAAAAAATTTTTAAGTAAATTAAAAATAGCCGAACAAGCAAGTAATACTATTTCCAATAATACTTATGTATGAAGTGTTGTCATATTAAAAATAAATACATGTATTATCGATTTTTTTGAATAATCGATAACAGGATTTTATTACAGCGCATTATTCGATGATGCTTTTAATGAGTCGTTGTGAACAGTAAATTTTCATTATTATGCATTATAGCAGTGTTCCGTTTCAAAGAACGGAATATAGTAGTACATTATTAGTGTCGTTGGTTATTTACATTTGTACTGAATAATCGATTACATAATAATTTAAAATATCGAGTACGAATCGTAGCTGTCTTCAAGTACTGGCAACTGGTAAGATTAAAATAGTAATAGTAATAAAAAAAAGAGAGAAATCGACCCTAACTCGAATACCATAAAGTTGATTTTCCTTTCTCATTAATATATCATAGCAGTTTGTTTTTAACTTGCGTATGACTCTGTGGTATGATGTTTAACGTGTATTGTTATTGTACGGTGCATACATTTCAAAAATTATATTTTAATGTAGGTACATACATTTCATACATGTCAAAAATTATCTTTTAATGTAGGTACACACATTTCTTTCATACATTTCATACATGTCAAAAATTATCTTTTAATGTAGGTACATACATTTCTTTCATACATTTCATACATTTCAAAAATGAACTTTTTATGTAGGTACATACATTTCTTTCATACATCTCATACATTTAAAAAATTGTATTTTAATGTAGGTACATACATTTCTTTCATACATTTCATACATGTCAAAAATTATCTTTTAATGTAGGTACATACATTTCTTTCATACATTTCATACATTTCAAAAATGAACTTTTAATGTAGGTACATACATTTCTTTCATACATTTCATACATGTCAAAAATTATCTTTTAATGTAGGTACATACATTTCGTACATTTCAAAAAGTATCTTTTAATGTAGGTACATAACACCCCATGCCAGACCCCTTGTATTTGGAAGAAACTTAAAAATAATGCCAAAAATATTAGATGAATATATTTTTAATACGAATATTGTTTTATTTTTGTTCATCAACTTTATCCCTCACTAACAATACTAGTAGTAGTACATAACCTGGTTTATACCGCTAAAGATATTGAAAGATATACGAGTAATTCAGAATGTTATCAAGTTCAAAATAAGCACACATTACTTGCTTAGATAACAGAGTAATTATACTCGTAATAAAAACATTTGTAACACCCATATGTATACTACGTATGTATAGTAAGTACTTACCCTGCGGCGCCGTGAGACTCGTCTACCTCATCTACTAAGCAATAGGAGCGCGCCTCTCGTGTTTCCAGAAAGTTCGCGACTAACGGACGATATAGTAGTAAGGCAATGAGTGTCCCAGTGACATCATTATAATATTTTCTCGTTAAATTTTATTGTAATATACACAATTTCGCACTAAATAACGTGTTACCCCGTTACACATTTCTAATAATGAAAAACCTAGACCAACCCTGTTCACTTAATATTACAAGATCTGACTTTAAAAATTACGATATCATCATATAGCCTTTCATTTCCCCTTTCAATACTTTTTCGCATTAAAAAGTAGCCTTTCTCAGGGTCTACATTATCTGTCTACCAAATTTCAATTAAATCAGTTCAGTAGTTTTGGCGTGAAAGCGAGACAAACAGACAGACTGAGTTACTTTAGCATTTATAATATTTGTAAGAATATCGATATTAAAAATAGGGGTTGGTGAAAGACGGGTGAAAATTTAGGCATGTATGTATTTTCAATGTAACATTATAAATAAATAAAAAATTGTCCATAATACAAAAAAATATTTTTTCGGGGTAGGCCACCCCTATGACTTAGGGGTATAAAAAATAGATAACAACCCTACCTCAGACCTGGCAAGTATACATATCAAATTTCATCAAAATGTGGGAGAAATATGGCAACTGACACTGTGATACAAAATTTATATATAAGATATAGCGGAATTCTCATTAGGGAAAAGAGGGGTACATCGTAGAATACATGAGGTATATACCAGTAAATTAATTGTAGCTAAAACCAGTCTCTTACACATAACGATTGAAATAAAAAATCATATAGCCCGATTTTGATACGTACGAGTATAAAAGTATCAAAATCGGGCTATACGTATAGCGCAGACGCGTTACAACATATCAAAAAAATAGGCATGGAATGTAAAATAAACCATAACATAATAGGTATATACATTGGCACATAAGCCATATCTGCAGAGTGTCGGCTAACGCTATTATACCTACACATTTACATTGAATCTTGAATCGTCCCTAATGAGGTACACGATACAGTTACCTACATATCTATTATATATATATCTTTGCAAAACAGATGTCATGTAGACTGAATTGACTGCCATCTATTCTCATGCTTTGTTACTAAGCACCCACTAGTAATCCGAACTGCTTCAAATCTAGCGACATCTAGCGGCTACGGTGGCGAAATAAAATAGCCCGAAGAATAGCCCGAGTTAGGAAGGAACCATTTTCTTGTATGGGATGGGGTATCTGTATGTAATATTATGTTATCTGTGGTTTCAATAATATTATTGTAACTACAATACCTAACTAGGTAAACACTCATATGCCTACAATATTGTAACAATGTAGTAATCACAAAAGATAACTGTGTACGACGTACCTTTTTAGACTTTTATTATATTTTTTTATATTTACATTAAAAATATCTTTATCCTTTGTTCTATTCTCATTGTCACTTTTGAAATATTTGTCTTTTACCGTCATCACATATATGTAATTTATTATAATTAAGAGAAACATCTTAGTTTCTCTTAATATAAAATTATTAATCAATTACATATAGTTCTTAAGTTTAGTTGTTAAAAATAACAATATTGTAAAAGGTACTTACAGCAGTTGCATTGGTATCTGATAACATAGTTTAGGTTCTGCCATGATTTCGTGCACCGTTATATCACCGCCTAGACCGGAATGAAATCTGTACGTTACTTGGTGACTGTTTACAAAGTTCTGCTTCAATAAGCTCCCATAGGATGGGAACTTCAATTTCAGACCTAATCTGGGCGGCAGCGATTGCGACCTTCTATGACATAACACTTTCTGTGGTATGTCTATACAGTTTTTATCGTTCGTATGACTAGGACTCATTCCTATGTATGAGGGTTCAAGACTCCAACCATTTATGGTTACAAAACCGACTGGGCGATTTTCTCGTGTCTGTAATGCCACACGCAGTCTTTGTGCCTCCTGTGGAATATATTGCATTTAAATTATATTGGATAAAATAATGAAATAAAAGAAAATTTCAATACACATCTATAGTAGTAGTACCTTTATTTATATATTTTTTTGTGATCATCCATTATGTTGTGTAATTAATGAATAAAGAATTTATTTTTAGTAAATACAACTATGTTTATGCAATTATATTTATTTAATAATAATTTAAAACAATAATTATAAAAAGTGACGTTTTATTCGCGATAATCTAATTTTAACATGGTACAATTATCAGTAGAAGGTAATACATTGAGTTCATAAAATAATAAAAGTAATAAGTTCAAAGATAATAGATATTTAAAAATAGAATTGTGTACACCCTTCTTACAAAACCTTATTACAAAGTCATGTTTTTCGGAAAACAGAGAAACAATGGTATATCTATTTACAGATTCTTAAAAAACTAAAGAAACTAAAATTACCTGTATTGTGCTAAGCTGAAGAGCGGCGAACCCCATGGGCAGAGCGGTTTCCGAGACCAATTCCTTAACATCGTACACGATTATCCGTACAAGAGCATCACCCGTGAGTCCGTCGCTTGCACGGAACAAAATAGTTTTCGAGAAACAAGGGTTGCTACATGTCTATAAATAAAAAAAAATTGTAATGTACAATACCTTATGCACATATTCTACTAAGCCAATAAGTAACTTACGGAATCAATTCGTTTTACAGATACACAGTGAATACTACAAAATAAAAAACAGATACAGTTACCATTACCACGAATTTCTTATGGTTGAATCACCTTACTACTTATATTCAAGACAAAGGGTCAATGTACTCTTATAAAAATGTATAATCGAGATATTGTGTAATAATATTTAGGAAATAGCAACATTCACCTAGAATTACTATAATAATAATGGATAATAATATCTCAGAACAATTCACACTACGCCATCTAATCCCTATTTAAGCAGAGCTTCTATCATGAGTACTGGATAACTGATAAATACATTTAGATACATTTTTTTGTGAATACATATATAGTAAATTAAGTAAATACCCAGACATGTTATCTGTCTGGGTATTTACTTAATCTTTCTCTCTTTCTGTATTAATAACGTGCGAGGAATTGAACCCGCGACCACCAATAGCATAGTGGTGTCGTAAACCAGAAGACCACCAAGACCTCTAAATTTAGATTAATACAATTTATGATTTACACTCTTTATCTACTATTGCTGTTGTAATAGCAGCTAGTTTTATATTTATATCTTTACATAGTATAAAACATCGTCGCCTCTATCTGTTCGCTGATATCATTTAAAATTACGTAAAGGATTTTAGTGCAGTTTTCAGCAATAGATAGCGTGGTTCACGAGGTAGGTTGATATGTATAATACATGAGTATTATAGTACAGAACACGACGACATATTCAAAGATTGCATATGCATCCGTGCGAAACAGGGGCAAGTAATTTATTATATTTATAACGTATTCTGATATGATGAATATTTGGATACAGAACATTTAGTTGAATAAACAGTTTGACAAATAACATAAACCATAAACCGATGTATAAGTGAATACAATTTATTGACTAAATGTCAATAAATTAAAATATATAACATAGTGAAATATATCATTAATTTGATAATTATAATAAACAACAATATTGTGAAATGTGTGTACAGAGATCATGACATTGTGGGTACTTCATAGACTTTAGGTATATTGTGATATTGTGGTGTGACCTATATACATGAGTACATAATTGTAATTACTGTATGATGACTTGCCGTTCAAATGAGCACCTAACAATGTTTCTGTTGTTTGTATGTAATAGTACAGTCAACTCCATAAATATGTTAGGTGACAGTTTGGTAATATGTTGTTAGCAAACTTATCTATTTGTATCTATTTAAAGTTACCAACTTATTGTAAACAATTTATAAGATGTAGAATACGAATGAAGTAGTTAAGAAATAAGCTAGTGCTTATACTAAAATAGTTTCAATGATATATAAGACAATATTACGTGTATTTCTGTTTATGGAATAATTCCCCAATAGAATTATGACTTTTTGAAACTGAATGTATAAAATAGTTAATATTTGAAATCAATGTATTGCTTTATAAACAACACTCTTCACTGAGGTTGTTTGTTCTATGCACAGTTTGTATTATCAATACACACTATCAGAAATTCTTTTATTTTGTACTATATTAGCGTAAGTATATTTAATTATAATAAAAATAGTGCATAGTATCCAGCAAACAAATAACTTTACTAGTAATCCAACAATATAATTATCATATTTATTTACATTTTCATCTTTTTTACGAAATTGAAATAAGAAACATTTGCATTCATAACTCTGATCGTTTGTACTGGTCTGGGTGCTTTTATGTATATTATTATTGTGTATGAATTTAAATATATAAGCATTTATATCAGTTGTCTAGTACCCATAACACAAGCTCTGCTTACCGTAGAACTAGATGGCGCTCTGTTAATTGTCCAGGGATATTTAATTTAGTTTTTTACTTAAAATTGCAGGACTTTTGTACTCACTTCAACTAGTTCCGTGGCGCCATATTTAACGCAGAGTCCCTTGGGAAACTTTACAAAGATAACTATAAGAGGCGACGGTGCGCGGCCATGTGCGTCGCAAACTAAGTTGTCGCAAGACAGTGCTAGTTCGCATAACGGAACTTCATTCATATCTGTAACATAGTTTTTAATATATATCAGGAACAGATAAATAAAATACTTAATAATCAATAATTACACAGTAAGACGATTTAAAATAAATCTATACTATATTAGTATATTCAATTCAATTCAAATTCAAATATAGTATACAATACTACATTATAAAGAGATACATATGTAGCTACAAAACTCTGTAATTAGATGCAATTAAAAGATAGAATGGTATTTATTGGCCCTAAAACTAAAACTACCAAGTCACTGGATGGAAGGCTGATCAGCTAGTTGTGTATATTTAACAAAATTCTCATTGGAATTCATTTCATACATAAATAATACAAATCTTTCACTATCAAGTTAGTAAAATGATTGTCTAGAGATGCAATGTAATTTTTTTTGTACTTTTTATTGCACAAGAAATAGTTTTAATATTATTAAATTAAGTGTTTAATTATAATGGAGCTTCACTTAAATTCCAACTATTTTAGTTGGAATTTAAGTGAAAATAAATAGTATTGTTACAAATTAAATAACATACTTGTAGAAAAATAGTTCACAAAGACATAACAATTAATAATTTCTTTGAGAATTGAATAATTTATAATTCAGGTTATTTTAAAATTGTCACTTACCTATTACAATACCCTTTTGTAAGCGATAGTTGACTATATCGACAATAGGTCTGATCTTATTCAGTCTTTCTTTCAGATCTGCTACCTGCATTTTCATATTTTCATATGATACCAACTGCATGGCCTTCAGCCATAGGGTCCGCTCTGATTCGTGGAATGTCGCCATTTTGTAGCATACACCATTCTCCCATACTGCAAACATATTTTATAACTTAACACGCCTCAGCCAGGTTTGTATGTTGTGGTTTAATATTATGGAAACCAATATAATCAAATCAAATCAAAATCATTTATTAATATAGGACTTTTAAGCCGCTTGTAAACATATATTTTTCGTGTCAATATTTCCCTACCATCCACTTCTCTATAGAGACACAATTGAGAAGAACTGGATAGAAACTCAACTTTCTTTTTTTTTTAAAAGCCAGCTATTTACAAATTGTACTTATGTAGGTGTCTAACATTAAGTGAAAATCCTGTGCATGAACTACTATTACTATTCACATTTGTTGGTTAAAAACCACCTATCAACATAAGAATCTTTAAAATATCAAATAGGTATTTATTGTCACAATCATAATCATCTAATTATAGCCACTCTCTTCTAGAAACAAGTTATGTTAATACAGTAATATTTCAAGGTTGAGTTCATTTTAAATAAACAATATCCTGTCATTGCTTTGTATGAAAATGAAACAAACTTGACATTATTGTGAAATATTTATATAAAATATTTTACCTCTTAAATCTTGTATTACCTCACTCATGTCTAAAAATCATTTATATAGCCATGCAGAGGTTACAGGAGAATTGTAAACTGAGTTGGAGTCAATTGCATTGGGCTACAAGAACTTAGTTCTTGAAATTGACTTGAGTATTCAAATGAATAGAATAAAAATTAAAATATTTGAAATAAATTGGAAGTCAGTCATTTTAGTGGTTAACACTGTGATACCAAGAAAAGATAAGAAGTAATTCTTATTCAAATAACCGGAAAGTTGGATTAATAAACAGAAAGTGTTGACTTAAGATATGTGATTATGTTATGTTTCTGAACACTATAACAGAAAATACTGCTTACATAGTTGCTGCTATAACACTAGTTACTAGTAGAGTTTGTTATTGTTTACTACAATAATTATAAAATAGTAACAACTCTCATCACCAAAAAACAAAAGCAGCATTTTCTATTACAGTAAACACAAAAGAATAAATGATGACATTTGTTGTAGAAATCTGTAACATTGCACATACCAATTTGAAATGGCCAATGACCATTCTCATCTTGTGGTAGCAATTTTACTTGGTGATTCCCTAAAACAATTACTCCCATAGGTTCATTCCATGACTCTGGTCCCTTTAAGTAGAACAACAGGTTTCCTCTTAAACGAAACCATCTCACAGAACATCCTGCAATAATGTATTGTAAATTTTTAAGTATTGTAATAGATGTTAACATACATTTTGCTACAGTGATATGTTACTGTCTGTTTCGGTAACTCACTGTTGTTTATGCATTCTGCATGAAAGTGGCATACAGTTTCATGCAAATTTACAAACAATTTATTTATTTTAAATTTGATATTTATTACTCTTTATTGTATATTATATAAATAAAAATACATATCAAATCAATATACATAATATATAGGTACAAAATGATCCTTTGGCTTAAGCAATCTCTTCCAGACAACCTTTGGATAGAGGACAACAGAAAGTGGTAGGTGGCTATAGATAGAAAAAGTATTATAGTATATATAACAATAAAAACTTTCTTATAGAAATAATTTATCACACAAGTAACTCAATAATAAGGTGCTAATTGTATAATTGGATTCCCAATCATTCCCTTAGCTTAAACACTGGCAGACCTCTTAGGAGAGCATTAGATGGAAAGAACATAAACTCAGGTCCACTTTAGCAAATTCAACAAGAAATACATTTTGTTTTTCTTCCTTTAAAAAAAAATGTATTTCTTTATTCTTCCCTTGGAGGTCCAAGCCCCTAATTATGGAAATCAATCTGAAATGGTCCATCCATACATGAAGCACCCAATAATCCCAGGCACCCCTTCCCATTTCTTAAGCGCATAAATATCATGATTAAATATAGGTTGATGTCTTTTAATAATGAGTATAATAGTCATAAAGTAGGTAACGTATGTAAATAGTAAGGTATGATGAAGAATAACTTTTGCTTAAAAACGACGTGTACTGAGATTACTGACCTTCAGATCTTCGAAAGAATCCATCCTGACGCTCCTTCAAAACTAATACACCCTCGCGATCAAATTTATTAGATGTCTGAGATGCTAACGCAACTAACTCTTGCTTATTGTATCTCATATTTTTACCAAATCACATTTTATCTTGAGGGTAACAACATTAGAATTCACGTCAGCTAAAATCCAAAAAATCAAATAGTACAATAAAAATAATCTATTTGATTAAACATTATTTGTTTGTGTATAAAAAATATCACTTTTCATTTAATTACTCCGGTTAAAATAAAGGACATAGATTGATAATAAAAGTTTTGTTACAATAATGTAAAAATTGTCATGTAAATGTAAATAAGCGATCAAACCTATATAGAATAGAACACAGACTACTTACTTAGAGAACTAGGCAGTGTTGCCATTATTGTTTGGGAGAGCCAATTCGCCGTAGTACCAAAGACCACTAGAAACCCACAAAATTATAATCTTTTATAAAAATAGTTATGCAAATTAAAACAGATTATTTGTAATAATAAAAGTTACAGTAATAATACAAACACAGTAGCCATTTTTTTAAAAAGTTGATTGATTTAAAGTGGTATTTCCTTTAATTAAACATTATTACTATTGTCATTTACAATAGTTATAATGTTTAATTTAAAATTTCTAATGTTTAGCAGTTAAAAGCAGCTTATATAATTTTTATAACCGAAATCGATTTTTATGTGATAATGGAGAATGTATAAGAGGGTGCGTTTACCAGCTCAATATTTGTCCTTTTAAAATCCACTATTTTTCAATCAAAGCATTCATTAGTTTGCGTTACTCCACTAGACGGCGCGGCGAGAGCATTAGGAATGTATCTTACTTCACAAAGTAATACAAACTAAGGTTATTGAAAATGTTTTTTTTTTTTCCAGATATTAATTTAATGAATAGTAGGTATATTATCCTACATCCTAAGTACTATAATATTATTATAACATCTAAGTTAAACCTCCTAATAAAAGATTGTCTTATTTTTAGCGTTCTCATATATTTCATAACTAGCTGTTCCCGCGACTTTGTCCACGTGGAAATTAACTGTATTTTTCTGAAATAAAAATAATCAAAGTTACTCCTTATTACATCAGCTACATGCCAATAAAGTCCCGTCAAAATCGGTCCTTCCATTTCATACATTAGCCGGAACAAATAGACAGACAAACCTATTTCTAAACATTTCTTTAAAACAGGTTTGTTTTCCTATATTATATTAGAGGATGCCTCGTTGATCAAAATGATTACTTTGTATTTATGTATATTTTTAGCTGACTACAATTAAACTAAAAAGATGATACAATTCTGAGTGGTATGTATGTTACATAACTGTTTATTAAAATTTGATAATAGATTAATGACAATGTTGGAAGTATCTTGATCGTTAGCTGGTTTCAGGCTACGTGACGTTAAATTTAATTTAATATAACGCTCTCTAGTTGGCATATAACACAGGGAAGGAACAAAGAAAAAAGCTAAAGCTATATTGAACAGTAATGAGGAATAACTACTAATAAAACGTATAACACAAACTCTGGAAGAAAACCAACCAAAAGAACATGCCAGATTCCATAGGGATTACTCTACCATGGACCATATCTATGTAATTAAACAAACAGGTAGTAGAAAATTTTGATGATCACAATAAACCACTACGTATAACTATACTTTATTGACTACAACAAACTTTTTGACTCAATAAAGCATAGCAAATTATAGGGAGCACTACTGTCACAAGAATTTCGAATAGGTTCCTCGCTGCAAAATAGGTTTACGGTAAGCCACCTACAAGATACCTAAAAATACCTACTCGGTCACAAGATATTATCCTTAGGAAAATCAAAACGAATAAAGTTTCTTGTGCAACTGAAAGCATATTCATCGGCTATGCTATATAGATCGGTATGCTATAGAGAATGACATACAGAATATTTCTCCAGAACGTAGTTAAAAAGTAGCTAATAGTAAGCAGAAATACACATACATACAATATATATTCTGTATAAAGTGGAAAACGAGAAGAGATGTGAAAGAAGGCTTATCTGTTTCTATTCTAATACCTGTAGATACTAAGAAAATAAAGTCCAAACAGAAACAAAGAGATAACAATATCAGAAACGGAACCAATATATCTTTCCTCGTCACAGTTATACTACGCCAACGATAATAGAATATTCAGGGAAATCCAGAGTTATGAGAGTGATGAAGAGATTGAAAATTAGTTTGAAACTATTCATGAGATGAAATTAAAATAACGATAGTAAAAAAAAATAACAGAGGTCCATCTCAAAGACTAAGAAAAATGTGGACCGACAGATTAGCCACTATAAGATCTGCCATGAGGTTTATGAATGCGACGCGACGCGACGCGACGCTTTGTTATATAAAAAATATCACGACTGTTGTCAGTCTAACTTTTCCCTTAAATTTTGTACATTAATGCATTAATAGTCAAATAAAGGTAAAGTTCAAAGCATTTATTTTCCAAAAATTTTTCGCCATCTTCACATAATCCATATTTTGGGGATTCTCTACCCAAATTTAAGGGAAAATACCCCAATCTGGCATCCGGATGTCACGCATGGACGTCAACAGATTAACTGGATGCTGACAGTATTCGAAAAACAGGCAAGGTGATGTGTTGCAAAATAATAATGTAATGAATGTAATAAAAAATATTTTTACTACATATAGGTTAACCGTTACTAAGCTACAACTTACTTTTCTATTTGAGATTACAAACCTCGATGTTATATCGAGGTTTGTAATCTTAAAAAAATATAATAAAATATCCTTAAGCTCATCTACGAAACAGAATACATATACAATTAAACACATTTTACATGCTTATCTATTGAAGGAGGCTTTTTTTAAAAACCTCTGGATATTTTATTCGTGGCGAGAACTTGTTTTAAATAATAATTGCCTACCACCTCTTAGAGAAAATGATGACGCGTATTTATATCTACATATACACTTAGTAGTCTGTAATAGTATGAAATATAACTTTAATTAGTTTAATTATGGAATGTAATAGAAAAAAATACATTAAATGTAAGTATATTATCAATTTTACATGACATCAAACATTCATTGCATTATACATTACAAGCATCAAACCGAAATATAAGCTCGGTGCTAGACAAATCAGTCCACTGCTTCATACTTTTTCAACAAGTGGTAAATTTCCCAATTTTGAACACATTCCCTGTAGACATACGTTTTATATGAGTTTGCTTTTGAAAATCCCGTACCAGTCAAACCAGTTTTTTGTAAGTAAGGCGATAATACCAGAGATGGAGTAATAATCGCCTATCTGCTCTCCAGTGTACCTACTACTACTACCGGAAAAACAGTTATTGGAATTGATTCAATACACATACTGCGTAATAAATATCGAAACGCGAACACACAGCTATATACATAGGACAACCAATTAAGCAGTGGTACTAAACTTATCATTCCCCTTATCAAATTTAAATAGTGTCTCAAGTTACATTGGAGTTTCCGCTGGCTTTCAATTCTGCATATTGTACTCTACTAAAAGCATGGATATTTTTTTTATATTCTGCATATTATATTGTAACAATATATAGCAGAATATCTTTATCCTCAATCCTAATACTCTTTCTCAGAAAATCATAATACTGACAATATGAGTGCGGAGCGGATTCTACGTTGATTGTGGCATACTTCGTTCTTGTCTGAAACACGGAAGTTTGTTACTCGTTCTTCTTGTGAAGAATCTGCGTTCCGGATGTATCGTAGAATAATAAAAATATGACTAGTCGAAAATACTTATATTAAGTTTATTTCAATAAAGGTAGATAATACACACACAGCCTTCTGTAGACGATATACTTTATTGTCATGAAATCCATCTGGTATCATCCTGTAAAAATACCTATATGTAATTCATTTAAATTTACCTTAAATTAATATGCAGTTTCAACATGCATGTGTTCAATAACCATATCGTATTCTGCAGATCAGTCATCATTCATCATTCTAAATGTTTCTTAGCATAAATGGTTCTCTTGACTGGTGAATATTTTTCAACGTACCTAGTCTACTCAGTGCTTCTGTGTAAACCCTTCTGTAACTAATCGCGGTTGATACTGTGCTATATCTCCCCACTCAATCCTCTATTATTCTTGAAGATCCACTTATTTTTTATTGATTTTTTTTACTTATACCAAACCCACTGCGATACCCTGCTTTTAAACCAGAAACTGCTTCTTTGACTGTCATAAGCTCAAGCGCATCGTCGTCAATGCTGAAGTGATTGAGTTGTCTGTTTGATCTTGGACAGTTCTGGAGTCATCAAATTCAAAAGAAATATCTGGTGTGTGGGTTTCGGCAAATAAACAATCTTTAAAGGTTCGGTTTCGCTAGTTCAAAAAGTTAAACTGTAATTTCATTAGTTTCTGAAGTAGCATCTCTTTGTTCTAATAGTCCATTCCTCTTATTATTGGAATTATTAAAGATACTGATGTTGATATATGGTTAATGGTCAAATGTGAAGTAAATTTAAATCTTTAAGAAACATATTTTCAAAATTTTGTAAGACGTCCTTATATATTAGTTGAAATAGTGAGCTTTAGTAGGCGAAGGGATTAGTTTCGATGTGAGATTTTTACATAGGTTGCTGGTTACAATGTAGAATTAAAATGTAGTTGTTATTTGCTTAGTGTAAGTTCTAACTATTTATTGTCTGCAATTATACATCCTATTATATAATTATCTTATTTTATGTCTATCAAGTAAACAAAAGTTATCATCAAGCTTAGTGATCAATAAGGCCTGGACCTTAGCTTAAGCTTATATTGGAGATGCAGCTCGTACAGGCTAGAAAGCTTAGGGTTTTTGAGAACAATGTGTTTATATGAATCTGCAAATAAAACGACACAAGCTCGTGCCGCGCAGGTGTGGCGACCTGCGCGACGTTGTGCTTGATGCACAGTTTCCTGCGCGCAGTCGATACGTGTACTAGTAACGCAAAATAGTATATAATACAAGTTGTAAAGACCTCACTGAAATAGGTCTCGGGTATCCCTAGTTTTGAAATTTTCATTCCGCCACCATTTTATTTTCTTAGTGCTTTGTTGTAACTTATACGCGAATAACAAACTCCCTTTTCCAAAGTCAGATTCATCTTATTCATAAATACGAAAATTTACCGTTGACAAATGATGTAGAATGTTTGCCGTATGCCCACTACCTTGCCCAGTACTAACATTTGATAAAGTCGTGCTGTCATTATAGGCCTCCCTGTGCTAATCTATGTTATAAAAAATATACGCTTATTCGTTTATCATTTTCCGAAATGCGCTGTGCGCCAATGTAATAAGTAATCAATGTGTGCAAAGTTAGTATCAATTTTGGGTCCAATGTTGGTCCAACAGTTGGCCTCATGTGCAGTGTACGCTTACGAAGTGATTTAGATATGTTACCAATGTTACCATATGTGCAGTGATCTGAGTTGGCGCAATTGAATGCCGCAGCGCAGTGTAGAGTTGCCAACCGCACCATGGTTTTCATACAGGTAGGGATGTCCATATAAAGGACATATCGAGATGTATATTCGAATAAAAATTGGATCCTAGTACTGAATGTTATTGGATAATACCACATTTTTTTTAGTTATTAAACCTTTTCACAGAAGACTAATGTTTCTGTGATATTTTAAAATTCAACATTCACATCAGCTATTTTTTAATTATGCAGCAAAGAAGTACAAATGTATTTGTAGTTTCTCTACACATAGTATAATATTTAAGGGGGTATCACACGTCCCTTTTATGCTGCTACATACCTATTACTTGTGGTATTAAACGTAAAGCAGCTGTTTTTTTCAAACACTTAAGCTGTTTACATACATAAGCATATATTTTTTGAAATATAAGACAATAATTAAATTTTATAAAAGGCAGTTCATGATTTAATGAAACATACGTCAATTAAAAAGAACTATTTTGATACAACAACCCTAACTATATCAATAAATATACCTTTATTTCAGTGTAACTTAAGTTAATCGAGAGTTAACATTGCTAATGTTGCTATCTCCCATAATAGCACCAGGTGTCGTGCTATTTCATATTGCATATTCAAGAATCTCAATAACCTGGCAATAAATAATGTCAATTATCAGAAATAAGAAATTGGAATATGATCTGAAAATGGTAGAAAAGTTGCATTTTAGAAATATATGGATATGAAGTATATGAAGTAACCTTCAGCTGATCAGCAACCTCCAACCAATATTTTTAAAGAGGGGAGTTGATAGTTTTTGGAACCATAAAGTTGCGGTGTTTAGGGTTATTTGTATTAGTTGATCCATCCCTGGCTATACATACTTTCCCATTTATAATATTAGTATTATTTGAAATCACTAAGCTCAAAATTGCCTTAAGTGGTCATTATAATTATTAGTCTGAGGTAGCTTTTATAATCCTATATTTCTGTAAATATTTCCATATAAAATAAAAAAAAGAGTAGAATAGTTTGTCAAAACATCGATAAATATCGATAAATTTAAATCAACACCCCTACAGGTATGAAATTTTATGGACACATACATTGACTTCAAAATGTTGTTTTCAGGCATCACATAAGTTTGACAAGAAAAATAATTAAATAGATGTGAGAGCATGAAGGGCTAAATTGAATTAATAATTACGAAATTATTAACTTCGTTTATAAAAGGCAAAAAGTTTTTTTTTGGTTGGTAACACTGGCGCAGTTTTACACATCTCTAGTCTTTTACTCTTTTTATCTCCACGCCCGGCGGCGGATTATGCCTCTCATTGAAAATTTTTAAAGTTATAATTTTTAATGTTAATTACGAAAAATGGACACGAGAAAGCTAACTGAAATTTTGCGCGGCACCCTCGAGCCCAACCAGAGGAAACAATCTGAAGAACAACTTGCTGAGGTAGGTGAAATATCAAGCATCCACATGCTCTGGAATTTTATAATACGACTAAATTGCGATGCATAGCTTTTGCTATTAACATTCATTGTGTTGAATACTTTTAATATTGATCACCTATTAACATGCCGCGCTGGTAATAATCTTTTTTTTCGTGTTTTACTAAAACTTACCATTACGTACATTTTATAACACTTAGTATTTCAGTATTGCTCTCAAATTTAATATTATAGGCCTTCAACATAACCTTTCCGAAACAGACATCGTCTTGTTTTAAGAAGCATGACAAAGCGACACTGGTATTCTATATAACCAAACTCCTGATACTGCAAATTTGAAAGCTACCTCCTATTCTAAAAATAGCAGAAGCATAAAATGTTTTTTTATGAATAGAGAACACTGTTGTTATTTGATAGTTATTGTCAATAAGACTTATATTTTTGTTATATTATTCATTATATTTATTTAATGATTATATTACTTGATTGGAAGAAAATTGATATAACTCCAATGGTACTTTACAGAAGAGCAATTTCAAAGTTGGAAATAAGATATGGTAGTCATAGTATGTGCTTGTCGTATAAAAGACAACAAAAATATGTGACTAAATTATCTGCTCTACAAATTAATAATGATGCAACTACATGTCTATGGATGCATTATTATTTTTCAGGGGTACAAAGTAAGAAGTAAAAAATTTTAAAAATTGGAAGCATATAGATGATGTTACATTAACAATATATTGTTTAAAACGATTACTTTAGTTTTATATAAGATGTTTAATAATATACTGTACATTTCCCTTATACAATACAATATACAGTTAATAATTGCTAGTGAAACGTTAAATTATATGTGTAACTAAATTACAGTTACATTGGTTATAATGTTCTCGTCTTGTATGACTACAACCAGTGCAGAGCCAGATGTTTTTGGTGGATGAATATGCGCTAACATTATATGCTGATGGGGTATGAGTGAAGGATGAGCATGGAGTTAAGTCAGTTTGCTCATCATGGTGAATTCACCAAGAATTTAAGACGAAGGTTTTCCAGGGTAATCAGTGGAGGCCGACTTGACATGGTACAATGTTAGCAATAGGGCCACTACTTCCCATTAGTAATAATCCCTTCTCCCACATTATACATTGATTTGTTGTAAAAAAGTCTTACATATAACCATACTATGGTTGAATATTTTGTACACCTTAGAAAATATAAAATTACCAGTAACCACTTAGTTGCATATTGCCTGTTGGTGTTATAATATTAATATGGTCTCCATCCTAGATTATATAAGTAAACCTTATATAATCTAGGATGAAAATGCATTGCATGTCTTGGACAAGAAAGCACTATTGCATTTTTTTTCAATCTTGCACTCGATCATTTATCGTCATTACAATGACTGGGGTCAAATCCAGTTAAAGGATCTTTAAAGTTATGTAGCTTTTAAAAATAAAACATTATGAATGAATTAATAGCTTAAATGGATAATAGTAACTTCAAACTTACTTATTAATACAGTTTTTTTGTATTAATATAGACCTTTAGGTATTAAATGACGAATTATCAAAAAATTGGGTTATTTTAATTCCCGACACTTGGCGCCAATTTATGACCGCAATATTAGGCAGTTTAGGACCATTAAATTACACTGACAAAAAATTGATTGGTTTTACATTTTGTCGAAAATAAAAAAGATAAATATTAGAGTGTTTATTAATGAAAGTTGTGTACTAATAATTTTATTATGCACGAAACAAGCATGTGCACTGTAACATAGCAACTTCTTTATATGGTTTATATTATAAAACAGTATACTTAAGTTGAAACTAGACCCAGAATTATTCCAACCAATATAATCGACATTCTTGATTCATATTAAAATAATAATGAAACCATTATTGCTGAGTCACCAGAATACAATTGCATAAGATTAATTGTTTTCTATAGAAGAATATCAACTCTGTCTTGGTCGGCAACTGATCCTTTTCATCCGGGTTCTCATCACTAAAATGCTTTATATTTTTAATTGTACTTTACATTTAGTGGTCGCCAGAAATCAAATTAAAGGTTCAGCTACAACTACTGGTCTATGAACAGGTGGTTGTAAACAGACAGAAGTTTAGAGTGGAATAGAAAATTATTTATTCAAATAAACTTACATTGAATCACTTTTGAATAGTTATCAGTTCAATTTTACATTCCCCATCAGAGACCAGCCCATATTATAACTATTTTTAAACACAAAAATCCAACTTCAATACATAGACTATAATAAAAACATGTTATACTTATGACAGAAAATTTGCGAACTGCCAAATTTTCCACTATTTTTTATTGAAAATGAACTTCAATCCTTGGAGTCAAATGCATTACTTACCAGTCGATAATTAAAATGTTCTGTTCATGAAATACAGCATATAAAATCAAGGATATAGAGGGATCACAATTTCATTCAATATTCTTTCCATTACAGTATATGTCTATTATTGGAATTTTTTGTAAATTTGTCCCTGAAGAGGTAGTGATCCATAAAACGTATAAAGTGTTTTAGGTTAATAACAAAAAAATTTAATTAACATTTGATATACAAACTGCCTTTAGAGTTTTATTATAAAGTACATAGATTTAAGTGGTTAGTATAATTTCAGATTCACAAAATCATTGGGTTTGGTCCATCCCTGCTCCAACTGGTTATGCTAAATGAGGTTCAGCTCCCAGTTCGGTTAGCTGGTGTAGTATACCTTAAAAATCTGATCACATCAGGATGGCAGGAAAAGGATGCAGATGATGATGAGCCTGCACCATTCACAGTCCATGAACAAGATCGTGCAATGATCCGGGATATTATTGTAGATGCAATAATTCAAGCTCCGGAAATACTTCAAATACAGCTTTGTTCCTGCCTTAAAACAATAATCAAACATGATTTTCCAACACGCTGGACCCAAATAGTAGACAAAATCCATATATACCTACAAAATCCAGATCCTGATAGTTGTATGGGAGCCCTGTTATGCTTATATCAGCTTATTAAGAATTATGAATACCATCTGGCAGAAAAGAAAGTTCCGTTAATAGAGGCTATGAACTTGCTGTTTCCAATGATGTACAATTTGATGGAGAATCTCCAAGCCGACTTCTCTGAAAAGTCTGTACTAATACAGAAGCAAATACTCAAGTGCTTTTATGCTCTTATAAAGGTGAGATAATAATTATAAACCTACTTTTGCAATACTAATTTTGCAAACCTCCTTTAGACTATCATGACCATCTTGACTAATTTTTATATATTTAACTTAGTGAAAATGATTATTACATTTGGTATATAAGAAATGACATTGAGTACATATTCCATAAGGTTATAAGTTCAGTGATTAATTGTAGTCTGTTTAGTAATTAATTGTTTTTAACTTATATTTTATTTTCTTAAATATCAAAATAACTCGCTGTAGTTGTATATACAATTCCATATTTTTTGGTTGTAGTACATTTTGCCCTTGGAATTGATAACGAAAGAAATGTTCACAAAATGGATGGAGATTCTTAGATCTGTAATGGTACAACCTATACCTGAACTCTTTCCTCAAATGGACGACGACGTCCGTGCTGAACTACCGTGGTGGAAAAGCAAGAAATGGGCTATACATATATTGTATAGGTTATTTGAAAGGTAAGTTTGCTTTTTTCGCTAAACACTAAATCATGTAACTAGACTTATTAAACTGTTTTACTACCTATTACATTTATAAGACATTCAAAAGGAATTTTAGGTATGACCACCACAATAAAGAGAACTTAAAAATAAATACATATTTCGGTATATTAGTTTAAATGAATTTCTCATTACACTGAATGTTGGAATCTTTTTTTTATATATTAATAAATAAAGATAATGTTAACTGTTTAATAAGTAAATATATAATTTTAAAATATTTAGTTTAAGTGAAAATTGACTTAATTAGGTGTAAAGGTTATCTTGAATTGTCTTGTTATAGGCATATTTTTAATATATGAGTTATGTATTTGCTACCACCTTGTTCTTTTCAACATTCTCATTATGCTTCAAACTTTTTGTTCATTAGATTCCTTTTACATTTTACTATATTTTATTTTTAATAGATATGGAAGTCCAGTAAATACTCGTGAGGAATATTCTGAGTTTGCGGAGTGGTACTTGACCACATTCACTGGTGGCATCCTTGAAGTACTGTTCAGAGTGCTCGATCTGTATAGGAAGAAATACTTTGTGTCGCCCAGAGTGCTTCAACAGACGATTAGTTACATTGATCAATGGTGAGTCATTATACTAAATTCACACCATACAGTGTTAGCCTTGACTCCTTAGTCACGCATTATATACATAAATGTTTTGCGATATGTCTACTTAAATTATATTTCAAAATATACATATAAATGCATATAAATTGGAGAAGAATTACATTCCATTGTTAAAAGCAACGAACATAATCCACAGTCTACAAATGAATCAGTAATAATATAATACATTAATAAATTTCGATCATCGGAAGGTATATGTTTAACATGTAGTATGAGCTCTTGCCTATTACTACTAGGTGTAAAATAGATAATAAATATAATTATATTGAGTTTTTTTAAACAGTTAATACCAATTCTATAGTAGCAATTGTTTATCATGTTATATTAATCACTGTGTATATTTTACATAGTGTTGGGTACAGTCATTCATGGAAACTACTGAAGCCGCATATGTTTGCAATCATCCAGGATGTTTTATTCCCACTTATGTCACACTCAGAGGCTGATGAAGAGCTGTGGAACTCGGATCCTCATGAGTATATTCGTATAAAGTTTGGTAAGTGGACATATTTTTAAAGAATATAAAATGTAGCAATTCATAATTAAGATTAAATTTATTCTAATAATAATTTAATAAAAGAAGTAGGTAGGCAGTTATCAACATTGCGTTCAATATCATCCTTGCACAATATGATACGCATTACAAATATACCAAAAACTTATAACTAATTTAATTTAGGCTGTATAGTTGTTGCATCTTAGATCCTTTATTATTAAACTAATTGGATATATAAAAACCTATATTTACTTACTCTGCGAGCATAGGAGATAAAATATATGTTTATTTTTTAGACATATTTGAAGATTTCGTGTCTCCTGTAACTGCTGCGCAAACATTACTTATATCCTGTTGTAAAAAACGAAAAGACATGTTAGAGCGCACCATGCACTTATGCATGCAAGTATTGCGATGCCAGCAGGCGGAATATGGGCCCGTACAACGTGACGGGGCGCTCCACATGGTGGGCACACTCAATGATATTTTAATGAAAAAGAAATTTTACAAAGAGGAAATAGACTCCCTTCTTAGTCAATATGTATTCTCCGAGTTCAATAGCAACCTCGGTTATATGCGAGCGAGAGCATGCTGGGTGGTTCAGTGCTTCGCTTGTGTACGATTCAAGAGCGAACCGCTACTTATTGAAGCAGTACGGTTGGTTATTTACGCTCTCCTAAACGACACTGAACTGCCTGTGAAAGTGGAGGCTGCTATAGCCTTACAGATGTTGTTGACATCCCAAGAGAAGGTTCACGGATATCTAGAGGTACAGGTAACACAGGTCACAACAGAATTATTAAAGGTTATACGTGAGACTGAAAATGATAATATTGCGAACGTACTGCAAAAGATTGTACCGATGTACACAAAGCAGCTAATGCCGATGGCCTTTGAAATCATGGACCACTTAGCAACCACATTTAGCAAAGTGATAGAGACTGATTCGGGAGCTGATGAAAAGGCGATTACTGCTATGGGTCTCCTTAACACCATGGAGACAGTGCTGAACGTTATGAGCGAAAATGCGGAGATTACGGCTCAGCTAGAGAAGACAGTTTTAAGCGTCGTCGGCCATATATTACAGCATAATATTATTGGTGAGTATAAAAATCGTACTTATTTTATAAATGTGGAACTTTGTTGTTAATCATTTAAGTGCTGATAATGCACTTGCAATAAAGTGGTAACCATCACTGTATAATTTAACATCTTTACTAACGTCACATAAAAAGTAAAATAAAACTATAACCCGCCTACAAAAAACCGCACCTAAAGTATGAAACAAGAACACATTCGCATTTTAATGTACTAACCATATTCCATCTTATTACTATAGAGCTCTCTAATTGTATAATATAATGAACTTGATCCCAAATATTAAATATGAATAAGAAAATTGATAGATATTTTTAGTTAGTGTAGGTGGCGTACGTAGGTGTCGATAGCCTTAGACGATTTTATGCTATAGGTAGAAAGTAATTAGTTATTATTTTGTACAGAATATTATGAAGAAGCAATGACGCTCCTCTGTGATCTCTCGACAAAATCCATATCAGAAGACATGTGGAAGGTACTAGAATTACTGTACCAGCTATTCGAGAAGGAAGGTTTCGACTACTTTGCTGATATGATGCCGGTCCTCCACAACTACATAACCGTTGATACCAACGCCTTTTTGTCCAACGAGAATCATATATTAGCAATGTTCAACATGGCCAAGGCGGTAAGATTATTTTACATAATAACAATAATTTCTTGATTTCATAAAAGTAACTTTTGAGTAGGTGATAAATTAATACAAATTCAAAACATACACACAGAAACCTATTTTTAAACTAATAACTACAACAGTAGTGTTATAGCATACAGAGACACATAATAGGGCTATGATTTGCACCACTATATACATATACATATTGGTATTCCTATTTTGCTGTTCAAATCAATTACTATTTCGCATCAGATTGACCGTTATCACACATACTGTGTTGTAACTTAATAATATCTGGTAACATAAATATAAGTAAGTATATTTTAGTCTTCAGAAATAGGGTGTACCATGAACTTTAAAGTGTATTGTGCGATGAACTGTAACTCCTTTAATGTAAGGTTTAAATTGTGTAAATTAATCGTGTATTTGATGTTACCAAAGAAACTTGTTGCTTATTCGTTTAACGGAGAGTCTAAATCGATCTGTTACTGGTTTTATTGTTCTCCCCACGGACGTAATGTTTGATCAATACATTATATAAAGACGCGATCAACTCTAATGCAAGCGGTGTCTTGTTACTGTACTGCTTTATAAATACCAGACTAAGCAGTGAATGGGACTTATATAACATGTAATAATGAGGTTTTATAAATTTGGAATGCCAAATGAAAATACAATTATATTTCTCGTTAATATAAGACCAGTATCCGGGATATTAGTATATTTTCTTATTATATATCTATTAAATTTACAATGTATTGCGTTATACATATTTTATATCTAGTTACCTGTAATCGTTCGACCCATTTGCGAAATATACAGTTATTACTTGTAAAACTAATTATTTATGTTTAATGCAACATGTCTTAATTTTACATTACGAAATTTATAAGCCCTTAGAGCTTTCTGTAATATTGCTCCTCATGAATATGTTTATCACTACGGTAAACATATTTTATAACTGGTTTTATTTCGGGTCGATATATCGTCCTCTTCCATTGATTCCTATCGGCCGTCACATCTGAGCGTACTCTGCCTTTATACAAATATTCTTGCATACAATACATTCATCTTTCATTTTTTTCGATTCTCTCAAAACGCATACTTATAAGTAATTCCTTTCAGACATAATCGTCGCTCCTCCTAATAACATTAACTATACAAAACAATTAGTTGCTAATATACAATAATTTTGTCTTCGTACCAAATATCGTTTAGATCTGTCCTGTAGTTAATTACGTGAAACAGTAAGAAATAACCTCTATTCCTGATAACATAACCTCTACACCTGTAACTAAGGTTGATTCATATAAAATGATATCAATTTAATACAAATAATATTGCTTTAAATGTTGCAAATTGAAGTTATTGTTACGGACCTGCTTAATTTTAGATCCGCGACCTCCTTTATTAATATTTATTAAAGGTTATCTTGAATTGCCTCAACTGCAGTGTACATTAAATGAAGTTGACAAGTTCTGAGCGGCAGTAAGTGCTATACATTTATATGAAAGCAATTTAAGTTCCAAGTACTCGCATTAAAGCATTTTATTGGTTATGCGTTTGTCTAATTTATGCAATATGAATAGTAATAAACTTAAGATATAACTTAGGAATAGAAATAAACGTTAGTCAAGTAAACTTTCATATTTTGTTGAATAATAGGTACCATTCCTACTATCACATGACACAATAGCTAGGTATATGTTCTAAAGTTAAGTAATAAATATTCACATCAAAACGTGGGAATGTTAGGTTTTTATAATTGCAATGCCTCTAACCTATCTCAAGATATGTGTATATGTAAAACATGCAAAAGATAATTTCCAAGAAAACGCTTGATAAGGTTGCTTTAGTGTAGCAGAAATCATAACACAATTGTAGCTAAGGTAGCCACATTTCTGAGTTATACAAACAATATATTTCTGGTCGTAGGCAAATGTTACAGAGTAAGCGATGTCTGATTACCAACGGGTATAATGTTACATCTTTTACTGTTGTCATGTTCTACTTAAGTATTCACTTACATTAGTGAATAATTAGGTATAAATCAAAATATTACGATGTTTCCTTTTATGTCTTTATTCTTTTCTTGTATTTGTGTGCATTACTTACAAATATACTTGTAGATTTTTAATAAATACTAATATTTGTAGATCACCATCTAATGACGATAATCAAATAAACTACAATAAAAAATGAAACGTTTATGCGACGACATGTATTATTTATTGGATTGTATTTGTAGGTAGTGTATTTATATGTATGTATTACTTAGGTGTATAGGTATTTTTATCGATCTTTACTTATATATTTACGTACATGTAACATATCCTGTCGACTTTTCATGCTAGACGATTTTACTGGATAGCGTAACACCGACAGGTTTTGCTTCGTCACGATTTTATTATATATAAAGATAATGTCGCATTGTATATTGCCTGATGGGATAGTTGACAGCATTTGTATACATTGGTACAGGTACTGAATATGGAGTGTTTGGATGATTCTGAGATGATAGCAGCCAAGTTGCTGGAGGTGATGGTCTTGCAGTGCTCTGGAAAGATCGACAATTGCATACCATCGTTTGTGGAACTTGTTCTTAACAGGTTGACTAGGAAGGTCCGGACTTCAGAACTTAGAACAATGTTGTTACAGGCAAGTCAACCATAAATTTCAAAATTTCGTCGATTTACAAATGTATTTCAATTCAGTTCAATTCTTGTTTTATTAGAATTATTATAATTATTAGTTTATCTGTAGTATTAGAAAACATAATTGAAATTAAAATGATGACAATAGTAAATTTACGAGGTACTAAGAATTGAGACTTTTCTAGGAATCAAACTCGATAACATACGATTATAGCGCCTAGTAATGCAAGCTTGGATTATGGCGATCTGTTATTCTAAGTATTTCAATTTATCCACGTTCATTAAAAATCAAATGAAAATGTATGTATAGAAAAGGCATAAAATTGTCCCAAAATGGTTTACGAGTAACAGTGCCGTGATTTTTGATATTTAGGTTACGCCCTAAAACCTTATATTATTTGCAGAAATACATACATAATGTTATTCACTCTTCACTCAATACTTTATGACGTTATTCACTACTAATTATATAATGCCAGTTCCTTGTTTGTCGGCACGGTATCGTTTTACTCGGTAATCTCTACAAGGATGTAGTATAATTTCAATCAACAACGCCTGTTGTTTAATAAGGATTTCCTGGCACTAACTTATCGAGTTTATATTTATTCGATACAGAAAGCAGGCTAATGTTGTTTTACTGGTTATAGGTTCTAATAGCAATACTTTATTGCAATCCACACCTATTATTCACAATATTCGACAAGCTGCAAGAGTCCGTTCCCAATGCGTCCATTACGCAGCACTTCATGAACCAGTGGATACACGACATAGATTGCTTCATGGGGTATGTTTTACTAATAAATAATGATAATTCTCTAATATGTTGAAAAAACTACTTAATTTACCGGCAATATGGGCTTTATTACTGATCTTGACACAGTCCAAAATTTGACAATGTCAATTTAAATTAAAAGTGATGTATGAAAGATTTGCATACATAAACTAGCATCATCTATGAGTTTGTACTTTTTGATGGTGTGAATATGGGTATATGTTGCTTTATATCAATATGATATTTTAAGAAAGGTATTACATATGAATGTGGATGGTTATAAGGGCAGAGAAGGCCGAAGAAGAGATGGATGTGTGATAGATAACAATGTAGGTAAGGGAGTAAATAACAAGATGACTGTGAACAGGGAAGAATGGAAAAGAAAAGTACATTACGCCATCTCCAAGTAAATGGGATAACGAAGAAGCACAACATGATGTTGCTTTTTTAAAAGTAGTTTCTACTGACCCTTTAGTATATCTTATTAAATACTTACTATTTTAATTAAATATTAGTACTGAAAGAGGCAATAGACATCCAATTATCGGTCCCCGCACTGATGTGGTATGTATTTATAGTAGATGAAAATATAAACTGTTTATGTTTTATCAGGCTACACGACAGAAAATTGTGCTTACTGGGTATATGCACATTGTTAGAAATGGGTCCTCAGCGGCCAAACCTTGAAGAGATTGTACCGATGCTCCTACCGTCATGTTTGGTGCTGTTTGATGGGCTGAAGCGTGCTTACGAAATTCGTGCCGAAGGCGACGACGAATCGTCTTCAGAGGAAGATGATGATGAAGATGATGAAGGTATAAACAAGCAATGACCACACTCATGTATTATAAAAGTAAAAACTCAATTATATGTTTGGTATTCCCGAAATATTGATTTAACTAGTTAAAAATTCCAATTTAATTCAAGCCTTGATGATAAATGATAAAACTATGCTTTATTACCATGGTATTATATGACTGTGCCAAGATAACATAAACTACAGATGAGCTTTTATTAACTTGACGCCATTGTACCATTGTGCCTTTTTACCGGAGATTAATTTAGTAGTATTGTAGCATTTAATGAATGATGCATTTAACAGATATAATTGTGTAGGAATTAAATTCTAAAGTATTTCATTACTACCATTTTAGAAGTAATAATTATAAACATATTTTAATATTATTCTAGAAATACTATCGAGTGACGAGGACGAACTGGAAGTAATGCACAGCAAACACTTGGAGAACCTGGCCCGAATGTCAATGAAGAACAGCGCCATTGAAGAAGCCCATTTAAACTCCAACATTGAAGAATATGAAGACAGTGATGTAAGAACGCGTTTACTTATTATATTTAACGTAATGAAGTTATAATGGATATAAAATAGTATTTATCATGATATGACTCAATATAATATATATCGGACATATAGTTAACATCAAGGTGACTTGATGCTATCGAATTGGGATGATATCAAATTTATTTCAATAATAAATATTAATAAGTTACATATGAAACATCTGTACTAATTGCTTAAGTGATAACGCGTCATGTGTCTTGTTACTTTGTAAAGTATACTTGTGTCATTATTCTCGTGCACATTTAAGTCAATAATGTTAACAAATGGACTTTAATAATAACAATAATTAAGTATCTTGCTAGTTCTTCTCAACTGATACTGTATTCATGTTTGAGCGCGAGGGAAAAATAATACAATACTTTAGCTGGCTCATCCTTATCATGTTCATTTGGGGATGCAGAAGTTAAATTATATTATAATTATATGAATTAAAACTTAAAAATCCTTAAAATTAATACTTAAAAAAAATATGTTATAAAATAATTTTTAGGTTTGTTGACTTTGCAATTTGGTCCGAAATGTTTTAGTCAGTCAGGGCATTTGATTTTATAAAAATATATTAGGTAATCAATTAAAATGTAACATTTTTGTGTATGTAGGACGACACATACGAACCACATGAAACAGCACTGGAGTGTTACACTACCCCCTTAGATGAAAAAGACTGTACTGTGGACGAATTCGTGAAATTCAGGAACACGTTAACAGGTATTTATGTTTCACAAATTATTGATATAAATATGCAGTAAGTTTTAGTTAATTATTTCATAGAAACTGACTGAAAACCATCATGATCTTAGAAGATTATTTCTAAATGACATTAGACTATGAATATGACAAAAAATATTTCATCTCCATATTTAAAATCTTGTTAAGTCCATACAAAAAGGTAAACAATTATTTTATACAAAAATCATTTTTATACCAGCTTATCTTAAACTTTTATGCTCTACCAGTTCCATAAGATTAATATGAAAAAGTTAAATTACATATATATGAGTAAACAATTATAATATAATACATATATAATTACTATTGGTCATGCCGAAATTATGATATGTACTAATGTGGTAACCGCGTTTTTTTTTGTTGAGGGGTATGGGCTATTATCTGGTTCTTAGAGTTTTAGCACTTGTATCTATATAAGTCTTTAGAGCTCCCCCTTTTTCGTCAGGGACAAGAATTGAAGGATGTTATCAGAAGCGATGTTTATTTAGTACAAAAATATAATCTTATAAAATAAATTTTTATCATACAGCACTATCGACGAGTGAGCCTGCCCTATACCACGCCCTCACAAGCGTACTTGATGAACAACAACAGAAGCAACTGAAAGCCGTGCTCTTACTCGCGGACCAACGCAAAGCGCAACAGGACAGTAAACGCATTGAACAAAGCGGAGGTAAATGTCAACTATTATAATTTACTATATTTGTTACCATTTTCCATCAGACGGGAGGGGTTCTCGGAGAGGGGTCTATCGCAAACCTTAAGTACTATTCATTTTATATACATGTACATGTCTCTAAAGGTATATCTTTTTCAATTCTATACTAATTTTTAATGGCTTAGCTAAGTGTTCTTATTTAAATTATTATAGCTTACTAACACTTACATTAGTTTCTATTATTCTTTTTAATTATAATATTATTTTTGTTATAACAATATTCTTTTTTCAAATTTGAAGTTGTAAATCAATATTTTGGATAAAAATCTTTCTACTTTGTACATACTTTAATAAAAAACCCGCGCATCTGTATTTTTGCATTATACTCAGTGTTATAACTTTTTTTACAGGGTACTCGTTCACAGTTCCCGCGCAAGTGCCGACTAAGTTCAAATTTGGATCGTAAACAACCAGTGAATGTATTTATATATATATGTTATTGTTATTAATCATCGCCTACCATTACCACGTCGTTGGGTCTGATTACGTTACTTTAGAAGTGTAAAATTTATATTTGCAGTCATACATTTGTATAATCATTTTAGCTTTCATTTTGTTAGTAAATCTTATATATGTTATAATAATTACCATAGCACACTTTATTACAGTTACACAATGTTATGCATAAACAATAAACGCCATAATTATAAAATACTGATTAAATGGCGATAGGCGCTAGTTATTGAAATTATTATATTGTTATTATTGGCTTCTTTATGTTTTTACCGGCGTGAACTGCTTCAAGCCCGATGCTCATTAGAGCAGGCTGGGAGGGATGGAGTGTTTATTTAGGCGGTGTGCTAGCAGTCTATCGTGATAACCGTTTCTATTGTTAACATACTCCTCTTGGAGATCTCTGTTACATTTTACATATTTTTAATGTTCCTGAACAAAAATTTACTGTTCAATGTTTCCATATAATTAATTCGAAACATATCAAGGAACTATTTTTTTTATTAAACAGATTGCTATATTATTCATAGATAATATGTATGATATACATAGGATAATGGTGCATATGTATATTACATTCAATGTTGAAATGTACCGATAATTTGATTTTTAATTGTTTGAAAAGCTGCTAGGTAGGTACCCCCCGAATAGGGTATATAGTAATCAATTACATAGGTAGTAAAGTATGCACCTCTCATTTTTGTTTTCAGATAATATACATTGTTGTTAGATAAATTCATCTAAACAAATATTTATTAATAGAGTCTGTAATAAATGTATTTGAGAGATGGGGTCTCATTTTGTGCATCAAACGTAAACATTTCACAGTGACGGATTGGTTGTTTAAATTGTATTCATATGTCGTTTATATCGTCTCTAGATGTGAATAAAAGAAAGAACATTCTACTGTTTATGGATACGCGTAAAATAAAAACACTAAAGATGAATTCGGCTGTGTCATTTAATATTCTTACAATATTATATAACTTTGCATTGTCCTGTGCAAGGCTATGTAACAAAACACTAGAATGCTCTCTAATAAATGAATAATTAATAAAAGACCCACTTTTACACTTGTAAGTTTTACTTGTGTCAGTTTATAAAGTTTAATAGAATCTTCCGTAGCTTTACACATCTTTAACTATATATATATATATCTCAGAAGTTGTTTATAATTAGCATGAATCTTTGTAAATACTTTAATGTTTTATTGAAATTATTCATAAAGCAAGCACAACTTGTGCAAGTCAGACTTTTAGTGCTCAAGATAGCAACCTGCAATTCAGTTAATATATATATATATTATTTTCAATACACAATATCCAAAGGAATAAGAAGTCGAGTGAAAGTATTAAAAAGATAGGTTGGCAGCCCTGTTAGGTAATTTTTAACTTAAAACATTTTGAGGAAAAATTGTAACTTAAAGTTCTGGCACAGTGATTTTTATCACACGTTCACGTATAAAGTACCTAAAATCATCGAGTGCAGTACTCGAACGTTGCAATTGTAACAGGTTATAGGTACTATATAACAACCGAAATCTTACCATTCGTTTTAACCGTAAATTTATTGATATGATAATCTATAATACATCCGTTTTACATAAGTTGGGAGAGAAGTCTGATTATAGGAGAATGTCGATTATAATTATTAGATTGATTAACTATTTATCTCATTATAGTGTTATATATGCCAGCTCTCATTCGCACCACGCTACAGTGTGCGGAGTATATGTTATTGATCACCAATTCTTTATAAATTATAGCAGAGACTATCTATATATTATGCAGAGTAAAATTATCTATATCTATAGTATATATATATATATATGCAGAGTAAAATTTTAGTCTCTGATATTAGAACGACTGAATAGACTTAATTAATGTTTGTGAGGTGGTTAAAATTTGAGTAAGCTAGATAGTTTTGACTTATATCCAATGTTATATATACCGCTACATTAAAATACTATTTAATACAATCTATATAAAATGTTAGTGCTGTTTTTGAATGTACTTCGCTCGACAGTACTATGATTCGTGATAAATATGAGAAAGAGGCTCTTCGGTGGATATTTATAGATCAGATGTTGATTTTAAACTTAAAAATATTTGAACTTAAACTATAAAGTAATAGATTTAAAATAGAAGAATAGAGAGTACAGAATATGAAATAGAAGAGTACATTTTTTGGCGATTACAAACAAGAAATTAAACGGATTTGTGTCACGTGTAAGGTCATGCGAAATAACAAGGGCTCTGTATTATTCGTCTATTTTGTGCTGTCCTCTCCATTCTCGTTAACGTATGTAAATATTCAAGAGGAAGAGATATGTACTTAATATTGGTCAATTTAACTAGTTTTTGATTAACAGAAATGTCTTTCGTTCTGCCCGTCTCTTTGACTTAACAATTCATCTATGTATCACTTATTAACACACAATAATTGTAATTACAAACTTAATTTTAATAACTCTCGCATACATGCTTAGTCTCTTTTGATTTCTCCTGATAATTACTTAATGTCATTTTAAATGAACATGTCTAAAAGCTTATATTAATGTAATTATTTGTTGTTTTATCTATCGTGTAAGAATGAGTAACTGTATTTTACAGTTGTGGTTGTCAATTGTTGGTCTGATGTTGTACAACGACGTTGTTAGCAACCAGGTTAAAGAGCCAAGCTCGACGTTTTATTTTTTGTAATTTGAACATTTCAATGTTAAAATTATTATTGTATATTCATACATACATGATTAATAGTAAACTTTCACCATGTATGACTTTGTCTAAATATGAAAATAGTCTTAGTTCATAATAAGACTACTTCCGTATATGGACAAAAAGCGTGGTACCCTGTAGTCCTCTGTGGCATTATCACGAAAACTATCACAGCTCATTGATTTCTTTGTAAATAGATAAAGATACTGGCGAAAAGCTTAAAAATCTATTTATTTTCCAAGTAAATTGCGCAAGTGACAATAACGTCTAATACGCATACTTCTTTGGTATTGTTTTAGTTATCTGCCGCGAACTGTATTACAATATTTTTTAATAATAATACTTACGTAACTTCATTACCTCACATTGTTGTTCTGTATGCGTATCCTTAAATACTCGCGTAATATGTAGTCATTGTAAGGCTCGGATGTTATGGCCCCCCATTCAATGTTCACTATTAATGTGATGCACAGAAATGCATTTCTCTACTGGTTAATAAAATAACTTCCCCATTTTCTCGTTATTCACTGTTCTGTATTAACAAATTATTGTGTTAGTTGATTATTCTATATGACAGCTGATTGTGTAAGTTACGGCTAGAAACAGAAGTCTGACTAGATAAGGGCCTAAATTATAGATTATATAGAAATTGCTATGATTCCAAGTTACAGGAATAAATTCACGTAGTTGTGTTGTTTTTGATTGGCCAGATTGTTTGAAGGAATCAAATTGACTGGCAAAAGGCGCACTGTATTCTAACCGTAGCATATGCCCAAATAAGAATAAACTGTATGTTGTAAATTGCTTTTCATTTCACACTAATTTATTTATTGTTATACTTAATACCTATATCCTTACCTGTACTCAAACATGTACCTATAGAATAAACATTATGTAATATATGTTCTACCGATACATATCACGTGATTCAAACATTGGTTCTACACATACTTATTATATTGCTACATACATAGGTAGGTACCAAATTATATGCATTCCCTTACACAGGGAATACTATGAAATCACGATGGTTTCCAGAGAATCATGTGGATGATGTGACAGTACATTTCTAGCAATGGTGTTATTAGTCCACATTAGTAACAATTTCCTGGTTTATATTAAAGTATTTCAAGGATCCATTCAGAGTGAATTGTTGTCCCAGCTGTGCTTCTGTTATTAGAAGTATATCAGAAGAATGTACATTGGGGTGTGTGCGAGGTATGTAACATAAAACAATGTTATGAAAGAACAAACTTTATTTCCTTTTGAAATACAGACAAATCATTTAAATTAATACTTTTGGAGAACACAACCCATCACCACTCAATAAAATATATAGTAACTTATTAACTAAGAAATTTCAAAATGTAAGAGTGATACCTAATTATATTTCCATGTGTACAATATTATATGATTTTACCATCACAATATAATGGAAATGCATGTACAGTTACTGTAGTTCATGAATGTAAAACATAGCAGGCACTTTTTTAGTTTATGTAGTTTTATACCACAATACTAAGTATGAATCAAACCTAATAGTATTATTATACTATATATTTGCTGATTTAGAATAGTATGCCAAAGTACAAAGTATCCATTAGGGATAACAAAATAGAGTAAATACACTATATAAGATTTTTAACACTTCTATAAATTCAATCTTAAATATTTTTTATTATAAATCTATAGATTTATCAATAGACTCATTATTTATACAATCCGAACAGTACATTTCATATGTATATTTAGAAAAATATTTTGATTAGATAATCTTCTGGATACTATTATTTTGTTATTTTCTTATAATATGAACAGCTCAATGAAAATTGCTGCCCATATAATTTCATATACATTTAAATATGTATTTATTAATATAAATATTATTAACTTTTACTTTAGAATTACTTACTTACCATTATAATAAATTTAGTAATACATAGATACTTTTCACATATAATAGTGGAGTTACAAATAATTTTCTCTTAACATCATTACAATTTAATGCAGAGAGTTAGGCTTCTATATAGCTCTATGCAAGTAATACTGATAACTTGCACAAAGCAAACATGGGGCAACAACTCAACACCTTTACATATTTTGGGGTAGAAATCAAATGGATGCACTGTTGTATTCATATATAAAATAGTATATATATATTTAGGACATGTAATACTTATGATTTTTACCCCACATCAAATTATAATCAAGTTATATCAGCTCAAATTGATAACAATGCAGATAAAACTTGTGCCTACAGATTGTACCAGTTACACACAATTTAGTATACATTAGCCTGAGGAGACAAACCTTTGCTTTCAATTTTGAATAATTGAGATCAAGACCAATGCTCCTTTTGATGACGGAATGACTTTTCTGGGATAGGACACAGCCTATTTCAGGAAAGATATTCTATTATACTACCTTATGAAAATTAATGCCCTAATTTCACTCATTTAGTCAGTATTATAATTAAGACACATTTGTATCACAAAAGACTTATTGCTTAAACTCTTTACTATACCAAATAAATCATATTTCATATTTTTTTACATAATACTAATTTTTACTCACAACTGAATATTAGAAGTTTGAAAAAAATTATGGACAATAATATTAATGTTTCATTAATAGCCAATGTCCTCCATATACTATGTAATCTGTATGAAAACTTACATTAATATTGATTGAATTAAATTAAATCTTCAGAGTGTTAGATCTTTTTACAAATTACAACTCTCTTTCACATTTATAACTAATATATACGCAGGAAACAAAGTATAAATGAAGGTTTCACAAAGCCATTCCCCTAATATAATCGTAACGATGACGCCTTTCATCTTGCAGTTGCCCTATCTTAGATGCAGCATCACTGTCACGGCAAACACCACAAAACACACTGGTTATTATGTGAAAAGGACTGCGATAATACGACTTTGAATCTTTAAGACTCTTGTTCTTTTTGTGACACTGGACATGTAGGAATATTTCTAGGATCATTAGCAATACGCATGCAAGATTTGGAAAAAATGCCGCAGCAGGTATAAGGAGCAACCTATTACTGAAGGTGTGGGAGCCGGCAATAATGTTGGCTTTGAGGGATTCGAATTTTTTTGTCTTAGTCATGTAACCTTTGGAAAATTTTATTTGCTTAATTTTATTGTGTACCCTGAGATTTGGTGCTCGTATACGCATGAAAGGAGTATTCTGTGGCAGTACTGGCTCCCCGGTCTCATCATTGACATGGTATGTCACGACTTCACCCGTCTCGTCGTCGCTATAAAATCTTCTTATTCTCGGCATTTTGCGTAGTCACTCCACCTAAAAAATAGGCAAGATATTACTACATTCAAGTAACTGAAGAAATCAATACTAGCAAGGAACAAAAAATTCAAAAATTATTCATTTACATCCAATAAATATATCGAAAATATAAAGTAATGAACACTATTTTGTTTTGTTGTTCTATACTCTTATTTGATTGGAATGAAAACAAAAAATAATAACCTCTATGTTGAATAATAATACAAATTTGCCATGTACTTGGTTACATTATATTCCAAGAAACATAATAAGTAAAATACTAATCTGTAATAAATTTTATTGCTCTTATTTTTATTTTTAGTTCGGGTAGTATATTCTTTGGTTCGGGATAAAGTGCATTCGCCAAAGACAAATTGTTTTTTTTAAAGACCAAATACACCATGAATGTCTATGGATGTGTATAGTTGGAAATAAAATTCGAGAAGGAAGAAATTGTTTAACTATTTTTATTTGCAAGCATTATCAGTAAATCTTTTTATGTATATCTAATATTCTCAAAAAGTTTATTAAATATTGATTTAGACGTTTAACACGCGTATGTAAAGTTTAGTTTATTGGAATCAGGTGCTTTAAACATACAGTTCACTTACCTTAAGGCGCTTAACAATATTTAATGGATTTTATGTCTAATCTATACATATAAATAAAAATGGAGTGTCTGTTTGTAATATTGAAATGATAAGTTTTTTACTAAATGCATATGAATATAAATACGGTACATACACCAAGTTTTCTACCATTTTTGTCTGTCTCTCTGTCGGTCTGTTTGTTCCGGCTAATCTCTGAAATGGCTGGACCGATTTTGACGGGACTTTTTTGGCAGGTAGCTGATGTAATAAGGAGTAACTCAGGCTACTTTTGTTTTAGAAATATAAAGTTAAATTCCACGCGAACGAAGTCTCGGAAACAGCTAGTTCTATTATATATTCCTATTTATTACATAATATGATATGGTATGATATTATATTTTTATTTTTGCATTGTAACTACATAAAGCGGCGGCATGGAGTTTTGTGCACAAAAAGTTGGTGTATCTAGGAGTAATAGTGCTAAGAGATAAAATGGCTACAGATATAAGTAATTATTTTTAAAACCAGTATTACCACATAATCCCTGAAAAGAAAAAATAAAAATTTACAACCATCAACCTGATTGTTTCAGAAGAAACTGAACAACTCAGAGAGAACATTCAACATGAAGAAGCAGTTCACCAGAAGAGGATTTGCGGGAAGTGATAGAGATCATACTGATGCAATCACGGAAACTGACAATGTTGAAGATGAAGTTTACCGGTCTACATCACTTGAAGAGACTAAAGCTAAGCGTAAAACTAGAACATTAAGTGGAAAAGTTGAAGTCCAAGGAAGAAGATTTCCAACTCGAAAACATAAACTAATTTTATTTCCTGATTACGTTATTTACCAAGCTTGCGTTGCATTATTTATTGCTTGGTAAAGTTGTGGAGAAGCTGAAGTGCAAGAAGATATCCAACTCAAGTAGAGAAACTAGTTCAATTTCATGATTATGGACATTATGACAAAGGCAGTATATAGAGGCAAGTTTATGTTGTAGTGAAAAGTGTACTTTGGATGTTGTGGATTAGTTTGTAACTGAGACGATCGTGAGAAGTGTGCTACTGAGAGATAGTCTGAAGGCAAGGATTGAAGAACTAGAGCAGTATTCTTATACATGTTACAGGAAATGTTGACTAAACATGAGATGTCATCATGTCACTTTGACAATACTCTATGCTCTACCTACTCTATGCTCATACCAAATAAAATTAATTAACTTAAATTAGGATAACTTGGGGAAAAAGGGTAAATTAAGTACTCTGTGCGTACTCTGTGGTTGACGGTGACCCGTGAGCGTCACCAAGAAACCCACAGTTTTTGCTGACTTGATTGAATGACAAAATCTTCTGTTAGTCAAGTGCGTTTAGTCTGTTTTACTAATAGACATTGTTGATATTGAAATTTATTATTGTTTCAATTAAAGTGATACTAAAATTCTTGAGGTTTATAGTGCTAAACTGTTTGTGTACATAATCTTACCCATTATGGATGTTTACCTAATTTACACAATTGTTGGTTAAAATATAGTACGGACATGATTGCCCCGTAACAGGTAAATGTTAAATCTTATTGACAAATTTTACTGATACCCGCATTTAAAACTTTTTATTTATGTCTTCTGTTCCACTTCCAACCAGGTAAAAAAACTTTCTATTATTTGATATTGCATTGCAATTTATAATACTTATAAAAACAGACAATGATAAAATCTTACTCTAAATAGGATAAAATATAACCTATTTACTCCATAACAATATATTTAATGCTACTGTAGTGTTATGTTTCTATTAATTCTGGCTTGTTAATTTAACCTGACTTAATATTCAGTAATATTTTGTAAGAACAAAGTGCTTGTTAAGTATAAAAATAAGTATACTTTATATTTTGTAGTAGTTCAATAATTTTTCATTCAAACACTCGCATTTAGATTTACACATATATCATACATAAGTGTGTGTAATAATCATCGCATTAGTGAAAATATACTGCAATTAGTGTTTGCTTTATTTAGATATTGTTGTAAACACCTCATTGAATGGGAGTGATTTTGTTAACTTGTTTTTGTATTTATACTTATTATGAAAATTATGTGATCGAAGGAGAATAATGTTTGTTACTATTGTAGTTTATATGGAAAAGGAGTGCAGATAGCTTTTATATACAATTCTTAAAATTACATTAAAACAATTAATAATCTTTGAACCGTTTTACAAGCACATCAATGGATTTTAATCCTGCAGACAAATTTGACATTTGATAGTGGGTTATTGCGATTTTTAAATAGAGTTGTTGTACTATCGGATATCAATTTTGATTACCCATTATTATAGGTTACTCAGAAATAATGTGTGAGTGTTTGTTTAAAATTCATTATTATAAATTAATAAAGTATCTAATATTATGGGGTTGTTGTATAAAACTAGATTTACTATTTTTCACTACAATAAATACTAACTGCCTTTTCTATAAAACAAACATACAAATGATCTTCATATGGTGTTATATATTATAAAATATATATACCTATTTTGAATATTTAGATGTTTGAATGTAAAAATTTATGGTTTGTAGTGTAATACTGTCAAAGTTATTACTTGTATGGAAACCTCAAAAACATATTTTTGTGTTGTTCAATACAATAAACAGGAGTATATGTATGTAAATTTTCAAAATCTGTTGGAAACATCATGTATGTATAAACTCCTACATATGTTCAAGTAAAAATTTATGCTTAAACAAATCGATTTCTCCGATATATCTTCCCCACTATAGGTGCTAATATTATTTGAAAAATTGATATTTATACCTGTCGATTTAGTATCCGGGATTAAAACTTTAGTTGTTATATTGCAAAAGTCAATTGCCTTACTTAATGCATTAATATTATTTTCTATTATTATGCTACCATTACCATTTGTGAGAGCATAAGTATAATAATAGTTGTAATAATATCCTTGGACAATTCACACAAAGCATTACTGTAAATACACCCAAATCCATACAAACAATTATATTCATATATAGAAATGTTTGTACTGTGCGAAGAATCTAACATGTAACCACTAGAAGAAAAGCAGAATACTAAACCACAAGACCACAGAGGCAGTCAAATATGCGGTGGTCAGATGTCTGCACTGAATATGTGTTCTCACACAAGCTAATTTGCTTGTTAAATGTACAATTTAACAAGCAAATTACCATTAGGTAGTACAATTTAACAAAGTATCATAAATCTGTAGATGTAAAGTAAATCCAATTGATCTTTAATTATTACTATCTTAGGTAATATAAAATTTTATGGTAATGATGTCGGGTTTCATCAAGTTGTCAGTAAATTAATGAAACACATAGAAGGGTTTCACATTGTTTATTTATTTCTAACTCTTTATTGCACCTTAAAAAAATAATATTCATAGTATACAGAAAGGCAGGTGGTCTTATCGCTAAAGCGATTTCTTCCAGACAACCTTTTGGGTAAAGGAGAAAAGACGAAGGTTTATGCACATGGGTATTCAATTGAGCTGTTTTTAAGGCTGTTTCCACTGAAGACATGTAAAGACAGAAATTTGATGAAGACTTTATCAGTGATATCAAATATACCACTAAACTGGTGTGGCTTTGTGACCCAAGAAGCTATAGAATATCAGGAAAATAGCTATTGGCATGGCAAAATATTGATTTAAAAAAAAAATACATCATAACCTATTGGGGCGCCATTTGATAATGTTATTTTTTCATACACTTGGAAATATTTGTTATTTATTATTTTGTCATAAAATATCTTACTAATTCTACTAATGCCAAATATATATGCCATATAATAAATGTACTAGTAGCCAATACCTGATACATAAATTTTTATTGAATGACAATCTACGGTACCAATACGAACTTCTCAGCAATTGTATGGCCTAGCAACTGAGTGATGGGGATTGCCAAATGAAAAGGATGCGGACCTCACACTAGAAATAGTCTGACAATTGGTTTTAAAGTTGGAGAAAAAAGACAGATTGGGTTATGCCTGCGCAGCCCATAGCAAGTTCATTTCTGAGGCCTAACATTTCTGAATTTTGTTGTTAAGTTCAGGTATACATTCAGACAGGAGTGAGAGTGTGGCACTCATAGTATTTGCTACTCTTTTTTTCCCCTCCATCAAATTGGCTACTCTTGTTTATATGCTAATCCGGCATTGTGAGAAGATGGAACGAGACGGGACATGTAGCAAGGCCTGATGTGTATGCAGTTAGCGGCCGTAATTCCTGTATCATTAGCAGCTATGGCTTGATAAGAGAGTGGTAGAATCACCGAGTGCTATAATCCATAGATATCTCTTGTTGCAACGGAAATCCTGGATTGGAGATGTTCCTGCCTTATATATAGATAATAATTGTGTCTGTGTGTAAAATAAGTGTGAAATAAGTGTGATTGTGATATGTAAATACTGGTTTAGAGTTTTTTTAAGGAAATAAAAGTTAAATATGTAATAAAATGTAATATTAGAAAGTACAAATAGAAATTAAATACTTAGTTTACTTTTTATTAAATGTCAAGTCATCAGAAATGTCCCTTCCATACTTGTGACTTTATGATTGTATGTGAATAAAAATTATACTTAATAGATGTCAGATAAAAATTATGGTATCTAGGTAACTAAAATTTTATTAAGTATTTCCATGATTATTTGAGACATGAGACATTACCATGGCAGACATTTTATTAAAAAACCGTATTTATTTAGTGTGGAATTTATAATGTTTGATTTGTACCTCTAAATTTATCATTATTCTGTTTTTTCATTTGCTAAATCACTGAAACCCTATTTTTGGCTTTTTCTAGAAATGTACTATTGATTTAATGTATTGAATAGTAAGCTTTTCTAACAAAAAAAATTAGGGCTGCTGGCTTGGCGACTATTATGGCTCTTTATATTCCATCTTAAATTTTATCGAAAAGTGCATATGATTATCATAAGCAAAAAGTCAGTCCATCAATTAGTTTTTATGTCAATTACTAACAAAATTATAGAAGTCGAAAGAAGTAAGGCTCAATCCAGCCTGAATTCCATATTGCATTTGTATCCCTGATGAATGCATGAACTGTTTTTGATATATTTGCTGCTGATATCGGTCAGGCAGGGGTGACACATCTCGTTCGCGGTTGCGCAAATGTCGTCGCGTTCGGCGGGAACGCCTCGTACACACCGCCCGAGAACATTGTACATAGATTTGTTGGAATGGCCTTGATTGATGTAATTTGTTGTTGCAAAAGTAACAGTCATACTTTTGCAACAACAAATTACATCAATTGAGTTGTACGTATCAACAGGCTATCTACTAGAGCCGCACGAATCAAAACACTTGTGCATCGTTAATTCTATATCGAGAATCCGATCATACTTACTGAAACTATATCGAGTCATACCTATGAATTTTATACAAAAAATCCTATTTAATATACCTTGTTTTTTATTAAAATAACTAAAATTGCTAATATAAAAGTAGTCTAAGCTACTCTTTTAATATTAGCTATCTGCGAGTATTAGTGAAAGTCCCGTCAAAATCTGTCCAGTTGTTTCAGATATTGCAAGAACAAGCAGAAAAACAAAAATTCTTTAAATTATTATTCTTATTAAATATAAGATATTAAATATAAGATATAGATATAGTATAGATACGTCTCCCATTAGATACAAAGATATTGCAAACTCTGCATTCTTTTATATTGTGACAAAATCAATATGTTTTTTCTGGATATTAGGTAATCCCAAAAATTATTTTGTTATTGTAGATTGGATTGAGTTTATATTAGAGTCCCCAGTATTAGTTATATTATAAATAAAATCAGCGTAAAGTATTTGTATAATTGGGTTTACAAAAATTCATACGAAGAGTATTTAATTCTTATAGTTCCTATCCTAGTGACACAAGGTAGAATGTATTTTTTTTTAATTTAAAAAACATAATAATAATAATCAATAAATATTTTCTTTACGATACAAAAGTCCTTAGATTTATAAATGAAACAACTTTTTTCTCAGTCCAAATTTTTGAACTGAATTGAAATATAAATCTAATTACGTAAGTAGTGAGAAATTGTGAAATGGTGGTCTTGGTTTAATTTTTATATTACGTAATCATGAAATGTAATATGTAACTAAGAAATATGGGTTCATAATTAGGTGGCTCCCCTACCCGCGGAGAAGCGAAACTAAAATTATATTTGTATATGTGGGTACATTGAAGCATAATGCTGTGTTTACCTTCAAATATTTTTTTCATTCTATGCTGTATGAACTAAATTATTTATCACTAGTGCAACCAAACCACGCATAGAGACGCGTGCATCAGGTAGTAAGTAAATTATAAATTGTGCAATATACAATATGTGTTTTTCAAACTATACTTATTGTTAGTAAAACGACGTATCTTAATTGATGAAAGTTAAGCATAGCCAGAAAATATTTATTATTAATAGTTTTTGTTGTGAACAAGGAATTAATTAAGTCAAGATAACCATTGAATGCTACCAGTTTGAGTACGTTTTATTGCGCACGTGGTTTTACCCTGCATTGTCGTAATTTTAAAACTATTCATCCAAATTACTTGTGTAAAAGATCAAATTTAACTATTTTGAATACAAAGGCGTTAAAAGTACCCATTGATTTGAATTTATTTAGTAATTAGTACTAGCATTATTTAATTTTTTTTTCTGTATTTACTAGAGATTTATTATTACAGTAGAACAATATGTACTTTTAAACATTTTAAATTATAGGTTATATGTTTTTGCATGAATAATGAATGAACATCCAAACAAACTTTCCAGTTTATAATATTCTAAGAATAGTAGGAATTATTATTGAAGATGTTGTTGCTATAAATTTTTGTACTATATTTACCCACATAATATGCTTATTAAATTTAGAATAATACTTACAGTACGACTGATTTTTAACATTTATTGTATCCGCCTTTTACAACCTGTAGTGAATTACTTGCATTCCTATTAATAGATTTTCGTTTTCTTTGAAGCTCTTTTAATTACATTTTCTTTGTTATTTTGTGATTTCAAACCTTATTTACAGACATAACTTATATAAAATTATTACAATCACTGAAACTATAGCTGTCTTTTTCAATGCTTGCCCACTAAAAGAGTGAGGGTACTTTATATCTTAAAGATGTATTTATTTTTTTACAGTAAATCAATTATATTCATCAATTTAATAAAGAAGCAGCAAGATGGATCCAGAGTGAGTATAAAAAAAGGTTTCTGTTTGAGTAATTTGCACTTTTAAGTTTTAATTGTAAACTGTATGTTGACATTAGTTTTTGCGGTAAATGACATTGACATGTACTTATAGAAATATTGGATCACATCATTAAGGCTGTTGCCTTTATTTTAATCACTAATATGACATAATTATTAATAGACTCGACAGTCCTGACAACATGAGCAATTCAAATGTTATAATAAATATATCAATTGAACTATTTAATACGTCCAAAATAAAAACGAGGTAACCTGATATAATCTGATAACGTCAGCCTTACATTCTAGTATCTACTACAACATTTGACTAAGCTATTATGTTACAGAGTTATTCAATGTGTTGTGAATGGAAAGAATGGAGGCCAGAGAACGGCAGATGACTCTGCTGTAAGTACAAACATATTATCTTATTTGTTTCAGAACTCAAGTAAAAGATAAGTTAGTGAACAGCTTAAAAAACGAAAACCGAAAGAAAAAAAAGAAGCAGAAGCATAGAAAAAATAAAAAGGAATTAATTGACGAAGATGAAGGAGAGACTAGTTTTAAAAGAAGAAAGAGGTCTAAGAAAGTTAAACATAAACGTCCAGTTCAGGAAAGTGAAACATCACTATCTGATGTTGAAGATTTAATAAAAAAATCTCGTGCTTGTAAACAAGATTCAACCAGAGATGCTTCCGTTGAGTTAAATTTAGCAGAGTTAGATAATAAATCCAAACAAAACAATGGTGACTGGGATCTTCTAAAATCAAGAATTTATAGTAATGGTAATTATGCAAAGAAATCCTACGAAAAAGATGAATCGTTAGATGTTAAATCGTCTAACTCTGAGGCAGAAAATTATCAAGATGATTGTGCAAGTCCAGAATTAACCATGATAGAAGACGATCTAAACTTGGAAGAGCTGATGAAGCAAAAAGAGTTGCTACAGGCACGTTTAGTTGCTTATTATTCTGATAAAAGCGATGACGAAATTGAACAGCCTGCAGCCAATGATTTGTGTATATCTGATGATAAGTCGCCGTCATCTAAGAAAAGGAGAGGTCATGACTATGACCACAAATGGGCCAGTAGACACAAGTCTAGTAAAGATAGATCTTTAGAGCGTGATAGATATAAGTCTAAACGGCATGACGAAGACTTAAGAGTAATCATAAATAGAGAGAGTAGAAAAGAAATGGAAAAAGAAAGAGAGTATCGTGAAAGAAGAGAACGGCAACGACGTAAGCTATATGAGGCGGAAAGGGAGAAAGAAAGAGAACGCGAAAGGGAAAGAGAGCGTGAACGAGAGAAGGATAGAGACCGTAAGCGTGAAAGAGATCGCGAGCGAGAGATGGAACGACGGTCGGTGGAGTTCAAACGACGGGATTGGGAAGCTCGTGGACGCAGAACTCGAGATCGATCGGTGATGCGCCGTGACGGCGAACGAAGTCGCCACAGAAGTACTGATCGCAGCCGGGTAAGGAGTCGCAATCGCAGTCGAGTCCACAGTCGAGAACGCAATCGCTCGCGTGATAGAAACCACAGAGGGAGCCATAAAGATAGGCGTCAGGTAAGGTCTACTTTCTATCCATTCATTACATCCCCTTGATTAGAAATATTTAGATATACATATTCACAAATGTTATAAAAAAAGGTAATTATTTCTCTGGTTTAGTATTAGCACAGATAACATAATATTACATACAGATACCCCATCCCATACAAGAAAATGGTTCCTTCCTAACTCGGGCTATTCTTCGGGCTATTTTATTTCGCCGCCGTAGCCGCTAGATGTCTCTAGATCTGAAGCAGTTCGCATTACTAGTGACAAAGCACGAAAATAGATGGCAGTCAATTCAGTCTACATGACATCTGTTTTGCAAAGATAGGTATACAATAGATATGCAGGTAACTGTATCGTGTACCTCATTAGGGACGATTCAAGATTCAATGTAAATGTGTAGGTATAATATCGTTAGTCGACACTCTGCAGATATGGCTTATGTGCCAATGTATATATTATGTTATAGTTTATTCTACATTCCATGCCTATTTTTTTCTCTCGACGAAGATATGTTGTAACGCGTCTGCGCTATACGTATAGCCCGATTTTGATACGTTTATACTCGTACGTATCAAAATCGGGCGATATGATTTTTTATTTCAATCGTTATGTGTAAGAGACTGATTTTAGCTTTAATTAATTTACTGGTATATACCTCATGTATTCTACGATGTATTCTTTTACCTAATGAGAATTCCGCTATATCTTATATATAAATTTTGTATCACAGTGTTAGTTGCCATATTTCTCCCACATTTTGATGAAATTTGATATGTATACTTGCCAGGTCTGAAGTAGGGTTGTTATCTATTTTTTATACCCCAAGTCATAGGGGTGGCCTACACCGAAAAAATATTTTTTTGTATTATGGACAATTTTTTATTTATTTATAATGTTACATTGAAAATACATACACGCCTAAATTTTCACCCGTCTTTCACCAACCCCTATTTTTAATAGCGATATTCTTACAAATATTATAAATGCTAAAGTAACTCAGTCTGTCTGTTTGTCTCGCTTTCACGCCAAAACTACTGAACTGATTTAATTGAAATTTGGTAGACAGATAATGTAGACCCTGAGAAAGGCTACTTTTTAATGCGAAAAAGTATTGAAAGGGGAAATGAAAGGCTATATGAGGATATCGTAATTTTTAAAGTCAGATCTTGTAAGATTAAGTGAACAGGGTCGGTCTAGGTTTTTCATTATTAGAAATGTGTAACGGGGTAACACGTTATTTAGTGCGAAATTGTGTATATTACAATAAAATTTAACGAGAAAATATTATAATGATGTCACTGGGACACTCATTGCCTTACTACTACATCGTCCGTTAGTCGCAAACTTTCTGGAAACACGAGAGGCGCGCTCCTATTGGTCGGTAGTAGATGAGGTAGACGAGTCTCACGGCGCCGCAGCGTAAGTACTTACTATACATACGTAGTATACATATGGGTGTTACAAATGTTTTTATTACGAGTAATATTACTCTGTTATCTAAGCAAGTAATGTGTGCTTATTTTGAACTTGATAACATTCTGAATTACTCGTATATCTTTCAATATCTTTAGCGGTATAAACCAGGTTATGTACTACTACTAGTATTGTTAGTGAGGGATAAAGTTGATGAACAAAAATAAAACAATATTCGTATTAAAAATATATTCATCTAATATTTTTGGCATTATTTTTAAGTTTCTTCCAAATACAAGGGGTCTGACATGGGGTGTTATGTACCTACATTAAAAAATACTTTTTGAAATGTATGAAATGTATGTACTATGTACCTACATTAAAAGATAATTTTTGGAATGTATGAAAGAAATGTATGTACCTACATAAAAAGTTCATTGAAATGTATGAAATGTATGAAAGAAATGTATGTATGTACCTACATTAGAAGATAATTTTTGACATGTACCTACATTAAAATATAATTTTTGAAATGAAATGTATGAAAGAAATGTATGTATGTACCTACATTAGAAGATAATTTTTGACATGTATGAAATGTATGAAAGAAATGTATGTACCTACATTAAAATATAATTTTTGAAATGTATGAGATGTATGAAAAAAATGTATGTACCTACATAAAAAGTTCATTTTTGAAATGTATGAAATGTATGAAAGAAATGTATGTACCTACATTAAAAGATAATTTTTGACATGTATGAAATGTATGAAAGAAATGTATGTACCTACATTAAAAGATAATTTTTGACATGTATGAAATGTATGAAAGAAATGTATGTACCTACATTAAAATATAATTTTTGAAATATATGCACCGTGCAATAACAATACACGTTAAACATCATACCACAGAGTCATACGTAAGTTAAAAACAAACTGCTATGATATTAATGAGAAAGGAAAATCAACTTTATGATATTCGAGTTAGGGTCGATTTCTCTCTTTTTTTTAAATACTATTTTAATCTTACCAGTTGCCAGTATTCGAAGACAGCTACGATTCGTACTCGATATTTTAAATTATTATGTAATCGATTTTTCAGTACAAATGTAAATAACCAACGACACTAATAATGTACTACTATATTCCGTTCTTTGAAACGGAACACTGCTATAATACAAAATAATGAAAATTTACTGTTCACAACGACTCATTAAAAGCATCATCGAATAATGCGCTGTAATAAAATCCTGTTATCGATTATTCAAAAAAATCGATAATACAAGTATTTATTTTTAATATGACAACACTTCATACATAAGTATTATTGGAAATAGTATTACTTGCTTGTTCGGCTATTTTTAATTTACTTAAAAAATTTTTATATGTTTAATTTACAATAAATATAAAAAAGACATTTAATTAGGCCGATACAAATGACGACAATGCCATCTATGAAAGCATTTTGAAAACATTGAGCCCCATATTAGCATTGATTAAAGTGTAATTAAGTACTGGAAAATAACAAAATCAGTAAATATATGAAAATTACTTTTCTAAACGCATTATTTCATTTTAACATGTATATATAACTTTTTAAAAATTGATTAAATATTTTTGAAAACACAGTTTTGTTTTTTAAAACGTTTGCAAAACTATGAAGAATTCCATCGATACCAATCACGCCATCTATATGCAACTTTTAGCAATAATAATGGCTACTTCCTCATTGAGTGCCACTGGTATTAGTATGATATATAAATTATTGCCGTTTCTATATTTTATGATCTAGTATATATTCTAGTAGTCAAAGTACACTTTAAATATGACATAGCCAAGAACAACTAATAAGTCATTGAAAATACAATTGTCTTATAAATCTATACATATAGATAAAATTGGAGTGTCTGTTTGTAATATTGACATAATTGTTTTTTACTACATGCATATCAATTATATATGGTACATACACCAATCTAACATTTTATTAAAATATTTGTTTGTCTGTCTGTTAGTTTCGGCTTATCTCTACGGGACTTTTATTGGCAGGTACCTGATGTAATAAGGAGTGACTTAGGGTACTTTTATTTTAGAAAAAATATTTTTTAAAAAATAAAGTTAAATTCCACGCGGATGATGTCGCGAGTACAGCTAGTTAGGAATATAAATATATATTAATTTATTATGTGACGTAAATATATTTATAACAAAATTAATTAATATTTTCCAGAATACACTTAATGAAGTTGCACAAATAGTTCCAAGTTCAAGTGATGAGGAGCTGAATATTGATATTAATACAGACGAAGATGAGGAGACAGAGGAGCAGATCATTGAGCGGAGAAGACAACAAAGGGAACAACTTATGAAGGTTATACTTTAACTGCTTAACTATCAGAATATATTTAATTATTTTATTAAATAATTGTTTATAACATAACATACTTATTTAATAGAGATCAATGGGTGTCTATTCTGTTTCTGCTGGATAACAGGTAGAAGCATAATTTGATAAAGTTGAGTCAACTTTATCAAGGTAGAATTTGCAAAAAGTGTTCGCATAGAATATACGTATATATTTCAACTTTAATATATGAACTTCTGCCTCAAATATTTTAGCTGCCAAGCAACTACCTTTGTAGACTTTGTTTCGATTGAACGAGTGTGATGAGGAAGCGAAATTACATTATAAGAGGTATATAGTATACCACCCTAAGGTGGCTAGTGGTCTCAAAATGAATTGTATGATTTTAGAGATTGGAGGGTGAAAATAACAGCGGCCAGGTAGAACAACAGAATCAGGTCGGAGTTTCTGCTACGCCGGATATTCAACCAGACTCTAAACCAGACCCTAAACCAGACCCTAATCCAGACCCTAAACCAGACCCTAAACCAGACCCTAAACTCGACCCTAAACCCGACTCTAAACCAGACCCTAAAACGGACCCTAAACCGGAGCCTAAATTAGACCTTAAACCAGATCCTAAACCAGAAGTTAAGTCTGATACCAAGCAAGAGAATAGAGGCAAAAAAACAGAGGGTGACAATTCCCATGTTGTCAGCGTTGATGTTGTTGTCCAACAACCACACTCCACCAACATCCTCAGGAATATAGAAAACGAATCCAAAACAAACAATAAATTGGAGAAAGCAACAACCAAGGGCCGCGAGTGGGACATGTTTGCTGATCAAGATAATTTCAATGTTGATGTGAGTTATCTGTATTTAAATATACCGAGGCAGACTGGTAATTCATTTGCATACGGGCTGTCTCACCTATTTCTGTTAATTGATGAGAGAAAATTATAGGAGACATCTTTTTCCACAGATGTCATATGTATATAGCGTTAGCTATATCTCTGGTACTGTATGTATATAGACGACGTTTAGCATTACCATCTGGTGAGCTCTCAGCTTGTTTTCCATTCTAGTTATATTCTGTCTGATCCGTTATATAATTTGTTGAAATTTAACGGTAAAATTGGGTAGACATTGTACTTGTAGATTGAATGCTAGGCAAAGCACATCAAAGTAGCGTCATTGTAAAGAAGATAACATTATTTACATATAGCTGTGGTATCATTATTACTAATATTTTTACAGACACCCTATACCGGTAAGCCAAGAAATAAAGCTGCTTTAGAGAACCCGTCTCTGACAGACAACTGGGATGATGCGGAAGGATATTACAGGTATTTACAAAATGATTAATATTTATTTTCTGTATTTTATACAAAGTTCAATAGTGTTGCATATTACCTTAGAACTTTGCCCGAACATAAAAGTCAAATCATCATCTTAATTGAATGTAAGTACATAGATTAAAGCTATATGCTTTTACAATAATTAAAACAACAGTAATAGGTAATATGGCAATAATAAAACAAACATTACACCTGTTACTTAATGTAGTTAGAGGTTTATACACTAAAATATTTATGAAGTGAATCTAGAGTAATAAGAGCTAATAATTTCAGAATGTAAATTACCCTTTAAGTGATAAATTTGCAATCCAAAATGGTTTATTTACAGAGTTCGCATTGGGGAGATATTAGACAACCGTTACAGTGTATATGGATACACCGGCCAGGGTGTGTTTTCCAACGTAGTTCGAGCCCGTGATCAAGCGCGTGCCAACACCGACGTAGCAGTTAAGATTATCAGGAATAATGAGATCATGTTAGTGCAATTTTTATTTTAGAACTGATGTCGCTTTTATTTTTACACAAACACATATCAATCCAGGATGAGAACTTCCAGGCTTTCTACTGTCTTATTTTCTACGTTTTTATTTTACATTTGTCTATGTATATATATTATTTAAATCTTGAATATATATGTGCTAATTTACCTGACAAACATTCTGTACTTAATAATTCTGTACTGTTAAATACTTAATAACTAAACGTATTTTTAAAATAGAAGTATAATCAATGTCAAAGCCCCAATGTGTATATTTTCAAGAATCGTCAGTTTCAAATATTTTATAATGTGAAGTTACTAAATCTATTTATCTACAGGCATAAAACTGGTCTTCGTGAGTTAGAAATTCTGAAGCGTTTGAATGATTCCGACCCCGAGGACAAGTTCCACTGCTTGCGTCTGTTCCGGCATTTCTTCCACAAACGCCATCTGTGTATGGTGATGGAACCACTCTCCATGAACCTGAGGGAGGTCCTTAAGAAGTATGGCAAGAATAGTGGCATACATATAAAGGCAGTCCGAAGTTACACACAGCAAATGTTGTTGGCTCTGAAATTGTTGAAAAAGACTGGTATCTTACACGCTGGTGAGTTGTACAGCAACTTGCAACATTTTACGGTATTTTAGTGTAGTAATCCACAAAGATGTACGAGTAATTTGCACATTTCAAGAGTTTATTGCAGAGAATATTCATTTTGTTAATATAATATAAAAGTAAGGTTAAAAATAAGGTTTTTTGCAAAAATATTTTCTACTAGCAGTGCCCGCGGTTGCGTCCGTGTGAAATTTATAGCCTATGTGTTATTCTGATGTATAAACTATATTACTGTAAAGTTTCATCAAAATCCGTTTGTAGGTTTTGCGTGAAAGAATAACAACGTTTAACATGTGTGCAGTATGGATGATACTCACAAGCGCTTATAATATTAATAAGATTGTTAAAATTAATTTCACTATTTCATCTTATTATTTTATCCACAGATATAAAACCCGACAACATTCTCGTCAACGACAGTAAACTAATGCTCAAATTATGTGACTTCGGATCAGCCTCTCTGGTAACGGAGAACGAAATAACGCCGTACTTAGTATCAAGGTTCTACAGAGCGCCAGAGATCATTCTCGGGTCCACATATGACCACGGCATAGACATGTGGTCAACAGCGTGCACCATATATGAGATATCCACAGGGAAAATAATGTTTAGTGGAAAATCTAATAATGAGATGTTAAAATACTTTATGGATTTTAAGGGCAAGATACCAAATAAGGTTATAAAGAGGGGGCAATTCAAAGAACAACACTTTGATTCGAACTGTAACTTCTTATATCATGAGTTGGACAGGATAACTGAAAGGGTGAGTTGTATATATTACAAGCAAAAGATATACTTAAAGATTGTGTGTAGCACTCTGTACTCTCATTCAGAAAGTTAACTTTTTCACTGAACTAAAACGAGTTCAAGTGTAAATCACACTCCAAATTCGAAAACAGCCTTACCAATTACTTTAGTCTGGACGTTCTGCTTCGAGTTTAAACCTGAACCTCATTGGGGCATCCTAATATTATTCCCTTTCAAATGTTAAAGTGGGTCGATCTAAGGTGATCCCTCAGATCAATCCACTTTAATATTTAAAAGGCAAGGCAAGGAACATGGCCGTGATATCATTGTTTAGATAAGGACTACACCAAATTTGTCTTTTTAAGTTACTTAATATGTTAGCCAATTCCGCATAGATTTTGATGATTATATTTTATGAAACTAATTTTTTTATTATCATATATTCGTCTTATCATATAATTTATATAATACTATATTTGTCTACAGGAAAAAGTGGTCGTAATGTCAAGTATTATACCTTCGCGAGATTTGCAAACGGAGCTGGCTCCACCACACCACCGCTTGCCGCAGCCGGAAGCTAAGAAAATAACACAGTTGAAGGACCTTCTCGAGCGTATGCTGATGCTGGACCCCAGCAAGCGGGCCTCAGTTAACCACTGCCTCGCTCATTCCTTTATCCAAGAAAAAATATAATTATATACTTATTAGTATATAATTATATAATCCTGGTGTTCTATCGTCGTAATTTATATCACGACCACATAGACCGCCACCGTACACGTGTTGTACATAACATGTATTTTTTTCATGTGATTATGGCAAGTGGCTGCTTTAGGTCATACACGCTCTTTTGCTGATATTTATATCCAAGCGTGTATTTGTTGTTATACTAATGTAGAATGTTGAAAATGTGAAATTCATGGATTTACTCTGACCTCTAGAAGGTATATTTACTTGAAAATTATTATTTTATTTTATATTATTCGTTAATTCAAATTATGGAAGGTATCTTCAATTTATTTTACTGAATGTGATTATAATTTCATTAATTAAGATTTCCATTATGCCATTGATATTGATGATATGATTTTGGATAATGTAAAATTTATCGACTTCAGTTAACAGTAGCCGATATCCCTCTATACAAAATAAGTAAAATTCTACCTGTAAATTCGAATTCAGATTGTTATCTGCGATTCAGATATACTAATAGCTAGAAAGTGAAATACAAATAAATCATTTAAGAAGAGTTTTCTTTTATTATTTTATGACCTCACAGTTCAACAAAGAAAAGGATATTTGATTGGGTTAACGGTGTATTCTAGCAGGGCAGCAGTTGTGTGGATGAGTATGAAGACAGGTTAGCCTATCGTGGTGAATTCACCGCAGATGGACTCCAAACCCGCGAAAGGACTTACGGAGCGATTGAAGCCAACTCCCTCCTGACGAATACGACTTTAGTCTGAATGCACCGCTCGGCTTTACTCGGCTCGCTCGGTTGTATTTTCGATACACATTTGAATTGGGTAGGGTCAGTAGGATCGATCAGAGGGAAGGGTTCAAAGGGGAGATGAAAAATTGTATGAAAATATCGTCATTTTAAAGCTAGAAGCTTCAAATTAATGTTCTGATTAAATATAAATAAAGAAAAAAGGGTTGAAAATTATGATAATGGGTTGCATGGAAGTGTCCTAATTTTTAAAGCATCCATTTTCATGCCTAAATAATATTCATAATGGAATATTATTTAGGCATGAAAATGGATGCCTTAAAAATTAGGACATAGGCATAGGATTTAGGCATGGAAATTGATGTTTATAACTTTGATATGACTAAAATAATTTTATAGTGTACTAATAAAATTAATTCGGACTTTCTACTCAATTCAGGCATTATACGAAAGACGTAAATTTATTTATATAATAGATTGACAAAAACTTGAAATAACTAGGCACTTAAGCAGTATGGGCTATGCTCTTCGCCTGTCGTTATTTTAAAACAACCTTTATGGCACATAACCTATAATTTTTTGTTCCAACTTTAAATGGTATCAAAGAGTACAATTCATTAAATATTATAGTGCAGTTAAGAGCTTTGATTTAAACGCGAGTATATTTTTAAAGAGTATTTCAGCAAATCTTTCATAATATTAGGGCCAATTGTAGTAATTACAATATTGTTAAAAAAAATTACGAATATGCCGAAAAGTATATAGTTACATAATTTTGATTCTGAATCTGTTATTTATATATATTTTATAAATGTGTTTTGCACTTTTGTTAACAGGTAAAATATTTATTTTAATTGAATAACTTATATTGCTTCTGTAATTTGTAAGTGATCGTGGTTTCGTAACAAGTGGATAACTAGTTTATGTAGGATTCCTGTTTTTGTGATGTTTATTACTAAAATTACTATTAACTCTCTTTAATTTTACATCACTAGTCGATATAAAAATCATCTAATCATGTATGAATGCCGGCATAATTTTTGGTTTCAATACATATTATTCTTTAAGACTACGAATACGGATAAATGTCCCTAAATAATACTAGATTAAACAAAAATTGTAAACTGTGCTTCGGCATATAAGATTCGTACAAATAATATACCAGTTCTTAGCTACTGCTATATCAGGCCCCATAATCATTATCATAACATGCTATTTTTATTGACCATACCCATGACATTTTTTTTTATCAAATTGGATTTCATTAATGAAACATTTACAATTTACAGATTATATGTAGTCCCACCATTATTATGATACAAAGAGTGAATAAATTCTATTGAGCAGAGTTAAATTTACAGAGATTTACTGATTAAGGATGTATATATCTTTTATCTCAAATAAAGTCATGGCTATATAATAAGAAATAGTTATAGTAAATAGTATATAATAAGAATATGAAAGTAAAATACTTTTTCCTAGTACTTTGATGTTTCTTCCTGATGGATTAATGTATTTTTTATAAATATTTACAGGATGTCGTCACCAGAACACCTGCTCAGAGTGCGAAAATTATACAAGTTGATATTCCGGGTACACCGTTCTCTACCTCCTGAACTAAGGGTTTTAGGTGATAATTATGCCAGAGATGAATTCAAACGACATAAGAATTGTAACCCGGAAGAGGCTCGAATATTCCTAACTGAATGGACTGTAAGTATAATTATGACAAATCTGTTAAGAATTGTAGCATCATTTTATTTAAAGTTTCAATTCTACCCATTATACAAACAGTTGTAGTCATGAGTATAATTGTTAGTAGTACTCTAGTTGTTGCCTATGTAAAATAGTTATCAATAAAAAAAAAGATTTAAAATATTCTTTCACATTTTATAATATCCATAACACAAGCTCTGGTTAGTTTGGGCCTAGCTGGCAGGATTTGAATTATCCTGATGTATTACTATTTAATATCATTATATCCACAATTAAATATGCACTAAAAATATATACTTTAATTTTAACATATGCACATTTTTCATCTGGCAAGCAGTTAGCTTGTAAATTGTACTTCACTTATTGTTTGTGGAGAATAAGAGATGGTAGTGAAATTACAGAATATGACAACATATTCATATATGTGAATCCAGTGAAGTCCAGATATGTGAATGTCAAATATTTTGTGTATAAGTTTATTATTACAATGATCGTTATGATATATACTTATATTATTATTATTTTATGATATATTTAATTGTGTGTGGCAATGTGTTACGGTACCTCGTCATGGCATATAATGAGCGGAGACCTGTTTGGTAACACAATTATTGATCTAAATTGAAAATTGTATTTAAAAAATCCTCTTTGTTGTACATTTTATGTGAAGCAAAGAAACAAATTTTCTTTCTAAAATTCAATAAGATTATTTAATATAATTTATTAATATTTATATACTATTGCCTGTATTGTAGCATTTTGTGACTATATATAATTCCTCAGGATTACGCAATAAATCTGGCCAAGCAAATGAAACCTCTACAACAAGTAAAGCTGAAGACCGTGGGGAAGTACCTGGACCCTCAAGTGTTGGATTTTATGACTGATGAGCAACTTGTACAGTTATATGAACTTCACAAAGCTGCCTCTGATGCCAACGAGGAGCCTAGTCAGCCATCGAATACTACAGATGGAGAACATAAATTAGATAGTGAAAATAAGTAATAAGTACTCTGATTATAGGACTGTAAATATTTTATAAGAAAAATAGTACTTTGGATATGAATATTCGGTTGAATATTAAATGTTTCATATTACCATTTTAGTAGTAGTTCAGAGGTACAAATCCTTACAAAATTTTTTAGTAAAGAGCACAAAATTTATGAGATTTTCTAGTAAAGAGCATTATACGCCGCCTTGTGGAACCTCGGAAAATGTATTACACCAAGATGTGTCATCTATTCGAATCTTTTAGCGACGCTCATAAAAATATTTGGGAAACCATTTAACCACAGATGTATATATGTTATATAGAGCGTAGAATATGCAAAAATCTACGGTATTGGAGACATTACTGAAGTCAAGAAGGGCGACATAAAGGGCGGACAGAGCCACATTTCTCCAGAAAAAATGTAGATTATAGCATTTTACTTTGTGATGATAAGTAATTATAATTTTAAGCACATTTTATAGGAATAATTTATTATGTAAATATATATATGTTTAGAATTATTCATAAATATGTGTGATATTGCTGCTATTAAAAAATGTAGTACTGATGTGTATATACATGTGTTTTAATCTGAATATTAGTGGATTATAGGAAAAATAAAAAGCACTATGTTCACAACATCTTTATTCTTACAATTAATATACCCAACTAAGAATTTGTTCCTAAATTCTGTATTAAAATACAGACAAATATTAACATTAGATAAAAAGTTCTATGACAGGTCAACATCGATAGTAAAAATAATATAGGCTTAGAAGTGTGAAATATAAAAATGTCATCATTTAATACTATAATATGCACAATGCAATTTCATGTTGGGTAGAATAGTGAGACAAATCTGAATGGCTTAACTAGTCTATACATGCATAATAATGATTAAAAAGGTAACAACATATTATATTTCATAAAGAACTCAAAAAAATGACTTATTTTCATCGTCGAGACTGTTACTGCATTGATATACGATAAAGTATATCAATGGTAACAGGTAGCAATAAAATTATAATAACAAAAAAAACAAAACAAATAAGAAAATAAAAAAGAAAAGACAAAAAATAAGTCGGTGGATTATTATACTAAACAAAAACAACAAGACTAATATCCTAATTTATCTAATCAGTTATAGTGAGATCGTTTCTCGAACTTAGTGATAACGTCTTACAAGTAATCATAATTAAATGCACACAACTGAGTATTGTATAACTACTCACACAAATTTTTGTTACTAGCACGTCACAATTATTGTTCATTATTTCAATTTAACACTGAAAAAGAACCGTTTTATATCGAGAGCTGTACACAGATTATTATCTAAACTGGGACGGATGCGAAAATATTTGCAGATCCGTTTTTTGTTTCACATATTTTTTATTGTCCGCGTATTTAACACATGAAGATGCATTTCAGCCACTGAAACAAAGCACGGTTTTAATCAACAATCTTTATAGATTCCAAAAAGTTTTGATGAGATGATTGATAAGACCAAAACAGTTCGCAAACCTATATTAAGACTTCGATGGTTTCGTGGTTAGCTCTCTACCTCACTTCCGATGATAGAGGTTTATGTTTAAATTTAATGAGAATTAAATGTAAAACTTAACGGATGAGGGTTTTTTATACGAACAGTGTTTTTTGGTACTATTTTTAATATAGGTATTACATACAAACCTCTGTAATATTTATAGTCAAATGTCCGTTATCGTGTGCTTTGAACATACCTGCAAAATATTAGACACTGTTATAATTGTACATCAACACGCACAATATATAATAAAAATGTGTAACAGGTACAATCAAAATCTTAAACCAAATCTTTACACGTTAAATACCGTATGCTCACCGATGGGTCAGTCCGCAATGAAAATTTACACATTGGGACCGGGAGACCACATGTGGACACTTTAATTGAAATAAATCTAGGTGTTAAATAGTCCCTTTCTCAAATTATTGTACATTAAAAACGTTTAAAAAATCATACACGTAATTAACAATAAAAAAAATTCCCGTCCCTATGTGAGAAATAATATTTTTCAATGCGGTCTTCAATGTGTTAAGAATGTATCGTGTTAACACTAATTATATATGTGCTGAACTGGCGAATCATCATAGAACATATTGATGACAATAAACTCTAGTGGTCAACTATAAATTGTAAAATTTGCAAGTATTATTTTTTTGGTTTTTATTTAATGTATTAAATATGCAAGCACTACAAACTACGCCTCCACTATAGGATAGGCCTCTCCAATCGATCCTCTGTCCAATTCAAATGGGGATCGAAATTACGAAGGCCTGAGCCGAGGTTCGAACCCCTAGCTGTCCTCTCAGACTAAAGTCGTATCTGCCAGGCGGGGCGGGACGCCTTCAGCCGCTCCTTAAGTCTTTCGCGGGTTTAGAGTGCCATCTGCACTCGTCCCCGTTGAAGCTGTAAAGACCAGCTGTGGCCAACTGCAATAGAGTAGTCCGAAGAAAAAACTGGATAAGTATATATCATATCTTTGGAGTTAGTTAAGACACATGCAATTTGGTCGACATAAAGTTTTGTTTATTTTACAAAATAAAACAGCTTTCCATAAGAGGGCCTTTAACTCACCATACAAACCCATAATATCTTTTAATTAGGAAGCCGAACACATTCTATCATTTTAAAGATTGTTGAAATTACTCACTAAATGCACGATGAAGATGCATCACTGCTGAAACGAAGTCCCCAAACCTCAACAGCCCGTCCTTCCTCATATACCTGAGGACCAATAGTGATAAAATTTGTTCGGGGATGACGAAGCCCACTTCGTATAATGCAGTTCTTAATCTCTCAGCTCTTAACACTCCCATTTTTTCAACGGTGTGGGTTTTAAATATCGTCTGCCAATGCCTCAAGCTACATATTAAGTCTCTGAAATTTTGTAGAGTCAGGCGACCTGAGCCGTTTACCTGTTTCGATTGAGTTAAGGTGTGTAACTTATAATACATACATGTATTATATATATTATACCTAGGTTATCTAAATATAATTTTTCGTAATAATGTAAGGCTGAAGTAACTAAAGGTTTAAGATATTATAATATCAGTTCCAATTTCACGATTCGGTAATAAAGACAATATATTGGTACAATAAGCTAATGTCATTAATTATATAAATCTATAGCTAAAAACTTAACAGATATAATATTGGAAAACCTTGAAACCATCCAAATATAGGCCATCAGATGTCTTACCACAATATATAAGATTATGACGTCATTAATTGCATCAAAAATAAATAGACACAGAAAACATAATAGAGCAGAAATGATGCAGACGGGGCCATAAAAGTAATGTAGTTTGCTTTGTGCCAATTCAGGCATCAATTCAGTCATGTCAGATCCTGATATCGAAAGTCTCGGTAATGCTTCTACTAACTGAACTATTACATGAAATGACGAAATTAACACACTTTTGACAAAGGATACATCCATGGAGAGTACAAATTGCCTACAAGTGTCTAGTGTAGCACAACTTTTAATATAGTCGTTGGGCAAGCAGTTTTCCAGCAACTCCTGTAGTTCGTACACGTCTATCGTTCTGTGCTCATTAGCCAAGTGTAGAAAACAGGGCTCGTATTGCACAAAACTTTGCGCAAGCAGATTAGGAGGTGCCTTGAGGAAAGCGGGCTTTAGCATCTGAGGCAAATGATCCAGGGCCGTCATATCTATAATTCCGTTCGTGTAAACTCTTAATGTAAACTGCGCTTCTTCTCGTGGTTCAAATGTCGTTGGAATTAATAGGTAGATTCCCGCTTCCAATTCACACCTAAAACAATGTCACATTAAAGTGTACAATTCATTTTGAATCAGTAGTTCGCTTGGCAACAAATTTCGCTGTGCAAAATTATAAAGCTACCTGTAGCTCACTTGACGACTATTCGTGTAATGCGAGTTGATTTTGCTCTTGATTTCAGTAAAATAGGCCTCCGAGGCCGCTTCATAAAGTAAGGTAGGAATCTTGTATATGGTAAATCCGATTACTTTGGGTTCCATTATGATGTTTTGGCTAAGAGATACAATGGCTGTAACACGTTTGAAGACCACTAGTTGTATCTGAGGGTTCATATGGAAGAAATCTGAAATCAAGCGTGCTAAATATTTCATTATTACTGACATGATAATTATGCTCAGGTAAACATTAATAAAAAAAAAAGAAACAATAAATAACACATTACTTTAATAAAAATACAGTAATATAGACAATTCACACAGTGCTATTTTATCCCACGCTTTAAGAGCTTGTGTTATTGGTTAGTACCTGTTAGTATTTCTATCACTTGTCACTCAGACGGATACATACATTTGCATTTTGCGAGGAATCGAACCCGAGATCATTGGAAATAAGGTGGTGTACTAAACTGCTAGACTACCGAGACCATCAATCAGTTCGTTCTGACTCAGCTGTATTCTATCACAGGAGAGAAGAGATATGCTGTGAAGATATCTACTTTCTAAACAATTTCCATATTTTGGCATTTCTATTATAAAGCTGTTGAACTAAGTTCTGGAGTGGTGTTACGTATAAATCCGCACAGCCAACTATGAGAGATTTTATTTTTAGCCATTTAGAGTATTAGATTGATTAATTTACTAAGCTATACTTATCAAGCGTATATGTTTATTAATTGTCTATTACTTACTGCCTTTATTCCTGCACCCCCCTGCGGAAACACCTCGTTTCCAACTCCCTTTATACATTTGTACATGCCACGGCACTTTGTCGGATAGTGCAGACTCAACTTTACTGGTCTCCGCATCATAATGAATAATTTGCAGTCGTGTGAAATACTGTCTAAAATCTCTGTATAACATCCAAACGCCTCTAGTATCAGTCAACAGGCACCCCCGTTCGCATAATGAAATCGACTGCCACCTGTAGTTATAACTCACAATTATAGATGATACTTGTAAATTGGTTACTTAAGTGGTTGGTATTTATGAAATTAAGTGTACACTCAGTAACCCAACTGCTCGCTATCTTAGTTAATATATTTTTAAGTCCTCAGCTTCTTATGTTACTTTGGTAGTTCTAATACTAATATTATAAATTCAAAAGTGTACCAGTCATTCTATCTGTTCACAACTAAAGTCCTGAACGGATCGCAATGAAAATTGATGTAAAGATAGATTGTTTTCTAAGAACTAATATAGGATCAAAAAGGATACGAAGTGGGTTAAAGCAAGTATACCACGAAAGACGTGACAGTACATTCTATATTACACAATTACAGTTATTATTCTCAATTATTATAAGTACGTATATTATTATTATAGGCTTATTTAGTACGTTAGGTTTAAAAAAAAAACTCACACTGCATCATTAACATAATGTACAATATCAGGTGATCCAGGCTTGGGTGGCCTTTTCAATAGGACCATTAAAACTGACCCATTTGATGTCTCAACCTGAAAAATAAAATGAATTTAAATATATTGAATCTAATTGATGCTCTACCGATTTTTCTTGGTCCTAAAATATAAAATTCTTTATGTAATTGTGGAATAAACTGTTTTTTTATAGAAACTAACTATATGTACTCTGCTTTTATATTTGACCCGTAACTTACGTCTAGTAAGGATAGCGTCTAAGTATATTAGATGTTTGCTGCGTTAAAGTTTAGACTCGTAAATTTAAGTATGTAATCCTTATTATTCACGTATTAAAAATACTTTAATATCATAATACATCACATTATTTATTATTGTCTTTCATCCATCATGTTTTGTAATTACATTCGCCTCCAATACATACAATGATTGATATTTGAGCTACAACTTCCTAATATAATGATTATAGGTTCCTCGTTTTACTACTGAGTCTTACTATGTTAATGTAATATACAACTCTAAGCATTAAGGAAAAATATATATATTTATTACCTTTTGTAAACGATAAATTCTATAATGCATTTCAGGTTCAAGTCCAAGTCCCAGGTGTCCAGCTGGCTGTGAATATGTAAATATACGTTCAACATTTTTGAAACACCAGATGGGTAGTCGAATTGTGCATATGCTATATTTAGAATTTATATAAAATTCTACTGAGCACCTCTCAAAGTCTGATTTGTACATATGGTGCACATTAATGTTAAGTTTATTTTAATATATACATATTATACCATAATATGTATATATTAAAATAAACTTAGGTATACGTACTTTATGCACTATGGTATAAATATGATATCTATGTGCATGTCTATATGTCTATATATAAGTACAAAAACAATAAACGTAAATATGAGGATTATAGTAATTTAATAAGTATTTTTAATAAAAAAGTTAGTTTTTGCAGCCGTGTAAATTTGCAAAATACTCTAGTCTTCAAAAACGTTTCACTTTTAAATCATTAATAATAATGTTAAGTAATAATATATTTCAATTAGGTACTCGAACATATCATATATTTCAAGTATTAAAACTTTTAGTAATATTGACATTACACTAAAATAATAACATTATATTTAAATAACATTAAATATTGAACTAGATTTAAATAAGATACTGACCCCAGAATATTGAGCAGTCACAAAACTGCATGTACTTAGAACTTTCGCTAAAAAAGGGACATTCCTGATATTTCGGTAGCTTTCAGTAATTCCGCCAGTCATGTCTGCAAGACCATCCAACAGATTTCCATACTTGAGGGCCTCGTATGATCCGTGCAACCTGATTTAAATTATATCTCTTATAACTTAATAATTATAATAACCCTGTGGTTTACACTTCTTGAAATGTAAGTTAAAGTAATAACTAATATTCAAGAGGTGTTGAGTCAAATCTGGTGGACACAAAAGCTCTTATGCAATTTATATTTCTACTTCACTATTCGGTGAATGAGACAACGATAGGTATATCCGACAAATCAAAGATTAATCCGAGAAACGGCTGCTGGGGTAGCCTCCTGCCATATTGTTATTGTTAGGCATATTACATTCACAATACTGAAACAACAACATCTCTGACTACATCTGGGATCCCATTCGTGACTTGACACTACGTTGTTGTGTTTTTGGTAAATTACACAGCTCTATTCTTAAACTATATGGAACATGTAAAATAATAAATACAACATTTTTTAACGATGTTATCTATGAATTGGTATGTGTACTTATATATTCATTTTGTATAAAGCAAACGGTGGTCACTTCCGGTAAATACAGTATTTGTAAATGTAACAATAAATGTATAAACAATACAATAAAATGGTGCGTAGTGCATATAAATGGTACTCACTTTGCATAGGCCTTCTCCAATAGAGCCGCCCAGACCTGAGGACTGTGCGATGAGTGCACGAAAACGAGGCGATCATTGATCGTTGGCAATTTATCGTCTACCATCACTTCCTTCCATTGCCCGCACCACCATATACGGAACCTGCCACAGAAAATACAGTGACTCACTCCACTCCATTTGTAAAATTACCTCCAAAGTAATATTATAAATGCTAAACTATCAATCCGTTTGTTACCTTTTCACGTACAGAAATTAATTCGATTTGACGTGAAGATACAATTAGGATGGGCATAGGCTATTTTCTATTGGATTGATTGGGCCATTGTCAGGTGCTTGGACCAGTAGCACTGCGACCTACATAGACCTATTATGCTCGCCATTTTTCAGAATTCGCTACCTAGGGGTATAGGATACCTTTTATTTAAAAGAATAATCATTGAAGGGGTCAAATAGGGGAGTTTGTATTTATAATTAAATATAACAAGTCAACAAATAAAATTCGATCCCCCACCTTTGAAGAAAGAAAGAAAACGTCTTTTTTATATATCATTAATAATTCATCAAAATAATTGCATTAGCAATATCTATTCCAAATATGAATCGATAACATTTGAACATAAATATTCCGTCGTACCGTGTGATTGGAAGCTATAAAAATAATCAAATTAATCAAATATTTCTTTAACATTTGTATCGTATAATGTAAGTAGGTCTGATGAGATTGCTTCCTTTTACTGAATCGCTAATACCTACCTACCAGAATTATTAATTATTTTACTATTTACTAGCTAATTCCTGAAATTTTTTTATGATAAAAAGACAGCCATGAACATTTTCATGAGTTCATCACCATCTATCTTCATATTAACTTTTATTAAAATTAGTTCAATAGTTAGTCGTGAAAAGGTAATAAAGCAGACTCAATTTCACATTTATAATATTTGTATGATATATTTTTTTATACTACGATGGTGGCAAACAAGCTTACGGCCCATCTGGTGGTAAATGGTTACCGTATGGACGCCTGAAACAACAGAAGAGTCAAAACCAAGCTGCTCGAGTGCTGAAATTGAGACTATATCTACACACAAGATTTAATACACAGTATACATGGCTCAATAACAGTAGCAATAATATTTAAAAAGTTCGTTACTATAATATTAGTAGACGATTTATTTAGATATCTCTGCTTTACTTGCTCAGAGATTGCTATTTTTTTTAAGATCACCAACAACACTAATGCAAGTTTGTGTATTTATATAAAAGGTTTATGGTCTAAATGTACAATTACTTGTAGGTAAACACAGCATGATTTATTGCTATATAAACTTACCTGAATACACCGCAATAGCTTTCGTCAAATGCTTGATCTACAGGCACAGTATGAAATAATAGTCCCTTTGCCTGGTACAACATGCCGAGACACGACACCATCCATCTGTCTCCTGCAACCAAGGTCTTGGGTCAACGAGCCATGTATTATTAATTGAATATCTGTCGGTATGTGTACTGGTATAAGTTATTTTTGTTCCCCCCAAAAGTAATAGGTAACCGTATTATTAAAACAAATTTGATTCGCGTCTACTTTATAACAGATATATGTATATTATATAATATACTAAAAACATTTTATAGAAACACAATATACTAGAAGATGATTTTACTGGTGGTTCAAATGTATTAATATAACCCTGTTTCAATTCCATGTTTAGTAGTAATTTGGAGAGGAATTTTGTAGCATTACGACAATAAGGTTGTTGAGTAGGATAATGATATTACTTTAATCGACGAGAGCCTAATACTTATAATATTTTAAAATATGTACAAAATGTGTTGCTTATTTTTTTATCTAAAATTTACAATACAGACTCAGAATATAATATCATTACGTAAATGATAATAATCCACAAAGAGAATTTACTTTAGACAGGCAAAGTAGTTATAGGTAAGCAATATAGATAGAAACTAATACGTGAACTCCAAAGCAATGGATTGAGGATCACCAGCTATCAGTGTTTCCCAAAGTTTTTAGTGCAATGTCCCACTTTAAGCTTTCTAAAATTTCTACTCTCCCTGCTTTTCCTACGTAACATACATTATTTATAACATTAAAAAATGAATTGTTCACTTAAGAAACATCAATAATAGATTTTAGGAAAATGATAATAAAACATTAAATAATTTTTCAAAACGTAATGAAAAATTTAAATTCACTTTCTATATAATTTTAATAGAGCCCATTTTCGAATTGCCTATTGTGGGGTCTGGGCACTTTGGGAAACACTGAGTTAGATGGAATAATTACGTAAGAGTATTACAGTATTAATTTCTTACTGAATAGTGGTGCATAGTATTTAAGGATCTCCAGGCACATTACATGTCACTATACATATGTACGTTGTTGAATGTACGATTTTCGCATGTATATATTTACTGTACGTGCAGTTTCAATATTTATTTCACTCAGCATATTTTATGTGTGGGAACTTACTTACAAACAAATGAGTATACATCCTGACCACTGTAATTCTATATGATAGATACTGATATTATCAACTATCATATTGTGTAATGTGTTAGTTATTTTCCCATGAAGTTCTTAAAGAGTGGAAAAACGTAGTAAGTTATGTTACCTAACACTTGAGTTGAGATCATTGTTACATTGTCATAACGAAATGGATGATTGGGTCTTAATCCAATTTGACATGAAGATAACTGTATTATGAGGACGGACTTTGGTTACAGCTTTTTCTAAAATTATCTGAAGGGAGGTGAATTAGAGAATAAAAGTTTGTACATATGAAGTCGCCAATAAATGCTAAATTAGTATTAATTTAAGAATATTTACGTCCGTCGTCTTATTACAGTATATTTTCACGACGAATTTCATTATTCAAAATTCATTCAGCTGTTTGGTTGTGAAAAAGGAAAAAACAGAAAAAATAGGAAACAAAAGTATAAACCAAAAATAAAATCGCTTGGCAGAAAAGAACTCGCTATGGCATAGTTGTATTTGTAATACACAATCCTACCTATGTACAGTTGTACATTGTACATAGGTACCATTATGTTTTTAAAAAAATCTTATGTACTGAGTGTTAAAGTGATTTTTAATATGAACGAAACCAAGTTAAATTAAGAAATAAAATAAAATATTTCAGAAAGAAATTAATAAACAAATCTCGGTATGTATCCGATTTTTAGATGAGTATTTGTTTTATATATCGATAAATTGCAAATCGTAACTCACCTAATTTCCCAGATACAACATCAAACGTATCGCGGTTATCCATGGTTATGAATGTGGGCTCCATAAAGATTTCCTGGAAACAAATAATAAATTTTATTTCCATTACATAGTATAAAATAAAGTCGCTGTCGCTGTCTGTCCCTATGTATGCTTAAATCTTTAAAACTACGCAACGGATTTTAAAGCGGTTTTTTTAATAGATACAGTGATTCAAGAGGAAGGTTTATACATATGTATATATATAATATATGTACACCCGTGTGAAGTAGGGGCGAGTAGCTAGTATAAAATAGAGCACTTATAAGAATTACCAGTATTTAATTAATATCAAAATATCTTTATTTATTACAGATTACGTATATTAAGACTCTTATGATATATATTGTACATATCATAAGAGTCTGTGATAGACCTACCATCTACCGTCAGTTCGGAATAATTTCGAAATGAGAAGAACTGACAAGAAACTGAGCTCGTATTCTTTACAAATAAATGTTGTATATGTTTACAATAATACACATTCATTTTTAATTTAAAATATGTGAGAATAGAGTGACCACCAGCATATGCTATTGAAAAAGCAAATAGTCTAATCATTAACCCGAACAGACCAGTCCCCACAAGCAGCACTTGTTCACGAGCATGACAAATTATATATCATTATAACCATTGCTAATTTACACTAACTAGAACAGCGTTAAAAGAAATCTATACCAATATATAACGTAGTCAATGAAAAGTGTCAGTTTAGTTAGCGTGAATGTAAACTAATATTAGAGCAAAAATTATAATTTTTTTATCAGTATTAAAAAAATATATATTTCTTCATTAGTTTCATTCGTGTAAAGCTTCATAATGCTTCATTAGCAAAATAAAATACATTCAATCTACTTTACAACACTATATTCTATATTAGAAAATATATATTTTTCTTCTTATATGTTTAAATATATTTTGTCTCATTCGTGTAAAACTTTCTATAAAGCCTCACTAACAAAATAAAGTATCTTGAACGTTTGCAGGATCCGTTATATTCTTAATCGGGACAAAACGTGCTGTCCACAGTTTTCTTATAGAACTAAGTAGTCATTTGTCCTCGTCATTATTCATTACCAACACCAACGTATGTACATACATAAATCGTGATGAATGAATTGATAGTAGGTTATTTGATTTAGTACACGTAATAGAGAGAAGTAAAACGGCTTGCACAAAGAAATGCAATTTCATGAGCATAATAATAATAATCCAGGATAATTCATCAGTGCCATCTAGTCTCAAGCTAAGCAGAGCTTGTGTTATAGGTCCTAGGTATTTAATGGACATACTCAAATAGTTTTATTTTCAATTGATACCTATGTATAATATTATACATTAAAACACATAGACCAGTACAAGCAATCATACTCATGTAAACAAATGTTGCATCATGCGAATTGAACCTGCGATCATCAGAAATAAAGCGGTGTGCTAAACCGCTATAGCAAATAATATATAACTATAGCAATAAACAAATGTTGCATCCACTGACAGCGTTGAATGCATTAAATGCATTTATTTCTGTATCACGGCCGGATTGTGTAACTGAATATTAATAATTTTATATTCCAAAATAGATTGAAAGTAACAGTTCTGCGGCCACAGTACGTGGGAGTAAGGACATTGAAGATCGAAGTAGGATTTGAGTAGCTATGCATGTCGTTTTTTAATTTAAAATATTTTTTTACTAATAATTTTTGATGTTAGAACAAATTATATCAACTAGATATATAATATAACACAAAGTTATTGTAATACGTAACAATGATACGTAATGTAATTATCAAGACAATTGACATTTGACAGCCTCGGTGGTCTAGTGGTTTAGCATACCGCTTTACTATCAGATGGTCGCGGGTTCGATCCTCACACGGCACAAACATTTGTATTCATGAGTATGATTGTTTGTATATGTCTGGGTGTTTTCTATGTATAATATGTATTTATTAAAAAAAAAAACATGTATGTATTTACATCAGTTGTCTAGTACCCATAACACACGCTGAGCTTAGCTTGGGAATAGATGGCGTTGTGTGAATTGTCTTGAGATATTATTTTAATTATCGGACTATTTACTGATTTACTATTACTTTATTCACGGTTATATACAATAGGACACATCTATAAAATAACATTTACCATGTCAAGACTGCAAATACGGTTGTAATAGCGTCAAAATATCAGGAGGTAAGTTATCATAGCAAATTTCCCGTTTATATAGGTATAATTGGACTATTGAATTTTGGTTGGTAAAATTAACAGTAATATTCTAATATTTGTTACACAATATTTAAGTAGGTACTTGAGTCCACAGGAGTAGGTGTTAAACCAACAACACTGACCTAGAAGCTTTAGAATGATTGCTTATGTTCAAATAACTTATTTCTCCTTCCGTCCATTATTGTTCAGAAAATACTAGCGCGCAATGTTGCAGTAATTAATCATTATTGACGCCTACTACAATGATTGTTCTTCTGAATTCTAGAGTATTTAAAGCATATCATGATTATTGCAATATAGCGTACTAGCTTTGCCCGCGGTTTCAGTCGTGTTAAATTTATTGCTAATATGTTATTCTGATGTATAAGCTATATCATAGTAAAGTTTTATTAAAATCCGTTCAGTAGTTTTTCCGTAAAAGAGTAAAAAACGTCTATCCATTTCATCTATCCTTCTACACTCATGAACTTTCGCATTTATATTATTAGAAAGATTCTAAAAGAAGGAAGTGCCTATAACAGGATCTGATACCCCACCCAATGAGCCGTTCTCTCGGATAATGATAGATTAAAATGTGAGATGTATAATTGTAGTCGAGTTGTGAGACAATTTACATGGAAAAAATTAAGTAACTCGCTCGAAAGTAAATTTCCTTGACCCAAAACAAGAGTAAAGTTTTCTATATATATGTAACCAAACACATCTGTTGTCTTAAACTAAGATTTTATAAGTTTTGCTTTTACTTTTACATTTTACTTTGACCCTCATTTGGTTGTGAAGATATATTTATATTAATAATTTAGTATTACATGAACATCGGAGAAAGAAGAAAGCTAACATGTACAGTTGCCTTTATATATTAAAAAATTATATAAATTTTATGATATTGAATATCAATACTATAAAACGGATTATTTATTATAGCAGTAAAGGGTACACACCCAAGTTTACAAAATCCGATTTCACGCTACCGTCGTAGGCGGCAGACGGCCTTGTCCACACTGGTACTACGTTTACTGGTGCCTACATTCGTAAATACGAAGATGCAACAGATTTACTAAGCGGGTAGAAAGGAATTCTTTCGCGGAGGAGACTGGTTGCATTATAATACCACGAAGGTCAACAAATACAGTGGATTCTTTTTTTTGGTTTGTGGTCATAAAGCATTGTAAACATCTACTTCAATTCTCGCTTAATATATATTTGTAATTACTCAAATTTTCTTTGTACGTTTGTACAAGAAATTTGAAAAAAAGAATAAAATAATCGTCTTGTAGAATACTTAAGGTAAAATTCTACGTATCTATGTGTATGAAAAACAAAAATAATTGGCAATTTAGTAGAAAAGTGAAAATATTGATGCGTTTAATACGATTAAAGGTAATATATTGATGAGATTACAATATAGATGAAATGTACAGGTATCTGACATAAATAAGTGTTTACATCGTGGAATGATACAAATAAACAACCTAACTACATAGTTTTTTTGTTATCTACTGAAATGAACAAAGAACTTTCGTAGATGTTAATATATTAAAGTTATAGACAACAATTTTTAAAAAGTTAGGATAGTTATAGACTCAAATCTGATTTATAGACAGTTTTGTCTCGTTCTTTACTTTTAAATTTTATTATTATATAAGCAGCAATTGTATTAGTCTTTATTTGAGATTATTATATAGGTACACATACAAATTGTTTTAAAAAGCATTAAAAACACCCTTTTTGCAGCCTCATAAAATATGTCATGTATCACCTAAGTTGTGAGTTCGAATCTGAATTGTGATTTGGTTTTTGAGAGGGTGTTGTTGCCTAGTCGTTTACTTAGTCCTAAATAGAACTGAAAAGTGACGACTTTGAATATAGGTGATGCGACGTCGAAAATATATGTTTATTTATGTTTCTGACTAATGTCGTGAAATCGTCGTGAATAGAAACCCAAATTATTGGTATGGTCCATTGCCACCTTGAGTTTAAATATATCCTGCCAAATATAGATATATCGGGGGAAGGGTATTGTTAATAATCTAAGTTAGGGTCTAATGATCCCATTGCTAGCTATCATACTGACCTCCACACGGTTTCCCCTTTAAACTATCGTGATAAATTCTTGGTGAATTTTTCACTGATCTGCACTCATGTATATCTTATTATCCTCCATTAGTGTCCAACGTAAACCTGCTGTGCTGTGCACTATATAGCTTTCATTAAAAAAATGTGGGTATAACAAGTTTTATTCAGTTTTAAGTCGAGAAACGAGAATTCTTCTTCCTCTCTTGCTTGGGTGAAAATATTCTACCTGATTCTCACCCCAGAGCTATGATTATGTAGATTATATAATAATATATTACGTAAATAACTTTCGAAATAATCCGCGTCCCGGTTAAATATATCTTGACTTGTCCTCTTTACCCCCGGGTCAAATACAGGGCACTGTACCCATGCTAGCTCATTCTATATCAGAACAGCAGTAACATAAAGCACGGTCACTTATTTGTACCTAACACTCTCTAAAAGTGTTATGCTCTGTTCATAAATAACAGTTACTTACTCGTTCATTTTGTACATTTGACAGGTGAATGAGACGCAATACCAATACAAGACATCACCTGCCTACGCATCTGTCTGTACGTAATAATGCAAAAGAGTGAAAATGATATTCTAAATATAAACAACAACTCACTTTTCAATTTGATGAACCGTTAACAATGTTAAATTGCTTCCCATAATTATTTTACAGAATAGTCTCGTTTTGACACTTTTTTATTGAACAGGGTATATTAATACACATTTATGTAGATCATTCCGTTT